AGCTTGTGATGTCAGTCGGTCTGCACATATTGACCCTGACTCACCCACAGGGCTAATGGCTGTCCCAAAAGGGGTCTCGCAGGCTGAAATTTCAAATTTTGAAAATCTCTTTCCCCTCAAGACCAAGATATGATAGAATCAAATACTGTTTGTGGATGGAAGGTGTTGTACTAACGTTGTAGCTTCCAAGACTCAAAGTCTTGCGATTCCCTTGAAAGCAGGTAAAATTTACAATAGTTTATGTGAGAAAATTACAAATGTGAGCATAACTTGTTTAATTACCATTGAAAAAAGTAATTAAAACTTGGTTAAATTATTGATGCAGAATGGTGGTTTGATGGTATAAACATACTGTCCCTGCTGGTCTCTAGGGACTGATGGGTGCAAATTACTAATTTCAAAGCCGACTCTGGCAGGGGTCACTAGAATTCGGCGTTATTATACAGATAGGAATTCTGACTATCAACTGCGATCAAGCCAACAATATAATCACGGGTAGATAGTCAGCACCCGTCGGGCTATGTCTACAACGTGTAGCTTCTTGGTGAAATTGCGATTGCATTCAGAGCCTATTTCACATTAGCTTCTAAATACATTGAAAAAGTAACATGGTAAATATCAGCCATAGAGAAATCAATCAAACATCGTCACATTTCTAGTGTGCCGACAATAAATCATTGCCATAAAATATCAAATCGATGTCAGTAATCCCCGCGAACTACTGGCGATTGATTCGAGCTCAGTATTAAACCGGGAGTAGAATTATAGGTTGCCTGCGAAACAGAAGTAACGTCACTGCCTACAACTTCCGGTAAATGTCTCCGCGTACCGAATTTAATAGCTTATTTATTTATTTGTTTATTTATATATATATTTATTTATATTTTCTTTTTTAACATATTTGATCTGTCTACATCAGGTTTTCGACATTTTACATTATATTTCTGTGTGTGTCGTTAAACCAGTCAACCAACCGTTGAAACTACAGTCATCGCATTACCAAGATAATCAACGAGACTTAAAATTTACAACGGTCTTTATAGGCGGGTCTCTTATGATCACAAAATTTTGAATTTGTGAAAGGAACAATTTTTTTTTTCATTTTACAAGTGCAAATTATTTATATATTTATCATTCATAAATGTGCATGTATCCCCGTCGTCTGCTTCGTTTACGTGTAAAAAAAAACAAAACAAAAAAAAAAAAAAAAACAACAACAACACTGAAGCCAAAGAAATCGATATTTATAGTCTATAACACTGGCATTAACGATATCAATGAACAGATCGATAGACAAACTGAGTAAACATGTACCTTTTAGAAGTTCGTAGGTATCGTATTTACCATAGAAAAACATGAGACACGGGTCTGTTATATACCTATCACAATACAGCCATATCCGTGGAACTTCATTCCTCTGGCGAAGCGTAAGCAATACCTGAAATCAATGTGCACAAAAAACAGACCAGAAAGTCAGAGAGAGAGTAGGCGATATAACGTCAAAATGATTTTTTTCTCTGAAGAGATTTCATCAAATTACATATTCCTATGGGAGTTCTCGTATTTAGGGATCTATAAACGAATTCACAGAGTCCTTTGGGGGATTTTAAATATCACACGATCATATGAGTTGTGACGATAATTTAAGTTGTAAATGAAAGTACATTGATTTAGCTGACTAATCCCCGCGGTAAGAAATTGATCTGATATTGTTATTCAACTAAAAATATAAGCATGTATTTATATCTGTATCTCGGGGTACAGTTGTCTTTATGTACAGGTTCTGGATGTATCTACTATTGTTACACAAATAGTATTGTAACGAGTAACAGTAATCATTATCAATCATTTTTCTTATTTATTTTTCTTAGTGTTTTTTTTTTAATAAGATTGATTAAATGGGGTTGGTGTTCAGGCGTACTGAGAATACCTCTTCTCTTAAATAAAATTTAAAATGTTTAAATGGTGCTGATAATTAATTATGCGTTAAGTTTGTCAACATATATTATCACAGACAATGAAGTTGGTTTACTTGCCATACCACATTTTATTGTTGCACACACTGACAGTGTTAATCATGGCATCGGAGTTATTGGGAGTGTTAATGGTACGCAGGAAAATTAGTCTGACTGGAAAATTAGTCTGACTGGAAAATTAATAATATGGACTATTTACAATTGTATAATATGAATAAAGTACTATTAAATAAACAGGTGGATCTAAATACCGTTGGGAACTTTGAGAAAGGTCCATTTAATATCTTCCAGGAAATAGCGATAACAAACTTTTATTGCCATAATCCAATATGGCCGCATGTCGGCCATTTTGTTTTCCTGATCAGTCCCAATATCAAACTGGCACCACTAGGGTTAATAAAGAACTTTCATATGAGATTTGAGAAAGATCCTTCCGGTACTTCTAAAGAAACTATAAGAATATTTTATTGTCAAAAACCAAAATGACTGCCTGTTGGTCATATTACTTTTTTGATCAGTTCCAAATTCAGTATAGCACAACCATGGACCAATGGGATCATACAAACGAAATTTGACAAAGATCTATCAAAGACTTCCTGAACAACAACAAAGTTTTAAAATTATTTTTCAAATTTCACTGTTGGGAATCAGCCCAAACTTTCCTGAGATTAACCGGAGATGGTCCTGATCAAGTATTGTTATTTTTGCGGTCAGTCAGGTATCCAACATGGTCGTCGTCTTGACAAAGCACATATCAAACTTCATTTCCAGATCCACTGGTGCCATTGAGCTGAAAATTGATAGGGACATTAAGGAAAGGACTGAATGACCAAGAATTGGCTTTTGGTGATCTTCACATATGACAATAACGAGTCGATGAACACGGATAAAGACTATAAGAAAACCGAATTCTTTCGTTTTTTCAATACTGGTTTTGTAACAGCCCCTAAGTGATGATCACAAAATTCCGTTAAGAGATATGAGAATGGTGATGAAAAGGTGAATTTAACTATTACAGAAAGGGGAAAGCGTTGTGTCCAAGACTTCTTCAGGATCTGGACTACAAGAGCAGAGCTTTTGAATTAATTATATAATTAGTCATAAGAAAGTGTCCAATCACTAGAAGGAGTCTCGTGGATGTGTAATATACTAGACAGGAAACAAGCCACACACAAGAAATTACAGGCCAGTCAGTCTTATTTCGGTCGTATTCAAGACCGCAGAACCACTAGTAAAAAAAATCACAGAATTAAACACATGAAAGTTAATTATCCTGAAAGCAGTAAGCAACACCAGTTTACATCGGGCTGATCTACAACTCTTTAACTACTTTATATATCGGTGCTTGATAAAAGGACCACCTCCATGGACAAAGATATCCGGTTGTATTTACACAGATATTCAAAAGGTATATGATAACGTCCCACATAAGAAACTGGTTAGAAAACTAAAGGTTACGGAATACAATCGGATAGATGGCTTTATAAATGATAGAATAAACAGCGTAGTTAACATTGTAAAATACCATATACACTATCTCGGTGATATAATCCCGATAAAATCAGAGGTAGAAAAATGGAAGGAGTAACAATTGACAGCAATCATGACTTTGAAAGACATATTTATTTTTAATTAAGAGCAAATTCTATGATAGCAATCATAAGGAGATTAGTTCAGAACTTGGACAAAGAAACATTCATTCTCATATACAACAAAGGATACTGAGAAAATTGAAGTAGGTAAATTATGTTGGTTCCTGAACTGAAAAACCTTTTATATGGGGAGCAACTGAAACGTTAAAAACTGTCAACGCAATCGCACAGGAGTTAACAGGAGAATTAATCCTTGGAATTTACAAGGTTGCTGTGTCAAATTGATCCAGAAACGGAAGAAAATCTATCTTCATCAGTGTATAATAAAGAATAGACACTAATTTTCATCCAAGATCCGCAAAATTTTGGAATATCAGAAAATGTAATATAACTAAGTGAATAGCGTCGGTACAATCAACTCTCATATCTTTGCCAAAATTACTATGTGTTGACTGTACTATATAGAGTATTCAACACTGTAGCAGATAGCTTTTATTAGATGTATATTGAATATCATTAAAAATGTTTTTTTTTTCAATAAATATTTATCGGTGACTTACTTTTTGAACCATTAAAGAACCTAATTGTGTTATGAACAAGACATATGGGGGAGGGTGGGGGTTCACTTGTTCTGGCCATAAAGTTACAGGTGGTGTGTTGTTAACTTTATCCTGTACATTCTTGACAGGGCCATAATTTTTGAACTGCCAAAGATGGTGATGAAATTGAAACTATAACTGTGGAACCTAGAGCTGTGCAGTGCACCGATATCATTAGGTCACTGTGACCTCCATCTGAAGGTCAGAGGTCAAATACAGGAAGTACACAATTTTCATACCAATGTTTTTCAACTTATTTATTTTGAAGAGTTAAGGTATCGTACTAAAATTTGTATACATAGTGTGCATGTATGTCTTGCCTTAATTGCAATGAAAATAGAAACAAATAGACATTGAATTTGACCTAAAATATTGATCTGCAGTAAAGTGTTTTCATATTTAAGTTGGCATAACTAGGCACAAAGGGGACCTTGCATCGGAAATTTAAGAAAGTTCTAAAGTTGGTTGCATGAAACATCACAAAAGATGGTTGATTTGAACAGTCTATGATGATGGCAGGCTAACAATACAAAAAAACACCAGTACTTGAGGTTCAAGTTGACTTTTACTTGGTTAAAAAGACAATTATTGTAGAATTGTTTCACCAGAAACAATCCATCAAGTTACAGCAATGTTGTTTCCTTCAACTCCAGGCTATCACATCAGCTTTCATTTTGCTTTGGTCAGTAAATATGTATTTCAGTTGTGGATGAATATATATTGACATTCCTCATAGTAAACAATTCAGCTGAGAAAAGCAAGAGAACTGATAGGCCTGTATTCCTCATCTGATATTCAATGTTTTTCACAAATACATTGTACTGTAATGTCTTGATCAATGACTTACATTCGAGGCTAAATGTTACTAATGTAATTGATTTCAGCTTTCAAATTTTGAAAAGATAGATTGCAAAACTATCCCTAAAAGTCTGATTTTTAAAACACTTCCTCATCCTAACTCTCAAGTATTTGGGTTAAATGAAAGCTCTCAACCTTGTTAGACTTCATACTAGAACCCTACTAATATCATAAGCCTGCATTAAATGGTTCTTAAGTAAATGGGTCAGAGAATCAGGCAATCAACAATCCTGTACTATGGCAAAAACTCAGTTGGCTCTTCTGGCCAGGCTCATAAAGAAATGACAATTGATATCGTCTAAGCTGCCTAAAAAGATGTTAAAATGTAATTCAAGAAGTCGTTTTCAACCAACTTTATCATACATGTCATTCGCTATTGATAAACACAAGTGACAGCATTAATTAGTTCTGACACACAAAGGAATTGGTTTGTTTCTAAATAAAATATCTACATCATGTAGCACTGAGAACTATACTCTGTAGCCTCCACACAATGGCAAACACTAAACACGCCAAAGAAAGAAATTTCAATGTCTGTTTCACCCAGTCTGATCCTTCATTCACCTGTAAGACAAAAAGACACATGATATGATATTTTCTAGAGTGTCCTGATACTAATTTATTTGTTTTTATTCACAAACCAAAGATTCAAAATAGATATAACCAGGAAATGCATATAAGAATGATAATTTGAACAAGTGTAAAACTTGATGTCATGATACTAGGGGGTAAACAAAAATCTATAGTGAGGCACTAGACAGGATGGACAGACAGACAGACATAGGAAACAATATATACTACTTTCCAACAACCCACATAAATCCTTACCTGTGGTGTACTACTGACACAGGAAATCTGTCCCTTCTTTAATGGCGGTGGAACAGAGGACTGAGTTCCCCACAAAAATCCTTACCTGTAGTGTACTACTGACACCAGAAATCTGTCCCTTCTCTAAAGAAGGAGGAACAGAGGGCTGAGTTCCCCACAAAAATCCTTACCCATAGTGTACTACTGACACCGGACATCTGTCCCTTCTTTAATGGTGGTGGAACAGAGGACGGAGTTCCCCACAAAAACCCTTACCTGTAGTGTACTACTGACACCGGTAATCTGTCCCTTCTTTAATGGAGATGGAACAGAGGACTGAGTTCTCCACAAAAATCCTTACCTGTAGTGTACTACTGACACCAGAAATCTGTCCCTTCTTTAATGGAGGTGGAACAGACGGTTGAGTTATCTCCTTTTTAGATGCCACTTTTCCTTTCATAAAGTGTTTCCCTGTCTCCACAATTTCCACACGAACTAATTTTCCCATAAAGTCCTCATCCTGTGGAACTAATACCTAAACAAATAAAGAAAAATCAAGAAAATGAAATCTGACTGTTTTCACCAGAGCATTAAACATAGCATCTAGATGCTCTTATTTTGTTATTCCGGTTGCAATCATGTAAAACTTTGTTACAGCAAACATTTCAAAATACAAAAATGTAAGAAAGAACTCAATTGTTTGTTTATATGTTTGACTGGTTCATTGATAAAGATTTCCAGGTTTATTTGAGGTGGGGTTTCCTAATAGTAGTTGGTGACTTTCTCATTGAACAACATACAGGATGCCTATCGCTTCACAGCCAGAGCAAGTGCCTTACCTAATACAATCACATCAGCAAGGACTGGTCTGCCCTACTGAGATACACTTACTGGTCTGTTAGGGAACATTAATTTACACACCTTGAATCTTAAATGAGGTTGTAAAGTCTGTAAATCTACTGACAGATCTACTGGGGCCTCCTCAAACATACAACAGAATCTTGATCTTACCTGATCATAAAATCTATTGTGACCAACATAATACTGTTTGTCATGTGAGATTTCTGTCACTAACACGTCCTGGATTTCTCCCATCTGTGAATGGCATGAAAAAGTAACATTCAATTCAAAGGGAAGTAACTTTTCAGATTCACATCTTATATTATGTACACAATAAGATAGAAAATGAAGGGGGTTTATTATTAGACAAATGGCTGACTCACTGGTCTGTCTTACAAATTAAACAATTCATGAAGGTAAACCATAACACATATCCATGTTTATACCAGTCGTTCTTCAAATATAGCTCTACCTCAAAAGGCCTTTGACTAAATAATTACATAAAAAATGTATTTTTAAACTATCAATCTCAAAGTTCTTTACCTTAATATACTGAAAACTAAATACATTACCATAGTCATTTTTTTCAAGGGCAATACAACAAAGTGGTCATACAAACTGAATTTGAACAGTAATCTAAAGACTTATATACTTGATTTCTATTTGTCTTATGTCATTTAGTAGTATTTTCAATGTTAACAAATTTGCCAACAAGGACTTGATATCACATACTAAGCCTCCTTCCAACTTTCAGTCAATCTTTTCACACTAGGGCAAGGAGCTTAATTATGTTAAAAGACAGAATGATTATTTCAATAAAGTATTCTGTATCAAGGAAACTACCTCTTTTCTATCTGATAAGATTTCTATTACTGTAAACATATTTACGTGTAGTCTTATTTTAGCACTTTTATCTGTATTCCTGCCGTCAGTATTGTGCTGATTACAGATTCTGTACATACATATTGCTTATTAAGCGATCAATGTGATGAACTCTCTTATGATTGTGCTAATTTACCAAAAAGTGACGATGCACTGGAAGTTGATGGTGTCAAAGCAGGTAAAAAATATTTAGTAACCATTGTGGCATGGAGGTATTTTTTCCCAAAACCTATAACATTGACTGCAGTATGACATTTTATATCACCATTTTAATACAGACTGTTAGGTATGACTTTTGTTTTAGTTCATCTGAATTTGGAAAATGAATTACCTTATGATCATATGTTCTATATGAGTGAAACAACTCTGATACTGCCTTTGTCCTCTTCTTTACCTGGAAACCAAACAAACTATATCATAACTATCTGTGAAATGAGACTACACAACACTCTTGTTTTATATATAAAATAAGTTATACATATCATTTTGTCAGACGTAGCCTGTAATTTAAACCCTAAAAGCTCATGCCTTGTAACAAGCCCAACTATAGATACTGTTGTTCAATAGAACCACAGACCAGTACTACCTCATTGTCCTGTATTAATTCCGTTCTCTGACTACATTTTAAAATTTTTATAAACACTGTATATCATGATGTGGTAACAGTATATAAATACCCTATCTACCATAATCTACATTTCAAAGCACAACCCACTGCTTACATATATCAGAAAAAAAGTGAAAAACATAAATGTATTCACGGGTAAATTCATATTATCAGAGAGGACCTTTTTCTAAATATAAAATGGATCATTTCAACTGTTAATTGCAGCCAAACACACTAAAAAAGTAAATAGTTAAAAGTTAACTATAATAAAGTATAGAATGCAGTACCTGAGGAGGAGGAATTCTTGGCATTTTAGCTGCTGGGGTTCCTGGTCGTGGAAAAAATTGGTTGATAAACAAACTGGGAAACCTGTAATCTTCCACCAGCTGCATAGTTTCTTTAAAATCCTACAATGATACAAACACAAACTTCTCATCCAAAACCTGCACTAATTTATTATCATTTACCTAAATACTGTCAAAATACATCAACATATAGCTTATACATAGGTAATTATCTAACAAGATCAAGGTAGCGATGTTCATGCCTTCAGCAATGTAAACTTATGAATCGGGGTTACAACATTATGAATGCTTTATAGACATAAACTATCTAATATTGATTTTCTTTCAATTTTTCCTTGTCATTAGATAAAATATTTTGTTAACCTTTTCTTCATTTTGGAACATATTCAACCAATACTTGATTATCCATTGATCATGAACATCTCACAATCACCGTGTGTCACTTTTACCAATAGATTGGTCAAAGTACTTTCATGGAAAGTACTAAATGGAAATTGATGATTGATGAACATGTATGAAACAACCAGAAAAGATATAGATGCCCCCAGAATCTGATCTGATCATCTGATAACATAAGATTATAATACTAAGGGGTAAATATGAACCAGTCTTTTAGGTATGACATTGATTCCAATTGGAACAGGATGTGATGCCATCGGATAGATGGACAGGAGTAACACTATATGCAGTTCCACCAATAAAATGGCTGAGGACATAAAATATACTCACTTCTTCTGTCTCTGTAGGAAATCCACAGATCAGATCTGTTGCTATAGTAACACCTGGCACACTGAAACATTAAGTAGAATTTGGTAAATATTGAAGGCAAGTCCAGGTAAACTTCTTCTACACAGAAACTATCTGTAAGGTATAACCACTGCTTTTACTATTCTGTACCTGGTTTGTTTTGTGTATGCATATGTGAAATCAAAATCAAATTTGGAACCAATAATCAACATTGATATAAAAGGCATCCCAAACTACTAGCAATACACAATGAATTAAAGAACTTATTCATTCATAGATGTTTTCTCCTCTGAAATTCAAGGTATCTAAATTTATATTACCATGTCTCTCCAGATCTAGATTTCAGATTTGTGTCTTCATGTTTTTATTCTAACAATTGTAGTACAATCTCTAAAGGACAATGTTTTTATTCTAACAATAGAATCTTTCAAGCACAGACTCCTGAAGAAGAAACAAATTTACATACTTGGCTTTGAGAAAATCTGCCACTTGTCGAAAGTCAGCTTGGCAATACTCGCGCCGCATGTCCATCAGGACACTGTCAGAGGCAGATTGGACTGGTACATGGAGAAAGGCATAAACACGTGGGTGACTCAACACTTTGGCAATCTCCTAAAAGTTCAACAATACATGTCACAAACATAGGTATATGGAGAGTATTGCTTATCCTATGTTATGAATGCTAAACACAGATTATTAACATATCAAAATTTATGTTTTTCTCATTTCTGAACAGATAATCTTTTTTTTTCTTTTCTGGTTACATTTCTACATTTTAAAGTATTTCTAACATACCTCAAGATGCTCTAGTATATATGGTGGGTTGGTCATTCCAAGCCTCATTCTGGCACCTTCAGGTATGACCTCCACTAGTTGCCACAGTAATTGTGGTAAGGTTACACCAATGTCGTGACCATATGCTCCAAGGTCTTCAGAGGTCAGCCATATTTCAACCACACCCTCTGTTAAATTCATAAATTTCATAAAAATATCATAAGCAAAAAGACTAATCATCTAGACTCCAATTTCCTATATGATACAGCAAATCATGATCAACTGAAATGCACCAGACATTTTGGTATTGTTATGCAACATTTTATATATCTAAAAATAGATGGATATGTAGAAGAATATCATTCACTCGTACTCTGACACAAATGTTATCTACAGTTATGAAATAAGAAACAATATTGTAGTGTTTACCTTCAAATGACTGTTTAGCCCTAGCTACAATCTCTTCTGGTTTGTAACTGCCCAGTTCTCCTCTGGCATGCTTTGTCTTACAGTAGGTACACTGGTTTAAGCAGCTGTGATAAAAATGCAGTGATAAATCTATAAACTATTTTCTTGAGTCCTTTTCAACTTAATTGCTAAAAACAATATGTATCACAAATTCTAGAACATATGGTAAACCTCTGGTCAGTTCGAACAGGGGGCAGTTCTAATACATGATTTTTTCAATAAAAACAATAATATTCTGTCTAGTGATAGTTTGAATCCTTTCTTGTAGATTTCATTTAAATTTCGAATTGTTCAAACATATCAAAAGACTGCACAATGTTGACCTTGATAGTTCAAAATCTTAATTTATTGTCATGAGCATAATTTTTAATAATTTGAACAGGTTCAACAATATTTAGTTAATTTTGTTGGAACTGACCGTTTACCTTGATTATGTAGAGTGATGCTAAAATGTTTGAAATAAGAAAGATCTTAATAACACAAGGAACTATCACCTCAACTTACTTCTCAATAATCACACTAGAAATCCCACCATGTGTAGGTGTTAAACCAAATAATAAAGACAAGAGGTTTCAATGCTTTTATGTTTCAAATACTCAGAAATGAAATTGATGTATGGTTATTTCTCATTTTCCGTCTGGAAATATATCTACAAAAAATTCTTTATGAGGAAATTTCTGACAGCCTGACCCAGCAAAGCCTTGATTAGACAATCATGAAGGTCCATTGGTCGAGATTTCTCTGTCCTACCCGAAAGACAGGGAAAGATCCTACTAATCTCAAGTTGTTCATAACTTCAGCTCTATTTCTTTCATCGAATTAGAATTTGGAAATAATGCAAGCTTCTTCCATCATTTGTTGCTACCCATGTAAGAAGCTTTCCTTCATTTCCGGAAGTGGAGATAAAAGTTGTATGGGTTAAGTTCTTCTTTAACCAATCAGGGTGCAAGAAATAATTTTATTTAAAAATACTGACCATCTTTGCAAATCAGTCAAGATGGTGGACAATGTATAAGTACAGTGCATATAACTGAGGCTGTAATAAAACCAAATCATAAGATGGTATTGTCCACATGTGAACTGTCCAAAAGAAAGGTATATAATACCATTGAAAACAAACAAGCTCACCCTGTATTAATAGCGATGATCTCGATAAGTGGGTTCTTCCTGATCTTAGGCAGACTAAGTGGAGCGCCCCCTGTTTTCTTCCCAGACTCCTTCTTCTGTCCCAACAATCTGACTGAGTTACCTATGGAACACACATTTAAAATCTCTTCATTTTGTGAATATTTATCAGTTCTTACTTCTTTTACAAATAAATCCAGCAAGAGTTATGCCTGAATGAGCACCATGTACATCGGTAGCACTTCCTGAATGTAGTCTCCCAAAAGACCCAGCTAATCCAAACATCAAGGCCTCCTTATCATCATGCAGTTAAGTCTAATCCATCATTTATCACACATTAAAACACGACAGAGAAATTTCTATTGTTTCCTGATGAAAAAGCCCTTGGCCCTGACACACACAGTATTATTGTTACAGGTTACAGGTACTTATGGCAGGGATTTCTATGCTGACAGGATTAGAATAAGTACCACATTATTTTTACATTAGTGATCAAATGGATTGTAACATTAGCAAAAAATGGAAGTTTTCTACACTGAAGGCAGAACTTTTCTCCCTTTATCAAAATACTACTGTATTGGAAGATAGAATGTATTGAAGATGAATGAGAATCTCTAAATCAGTAAATCTAGAAATTTAAGAATCTTTACCTTTCAGAGTTTCTTCTACAACCTCTGTTACTCTATCTATTTGTTGAACGCCTATTATGCTTAAACCCTGAAAAAAAAAGGAAAAAGGTAATCACATACTGTGTGTCAGAGGTTAGTCCACTTCCCCAATGTGAGTCACAGATTAGCCCATTTCCAAGCTGTGAGTCACAGATTAGCCCATTTCCAAGCTGTGAGTCACAGATTAGCCCATTTCCAAGCTGTGAGTCACAGATTAACCTTCACCTCAGCTGTGAGTCAGAGATAAGTCTACTTCTCAGCTGTGATTCAGAAATTAGCCCACTTCCCAGCTGTGATTCAGAGATTAGCCCATTTACCCAATGTGAATCCCAGATTAGCCCATTTCCCAGCTGTGATTCAGAGATTAGCCCACTTCCTAGCTGTGAGTAGATATTTGCCCACTTCCTAGCTATAAGTCAGAAATTAGCCCACTTCCCAGCTGTGGTTCAGAGATTAGCCCACTTCCTAGCTGTGATTCAGAGATTAGCCAACTTACCCAATGTGAATCACAGATTAGCCCATTTCCCAGCTGTGATTAAGAGATTAGCCCACTTCCTAGCTGTGAGTCAGATATTTGCGCACTTCCTAGCTGTGATTCAGAGATTAGCCAACTTACCCAATGTGAATCACAGATTAGCCCCATTTCCCAGCTGTGGTTCAGAGATTAGCCCACTTCCTAGCTGTGAGTCACAGATTAGCCTTCACCTCAGCTGTGAGTCAGAGATAAGTCTACTTCTCAGCTGTGGTTCAGAAATTAGCCCACTTCCCAGCTGTGATTCAGAGATTAGCCCACTTACCCAATGTGAATCACAGATTAGCCCATTTTCCAGCTGTGATTCAGAGATTTGTCCACTTCCTAGCTGTGAGTCAGATATTTGCCCACTTCCTAGCTGTGATTCAGAGATTAGCCCACTTACCCAATCTGAATCACAGATTTGCCCATTTCCCAGATGTGATTCAGAGATTAGCCCACTTCCTAGCTGTGAGTCAGATATTTGCCCACTTCCTAGCTATAAGTCAGAGATTAGCCAACTTTCTAGCTGTGAGTCAGAGATTAGCCCACTTCCTAGCCGTGAATCAGAGATAAGCCTTCTCCCCAGCTGCAAGTCAGAGATTAACCCACTCCCCAGCTGCGAGACAGAGATTAACCCGCTCCCCAGCTGCGAGTCAGAGTTTAACCTGCTCCCCAGCTGTGAGTCAGAGAATGTGTGTCAGTCCCTTAGGCTTACTAGTTCCTGTTTGTAAAGTAATGAATCAATTTTACAGTAGATATTTTACAGGAACAGTCTTTAATAAGGAATGGTACAGAGAAAATCACTATTACCTTTAAAAAGTCTACTCTAGGCTGACCCTGGGGCACACATCCAGCAACCACCATCTTTTTTTCAAGCTCGCGTGCTTTTGTTATCTCATTCCTGAAGTGGTCCTCTGCTGGGTTCTTCACTGTACAGCTGTTGAGCAGCCAGAGATCTGCTGTCTCTTTGTTATCTGGTGTACACAATACAAGATAAATCCATAGTTGTGATAATGTTCCCATAAATACAAAATTGTTACAAAGTGTTATGACTGATCTCGCTTTCATTTATTTCTCTTGAGAAAATACCTTAATCTTTAAAAAACACTCAGTGCAATGTAAAAGTAACTCCAAATTCATATAAAACTGACTTGAGATAAAATATCATAAATAATTCATAATTTTTTTCATGGTAGCACATCTCTTAAGAATGAAATTATTCGAAATTATCACTTATTCCATGCATATACCTTACCAACTATTTGGTAGCCATAGGCAGCCAGCTGTCCTGCCATGTATTCACTGTCTGAGTTATTATGAGAACATCCCCAGGTCTTCACATATATCTTCTGGGTACCTTTTTAAAGTAATAACATCAACTGAATTTTGATAAAAGTAATTGATATACTGACATCAACCAATGCTCAATCAAAATACATTTGTATACCAAATGATCACAATCACTCTCTTACAAACAAATCATTGACAACTGCATCTTTGCCTGTATTTTATCATTTACAATGGTTTACAAAAGAATGAGTATTTACAAATCTTCAATACAGATTCTAGCCTCATCTGTGTAGTAAGAGATAAGGTGAGTATCTGTGGTATCACTGTTTTCATGGCATACTATACATTTGTGACTGTAGTTAATTCAAATAAATAAACTCAATGAAATTAAAAATAAGACGTCTAGGCCTGTGTCATTTATAAAATAAAACATTTGCAAATGTTTTGAGATCTGTTTACCAATATATGATGGTGATGTAACAATGTGCAAATATTGATGTTTTAATTAGTGACACTGTTTAACTATATTTTAATTAATTGAATTGTTGCGCTGCGTTCGTTGTACTGTTATGTAATACTGTGTTGCGTGCGGCCACTGTTCCGTCTACCTGTACTGTCCTTGTAAGTGTTTGATGTCATGTGTCTTACTTTGTGTTGTCCATATATGGGTATTATTCCTAATATAGGTATTACTTCGTTTTGGGTCAGTGGTCAGTCCGGTTGTCTTTGTCTATGTTTGGCGCGGTTTTTTATTAGTCCTTTGTGTGCAGACCTGGAGAGCGGACGTATAGTAGATCTAGACCTGTGTCCACAAGATTTGAATCTTGGGTCTTGTAATTGGTTCTCCAGATATTTGGTATGTACGATAAAGTCTCAGTCTAGCTGCTCTCGTAATTGGGTGTTGTAAATTATTGATTCATTTTATAATTGAGGGTTCAGATGAAGTAAAGTTAATTAATGTGTGAAACGGTGCTTTTCATAAAGTGATGTAATTGTGATCTCATGTACGTATATATGGATTGAAGTTATTTAAAATAACAGGTGAAATATACCTTTACATGTATTTTACAGATTGATGTAAGATCTACAATTAGTCCACGCACAGACCTTTTTTTTTCTGTCTGGCAAACCCCCGACCCATAGTTGGGGTAGGTATTTTAATAGATATTATATGTAGAATACGAGAGCTTGTGTAATTGATAATGTCAGTTATATTATGAGTAATTATGTAATAATGTAAGTTGTAAGCAGTTTCCTGTAGACCACGATCTACTTATATATACTAATAAGCGTAAAGCTGAGGCCTATTGATATTCCTATTTAGAATAACGTATTAAGTGTGAATGTATTAAATATGTATTTACTGGATCTACATCATGTTATGAATGTAGACGTTTCATTATGTAATTGATTGTATTATGTCTTTGTAGGGTTTTAATTGTATTCTGTACAACATAGAATAAATGGAATAAGTCAGCACAGTACACGTCGTTGTTCTTTAAAAACTTGACAACTTTACAGTGAGCATCTTGAACTGAATTTCTTACAAATACGTACATCAATAATTTATACACTGATCAGAGCAATGAGAAAGTTACTGAGCTTATTGATTAAATCTGACCTGGGACCTGACAAAATGAGTATCAAAAACAAACAGTAAGCAACCTGGAATATGACTATCGCCATGAACTTGTTCTCTGCTTTTCGGGCTTGAGATGAGCTTCTTTGCCCGTGCTGTGACATGTTTGCGAGGCTGATGTCTGATATCATCTACTGATGTGTCTTTAGAGATCATGTCCTCTATGTCTGCCACATCAACATCCTTATCGCAACCTGCTGGCATTGTGTTTGTGTGTCTTTAATAGCCTCTAACTTGCATCTGTCAGTACACTTTCTATAACTGCAATAAAACATAAAAAGATGATTAGTTAATTTACAAAAGGTGTACATGTTTTATTGGGTGTTTGATTATCATCATTTGTTAAGTTTTCTTGCCTTTTGCTTTGACCACAGTAGAACTGTTTTTTGCATGCACAAATTGAAAAATTTTAATAATACATTACATTTGTAGTCCTATATTTCCTTACATATGTATATACAATCGTAGTTGTGTTTTTGAGTTTGATAAGTGTCTTTTATTTTTTTTCTTTCATTATTTTATCGAAGTTTAACAATCATTCAGGTAACACTTTTTATAATTTTTTTTTGTGAACGAGACACATTTTGTGATTGTGTTTAAATGTGTTGTGTTTTATTAGTTGTTATCCCTATTTGCATGCGTGTTGTACATGAGTAGTGCTGTGTAAGGAAAGTAAAGTGTACATATACTAACAAGGTACTGTGTATTCACAGGGGCATGTTGTATTTATTGTAGAGGAGACGGCTCCTGTAGTACAGTACAGTTAGTAAAAATAGATTAAAATTATGTATTACATAGACCTCCTTTCTCAGAAACATTGGTGCATGCCCTTGCCTGTGAACATGCTGTATATATGTACATTTGTAAGAACAGATGCAATCGCATGGGAAGACATTTAGTTATTTATATGATATAATGACAATACTATTTGTTGGCAAACTGTGATATCCATACTAACCATTACACATGTATTGTTTATCAATATCGGCAGACAATAATAATGTTTACAATAAGCGTCATAACTTCATAAACTTCTGCAATACCGGAAGATCAACGTGACTTTAAATGAAGAGTTATTAAAGGGGAAGCTACTCTAAAATTACTTCCTCGACGGAGGCGGAAAAGATATAACAAAAATAGAAATAAGTTCTAGTCTGCCGTTAACAAATTGGGGTATGCTTTATCAACAGATTACTTACGTGCGCTACAAAGAGAATACCATTCGACGAATTTAATGAGTATCAAGTTTTCTTCGCGGCCACTGTCGACTAATCTTCCTTTATGTCGCTGGCAGGTAAACATGCAAATCTCAAAGAGAAAGTAGCCCCAGTTCTACAAATATTCCATGGTTTTACTGGTGTCTTTATCACGTGCTTTGTTGTCATCGAAGTTTGTAGGCCTACATAGATACATGTCATTATTTACAAAGGTCTTATCAATCGAGAAAATAATTTCTGAGTAAAATAAATCAGACGTCTTTGCAACAGCTGATGAACCTCGGACATAAGATTGAGACACCCCCACCACCTGAAAGTCTTAAAACATATATACAGATATAGGTTCAGTCATCAAGATACCATAATGCACAAAAATATTTGAACAAGTGCACGTGATTAATTGATGCTACAATTTTCTTGAAATTAAATAAAATCATTAGGTTATCAATGAGACTGAAAATTGAATCCAACAATAAATGTTTATTTCATAGCCGTCTATCTCCATCATCCTATACGGTTACTGTGGTTCTCTTGTTTAAGACTTGGTTGGAGTCTAGGTAGAACAATGATTTTTAATCAAAATCAGCTTGATTAAATTATATTAACAACACCTTATAAACTCAATTTAGATAAAGGCTTACCCTACTTTTTCTGTTTTTCCAGTTGTTTGAGGACCTAGTGTGTGATGCCAAGTCTGGCCCTATTGACAGGGTATGGCTATCTCCTGGACATGTGTATATAACCATCAATGGAGGAACACATCTTTACACTTTTGATACAAAGCCGACCAATAAAACACATGTAAGTTGGATGTTGTTGTGTTTTAAATTTCTATTGTACTGTATAGGTGTTAATAAGTAAACTAAACTAAAGATGTTTAGAGTTAATTGTCTTCATATTTTCAGTCTTTTATCTACCCTACATAATCCATTTTAGCATAGTCCTATATAAATCAAAATACAATGTATAATATGTATTTTCTACTGGGTTTAATGACTTATGCAGGAGGAAAACCGAGGATGTCTGGACTTGGCTGACCTTGACCACCCTGTATTAGATATTCTGGTATCTTCATCAAATTACAGTTTAGTCCTTGTGGTGAGTATCAGGGCTAATACTGACTTAAATCAAACTACAGTCAAGTCACAAGTGGTGAGTATCAGAAGTGACCTTAAAATTCATTAAACTACAGTCAAATCCATGGGGTGAATATCAGGGCTGATCTTGATCTTCATCAAGCTACAGTCAAGTCAATGTGATGAGTAATAGAGTTGATCCTGACCTTCATCAAACTACAATCTTATATATAGCCCCATTTGGTGAGTATCAGGGCTAATCATTTCATCCAACTACAGATTAGTCCATATAGTAAGTAACAGAGCTGGCCTTTGTCTTCATCTAGCTACAATATATTCTATGAGTATCACAGGTGATCTCAATCCCAATCGCAGCTAAACTATTTTTAACTGCAAGTCTATGTGCATACAGTCATTATGTAAAGTCCTATTGTTTATCTGTACATGATATTGAACTGTTTAAGGTTCAGAGGAATGGCCACGTCCAGTGTTGGAAATTTCGTGGTGACCTGACATGGATGTTAGTGAAGAGGTTTGACCTTTGCAATGTGAATAGGTCTGAGGTCACCTGCATTTGTCTTCACTCTGCACAAGAAACTCTCTACTGGTGTGAGCGACGACCGAACTTATCCAATGTTTCTAATTACTCTGTTTGTAAACGACAGGTAGATGTAGGTGGGTTAACTGAGAGAATTTTGAGGTCATATCAATATTATTACATGTATTCTTCAATAGTTGTTAAAATTATTGTGATTAAGCATCTGTATATACACTGTTAATGTAGATGTGATTTTATGGTTCCTGTAGAATTCAATGCTATTTCCCCTGTAAAGAAAAAGAGCAAATGAAATGTTTGTAAAGATATAAAAAAGATTTTAACAAATGTATAAATATGAAGTTAGAAATACTTTTATTGTGGATTACTCTGGTGGCTGTTTAACTAGGTTTTTATTTTCCTTGTATAGATGAAGATAAACTTGGTGCCAAAGATTACAACAGTACCCAAGTGGTTTTACAGAACTGTCCCTCAGCAATTCTCTATCCTGTCTCATTTGGTGTTGCCATTGTCATCAAGTATGTTCTGGAAAAGTAACTTGTTAAAACCCTATGTATAGATGTGAATTAGATGACAATTGTATGAAAAAGTTTTCCTTAATTATTTGAGCCTTAAATTTCCTTTTACCGGATGTATTATTAAGGACTAGTACATGTAACACAAATATTCAAATTACCTTCAATAAAGATTAATAAACAAATGAATGATTTTCTTAAAATCATTTATTTAAATTCTCAATGTATCAGTTGAAATATTAATTGATAATGTGTCACAGGTAAATATATGATTTTGACCATGTTTCTGCTATGTAACATTACTAATGAAAGGGAATTCAGCCATCCAGGCAAACACTGATGAAGGATAAAAAGTTCACATTCTAAAAATATGAGCAGTTGTTGTATAAGTTATTCATATGTGCCCCATTGATATACATGTAAGTCAGTAATGATAGTGATCAAAAGTTTTCATTTTGGTTTAATGCTACTTTACCTACTATTTTCTAGGTTGAAACCTCCATTGGTCTCTATGGTGATACTATGGCTGCCAGTAGTGAGCAAAGTTGTGATACATGTAGGTTGTCACCAAGTAGAGCTGTCAGAGTTTGGGACACGCCAACCAATAGAGTTTCGGAGTCTGGCATTCAAGCTTGTTGGTTACACAGTACGAGTAAGTATTCTTAATTTAAACAGGAATTCAGACTGTCTTTTAATCAGAGATATATCTTTGTCTCCGTGTCCAACTATGCTATAGCATCACACCTCAGGCTCTACACCTGATAAGATCTCAAGGGACATCAGTTAAGATTTAAACCTCCATTGGTCTCTATGGTGGTTAGTCACAGCCGTGACCACTCATATATATAAGTTATACCAGGTATTGTTAACCCTATACCTTTATTAAATTTTGGTGGCTATAAGTCAGTGTTAATTATAGGTTAATGGTCACTCAGTTTCTTTTATGTTTTTGCGATTTCATGGTGTAGGGTAGGACAGGCATTTAGTGTTACCCAGGTACGTTTTGTCTTTTCCCATTCAGAATCAATATCATATCTTAAGATCTCATGTCATACAGACATTTTCTAGTGTCAAGATTAAATTAACATTTGTGGGAGACTTCTCATCATTGCTGTATCAGACTTTTACGTGGTGTAATTTATGCTGTAAAATCAACTTTTAATTTTGTAGCTGAAACCAGAAAATAGAATGACAGGTGTGACCTATGACCCCCAAACAATGGAGGTCAGTGTGATAGAGGGTGAAATGCATGTCAGAACCATCTCAGATACAAAATGTAAGTTCTATATGAAATTCATCCAAATGCTAAATCAAGCAGTGTTGTTATTAATGTTGACATAGGTTCCTATCATGTAGATTTACCATGCTGATTTTGTGAATGCTTGTTTTTCTAATTTGTGTTTTATTTGATTCTCCAAACAATTAATATCTATTTAATATGCATATTTGCAACATCTCTTAGATACATAAACTCCTCTTCCGTTTGGAATAAGTCATGAAGTTTCATAATGTTCTATGAACAATATTTAGGAGTTAAACCAGACAATCTGATGTCCTCAAAACAAAACTAAGTCCACTATAACAATTCTTAAGGATTTACCCTATGGAACAAATTAAGATTGAGTGATTATGTAGAAAACTGTTAAGCTGAATATGTTAAAACTTATGTGTATGTTTTACCACAAATGCAGCATGTCTTCAGAAAAGCTGCCAGAAGCTTCATTATAAAGACGTCAAAGAAATGGACAAAGTTATCAAATGGATGACATTCCAAGGTGCTCTGGTTGCAGTGTGTAAATCACAGGTATTGTAAGTACCACATGGATTAGGTTGTGTACATAGTATTATCACTCACTTCTCATTGCTGATTTAAATGTTAATCTCATTGCTTATGTAATTGTGCTTTTCTTGCAGTTTGCTCGCATTCAAATTTGACTCAAAGTCAGTGGGTATAAATAGATCCTTTATCCTCTCTAAGATGGTAACGGTAGAAATTGATTCATGTATTTCATTTACCAACAGTAAGATACATGTAAGATACATGTATGTTCATGAGACATGAGAAGAAAAAAACCTCATAAATCAGGTGCCAGTAATGTGTTTGTGTTACATGTATATGATAAAAAATTGAAAGTGACGAAAGATTCTTTTGTACAGGTTGTTTGACCTTGACACTGGGCAGCTAGTGGACACCCTTGCTTGTCCAGACACCTCAGAGATTGTTGATATCTGTCATTCAAGTCCAGGAACAATGTGGATGTCGTTTTTCACTCAGAATAACATTTATGTAATCCAAGTGAGTGTTGTGTACAGAACATGCTATTTAATTCAGAGGAATAGTCCATCCCTTCTCTGTTTGTCTGATAGTAGTTTGGTACTTGTGATTCTCCTCCTACAAATTCTGAAATATATCTGTAAAGCCAGTTGTAAAAGTTAGGCAACTGTTTTCATTTTTTTTTTTAAATTTTCCTTTCAGACTGTTTTGCCATTTTAGTGTTTGCAAGAATCAACTATGAAACAAAATATTCACACAAAATAAAAAAGGACAATCATTGCAGTACATTAAGTGTCTTAATTTAGGAAAGATGGATATTTACTTTAAGAATGTAAGCATGATGCTGGACTTTTTGCCTTTCTATTCAGCACTTGTTTATCATCTATAGAAATAGATAATAATGTGCAAGTTTTTATTGTGATTTTTAATTTTGATTTTGAACAGAGAACAAAGGAGCACACCGAAGAAAAAATAAAAGATATGTTTGGTTTAAACAACTTTCAGACAAAGGCAGTTGAACTGGGTTATCTAGAACAGGTAGGTAAATACAGATGTACATATGGTCTCTTCAACAATTTAGAAAATAGAGAAACAATTGAGATTTTTTTTATCATTCATATTCAAACTGGGTACATGTATTTGAAATATATTTAAACTATGAATATAACAGTTGCTAACAAAGAATGACCTCTGCTGCTTATCAAGTGACATGAAAAATGTTGATTGTTGATTCAGAAATTTATTGAGAATTTCTGACACATGTTTTAGCTAAAGACACAGAACTGTGGTATTCCTGTTTATGACAGAATCGCCAAGCTTGGCCAGGCTTGGGAAACAGAGGGCGACCGTCCACCCAGTACTCAGCTGGCAGAGACTCTAAGTAATACGTTTACATGATCGAAAGGATGACAAACTAGATCTTCAAATGTATTGACAATATATCAATATATAAATCAGTTTAACTTTCAACTTTTCATGAAGTCATTAAAATGGCAAGATATTGGTAGGTTGTACATGTACTTTTACTCTGTGTAAATTATATATGTATATATTTCATTGAAATAATTTTCTATCATTTGATCAATGATGTTAGGTACCCAGTGTATCTATCGATGTATATGTGTATGTTTCACATATATTTATTGTTGTATCATGTGCATTCTATTGACTAAACACAAAAGTTGAAAAAATTCTCTCGTGCTTTTTAATATGAAGAACTATAGAATAATTTTATTGTTGTGATAATGCATGTTTACAGTATAAAGATTTACAATGTTTAGTGAGTATGCAATGACAGTATAATCAACATGCTTGTATTTTTCAGATCCATATTTGAAGGAGTATTGGAGCCTAGAAAAATTCCAACAGGAAATACTAAATGGAACATTGGTATGCATATGTGAAATTAATTGAATCATCTAAAACAAAATCAACATATCCATTGATTAATTCTATGTTTGAAAAAAGTGTGAAATATAAATATTTGGTTACAACATTGAATTATTTTGAGATTTCATATAATGCTCACTATGATACCTTTTTGCTTTGGAGTTGTTCAGGGGCAACACAAAGATATTGCATGATGGAATGTAATATTTGCCATTATATTTTTTCACGCTGAATGAATTAACAATGTTTGTGTTTAAGATATTCTGGTGTACTTGTCTAGGTGTTACCCAGTGTGTGTCCAGGTGATATTGAAGAAGAAGTCCTAAGGGTTCTTTGTCCAGAAACAAGTATTTCCATGTCCGGCAGACAAGCATGGCTACTCCTTCTGGCTGATAAGTACCCACAAGAGGTATTGGCCATTCTCATGAAGCAACTGGATTTTGACACAGGTATTCATAGTTTTCCCCCAAATGTGACCATTAAAACAGAACTACTATAATAACATTTAGCCTCAATTACCTTCATTTGTATTAAGATTTTGAAGTTTCCTAAAAGCATTAACATTATATAAAAAGTCATATACACAGTGTATGGTAATGCAGGTATTTGTTTTGAGATTATGGAATTTTGACATATATACTATAAATGTAAGTTAGACTTAGTGAAGTTATAAATTCTTCATACAAACATATATGTTTAGAGAAAAACATCCTTTATTATTATCTGTAACTGGATTTTCTCAATTGTATGGAGTTTTTGATTGACTGTCCTTTGCAAAACATGTATTGTACAGAAGTAGAATTATTAGTTGGGTAATACCTTATTCTGCTGTGTATATTCTACAGAAGACATCAGTTCTGCCCAGTTACAGCGCTGGCAGTGTATCCTAGCCAAGGATAGTGTTGTCAGTCCTGTTAGTACTAAAGTTGCTGTGCCCATGTTTGAGCACATCTGTCGGCTGCTCTTCATTGTCCAGCCATCAAGATTGGTGAGATCCTCTTTTGTTGTTGCTTTTCTTTCTAAACAAATATTTCAAAAGTGTTGTCTCCTGTTTATACACAAATTGATGAGACACTTTGATTTAGTGACATCAAACCTTGTAAATTTTTTAGTTAGTAATTAAAAAATAATTTCATCTGAAGCCTTATTTTTACTGTGTATTGTAATTTGTGTATTTGTTGGAAAGTCACTAAATTGACTAGACATGAGTGAGAAGTTATTTTCAACCAATTATAACAATCACATATTTCACAGTTTTGGTCACAAGTATATTCTCAATATTGCATAAGTGTTTAATATCATAGTTCATTATTACACTTGCATCTTGTAACCCTGGTAAAAATACTAGCCGCAATATACCACTCGGCTAGGGAGAACTTCTCTTTAGCTCGATCGATTGAGCATCGGACTAGTAAGCCAGGGGTCCCGGGTTCGATTCCTAGCAGAGGCATTGAAATAAGTAATGATGTCTGTTATTTCTGTGGATCAGTTTATTGCCAACAATGCTGTACTGCAAATTTCATCTGTAGTATGACTAAAGTTTTGATGAATATTGAATACTTATATTTATCTTTTCAGTCAGATTTACACTGATAATTGCTATTTTTATTCAGGTAAACTTTGTGAAGATTGCCCAACTGATCAATGACCAGCGAGTCGGTGTATCGGCCTTCATCAGGAGGAGGCAAGCAGTAAGTGGCATAGTTCATCATATTCATTGTTTGCTTGAGTGTTGTTTGCTCGGAATTCTTCATTTTCATACATTGTATTGGGCTAGGCAAATACTCATTCAGTATGTAACTGTACAAGAATATCATCCTCAATGCTCATAGCTAAAGTGAGTGTTCCATGTGTGACACCTTTTGGATAAGAAATAAGACAAGAAGACTAGTCTGGTCCTTGATGTACGCCAAACAAAAAGTTGCATAGCAGAATATTGTACTTGCTTTGAAGTTGGGTGTCCTTCTTTTGTAATCTTCAAAGGAGCATATCAGTCTGTGATTGGTCAGTTTTTTGCTCCGGAATCCCACTTTCGACCAATCAAATTACTAAACTTGAGACTTAAATTGCAAAGAAATGTTCCAGGGGTGCAAAGAGCAAAAGTGATCAAAACCCCTGGAGTATCGAGGATGCTATAATGTTAAATTTGTTACTTCAACAAAAAATTTGTTCATAGATCAGTGTCAGTATAGAAGATAAGGTAGCATGTTGTCTTTAAATAACATTACTTGTCCCATAACACAGGCAGTACTACTGCTCACACAGCTGATTCAGATTCATGTACTAGATATTCTCTGAGGAAAGGTTATGACTGTAGCCATATCAGTTTGATATAAGCATGGTTGTTGACATGATATGTGTGTGACTTCTCTTACAGCTTCAGTTCTATGACCGTGCCATCATGTGTCTACCGGACCTGGCTAAGTCACAGTGTGTCCTGGATGCTACCACTGCCTATGTCCAACTCCTTCTGGCTAGGTAAGTCAGAATGCCATAACAAGCAGGTCAGTTAAAGAAGGATGCCTCATCAGCTGAGGTTATCCTACTGGACAGGTAAATCAAGGTATCTTTCCTGCTTATGCTCAGATCATACAAGTCAGGTGAATCAAGATGCAATGAATAAGGTACATGTAAGTAAGGATACAAACCCTGCTTGGATCAACTCATACTGGCAAGGTAAGTGAGAATACAACCCCTTTCTAGTTCAACTCCTATTGACCATGTTAGTGAGTATACAAACCCTGTCTTGTTCAACTCCTTCTGTCTAGGTAATAGAGTATACAAACCCTGTCTAGTTCCACTCCCACTGGCCAGTTAAGTGAGTGTACAAACCTGTCTAGTTCAACTCTTTCTGTCCAGGTAAGTGAATATACAAACCCTGTCTAGTTCAACTCCTATTGGCCAGTTAAGTGAGTGTACAAACCTGTCTAGTTCAACTCTTTCTGTCCAGGTAAGTGAATATACAACCTCTGCCTGGTTTACCACCTACTGGACAGATAAGTTAGGACATCTTCTTACATTGGCTGTTCAGATCCTGCCAGCTAGGTAAGTCAATATGCAGTGCCTTCTTGTCTATAAATCACACTGGCCAGGTAATTCATGATACAACACCTATAATCCTGTCTACAACATTTAACACGCAGTTAATTCAAGATACTATACCTACCTGTCTATAAATCCTACTGGCCAGTCAGAATGCTACATCCACCTGATTGGCCAGATAAGTTAAGAGGCAACACCTTTCTTCTCATGGATGGGCAAGTAAGATGTTCTGGTCTACAGCTGGGTGGAAGTGAAACTGCCACATCACCTGCAGTCAGATCAGTGTTGGAGAGAATTAACACTTAGTATGGCAACTGTATAATGAAAACTGTATAAAACTCTTTATAGTGAACAAGATGGGTGTGAAATGAAGGCAATGCAGACATACATGAACCAGGAATGCTGGAGAGATGCTGTTGATCTACTCCCCAAGTACACAGACAACCCTGCTCTTCATGTCAAGTTATTCCATACAGTCCTCCTTTGTATGACACAGGTTGGTACTTAAGTTGATATGTTCTCAGGTGATCTAAGAACTAGTCTTCAGTGAAGTTATGTGTCCACCTTAAGTATGTTGTTATCTATTGTGCAAGTCCTGGAGACAATTATGTACCAAAATCAAGGTACAAAGGCTGATTGATAAGTTGTGAGCCTTGTATTGATGAAGTTAATCAGGGATGTCCTTTTGCAGCTCTACTTTTCCCTGACTAGTTAAGGCTGTGTACCCAAAGACTGGTGTCATTTGGTCAGTTTGTGTCGAAGAGATAGCACTCAAAGTAAACAAGGCAAATGACTTTCGCAAAAATGGACAAAATTGCTGAAAGAGCAGTGATTCAATATTTGCATAAGAAAGGTGTAGCACTTATGGATATCCATACAATAAGGTAGCAACACTAGGGAATTATGCTCCTTCATATGCTACAGTGAAAATGTTGGTGATGGAATTTAAGTGTGGCAGGCAAAATGGGGATGACACCTGTCTTGGAAGGCCTGTCATTGTTGCAACACTAGAAATCGTCAATAAAGTTCTTAATATTGTTCAGGCTGACAGGTGATGGACAGAGAGATATATAGCCTGTACAGTTGGGATTACACAGGAAAGAGTACATTCCATTCTTATGGAAGATCTTGCAATAAAACTCTGAGCCAGTTGGGAACCAAGACATCTGACAGTTGATCAGAAGCACACCATGCAGACTTTGTCAGGTGCTAATCTGAACTTTTAAGAGGCAGATCTTACTAACTTTCTGCAGAGGTTTGTGACTATGGATGAAACATAGGTCAATCATTTCACCCCAGCAGCCAAAGAATAAATAAGGCAAAGACTGTTCCATCAGTTGGAAAGGTTATGGCCTTGGCTTTTGTGATGCTGACGGTATTCTGATGGTATACTATCTGCAAAAAGGGACAAACAGTCAGTGACACAAATTATGTACCACTTCTTAGGCAGTTGAGAGAAAATATTAAACGGAAGTGCCACGGAAAATTAAGTAAAGGTGTGTTGTTCCACCAGGACATTGCCTCTATTCATCAGTCTGTCATTGCCATGACTGTCATTAACAATTATGGCTTTGAACTGACTGAGCATCCCACCTTATTCGCCTGAATTTGCTCCATCAGACTTTCATCTATTTCCAAAATTGAAAAAGGACATTTCCAGTTCCCACTTTTGGTCAGATGATGACATCATGCATGCAGTGGAGAACTTTCTGAACCGTCAAGAAAAGGACGTCTTTAATAGTGGCATCGAGGCCCTTAAACATCGTTGGCAAAAGTGTTAACAGTAGATACTGGAGGGGGGTTATGCTGAAAAATAATAGAATATGTCTGCTGAAAGTGGAAGCCTTAAGTATGAGGCTCACAACTTTGTATATAGTCTTCATGTCTTGAACAGCCTTATGTGTCATAAGGGTCTGAAATTTGAATAAGCCTAGCTTTTCAGACTGCAATACACTAAGTAGAAGCAAGCGAGAAACTTTTGCAAAGTTATGAATTTTATTACCTATGACAGAATCATCATGGATGAGAATTTCTCAAAATGCCTTATAAAAAAACTGTAACAATCCTAGATCAAAAGTAACTGAATGAACCCAGATAACTGTTGCGGTCCTTGAGGTAGTGTGTTATTGTGGATAACCTAATGGATTAAGTGATATTAGTGTGCCTCCTTAGGGTCACACAGTTATTGTTTCCTAAAGCATCACTCTGTTTTCATAGCTGGTCTTGTCATTGTCACCTAAATTTATTTGTCTCTGACCAGTTACCAGTATGTTGTATGATAACCTGTTGTGTGGACTGAACAGTGATAGCAGTACATGTATTACTCCTTTTTTTATGTTCTAACAGAGGAAGGTGTTGGCAGAGCATGCAGATGCTCTCTTCAGCAACATGCCAGTATGTAAAAGGTAAGTGGTCCAGATTTCAACCACTAACTCTAATTTATTTGAGATGTGATACAGCATTTCATTGGTCAATTTAAATGAAGTTTCAGAAGATCAGGTCACAGACAAAAGTATGCCCCCCTAAGATGTTGACGTAATTCTGACTCACTTTGAATTAATAACATCAAGGTGGTTGTCTGATCCAGATTTCTAAAACTACTAGGAAATCTTTTTTTTTCATGGCATTGTTTTAAATCTGCATAAATGCAGTTATGATATGCGAAATAGGACAGAGTAATAAAAAAACACCCTGTCCCATCCCAACCAGAGTTTGAGCTAGCACCCAGCCTGACACTGCCACTTGACAAAAGGGAAATTCCCACAAGCAGAGGCTTGTTAGGCAACCTGTCCTTTCAACTTCTACATGTTACTTATGCACCTTTTGTAGTTCTAAAAATGTACTGTAGAAAGCAAAGGACTCCTTGCTTAAATGTCCTCTAGTATAGGTGGTGTTGATAAGTAAAATTGATGACAACTTGCTCTTATCAAAAATACATATTGTTTTGTATTTTGACGTTTTTGTTGTGACAAGTAAACATTTTATTATATAGCTTGGACTCTGTGACATCAGCATTCCCTCTACAGAACAAAGATGGCTCAGGAACCAGTAGTGTGAAACAGGTATTTGCAACAGAGCTTGACCAGGTACACATTGAACAAATTCGACCCTATCTACTGGACAAGGTCAAGGACACTGAAGCAGCCAATGACTAGACATCTATGGATGAACTGGGACATATGGTAGATCCATGGTTATACTTTTTATCCTGACAATTGCAGATTAATACCCAGAAGTTGTATTTCTACGACTTCACAAATTTTTGTGAAAGGAATAAACTATTTTTATAATTCATGTATAGAGGAAAGGAGAGATGCCAAATGATTCATAATAAACTCTGTATGAATTGTTGGTAATAATAGACACATAAAAGATATATATGTATATTCTGATCTTACTAGTGCATAGGTACTAACTACTTGAGAATAACGTTTTTCATTTTTTTTCCAAATACAGTAACTATTGTTTTGCAAGATGTATCACAAAATACCAGGTACATACTTTTATCTTTTGTGTTTAATACATTGGTACAACATGACTTCTCAGCATTTGTTATACATTTGTACATGTACTTGTATTGTGTGATCAAAACTGTTGTTACACTTGACCTTAGGTAAATAGTTGTAATATAAAGAATTTGGACAACAATTATGTACATAGCATCAGGGATTTTTGTGTATGTTCCTTTATTATCCAAATATTTTTCAATGACAAAATCATGCACTCTGAGGTTTTTTTTTCCCTTACAGTTATTACACTACATGGGACAATCGTTCCCAATTTTCCAAATCTAAAATGATTGATTAATTGAAATTGATTGTGATTCAGTGAAAGCATAAGAATGTGTTACTAGTAAATATTGCCAGTGGAGTCAATGCATATTTATGTCGTCCCAACTTGTATTCCAGTGCAATCAAATATATTATATTTATAACTCTTTTTGAATTGTTTTATTTTGAAATTTAGTTCATAAATGACAATATTGGTGTTATCTTATAACCCATCAATGTTCCTATGAAACTTGTGATTCATTTTCTACCAGAAATTAGCTACTAAAGGATGCTTTCACAAAAATCAATCGTTTACCTTCTTATAGTGGAATTAGAATACATATGTATTTATATTTTTCTGTTGAATTCATTGCATATTTCTTAGAAATCCATGTAGATATATTCACATTATGCATGAACATGTCTCTACTTTAGTCAGTAATGTTCTATGTAAACAAAATATACAACCATTGATGAAGTTTGCCCTTCCGTTTTTCCAAAAATAGGGGTGTGTAAGGCACTCTATTCAAAGAGCTTAAAAAGCAGGTGAGCTTATACCTTGGTATATATATTTAGGGGTGAATGATCTTGACCCATCTTCAAATTCACCTGGGTCACACGTGTGAAAAAGGAAAAAGAAAATAAAAGAAATATTTCTCTGAATACTGATTAACAAAAGGTCCAGGGTCATGAATGAAATCTTGACAGTATTGTGTTGGGATGAAGAGATATGGAATTTCTCAGATAATGATCACAAGCCACTTTCAAGATCACTTGAGTAAAATGCGAACAAAATCAAGGAACCTCTGTAATTATCAAAGAAGGCTTGGGGTAAAGATATTTCAGGTACACTGTAACATACATTTCAGATTTATTTTGCACTTGGATGGACGGCAAACAAATTTGCCAAGTGAACTGAACATAAAAACAAGTCTTCCAAGAGATTCTTTTAATAAGCAAAAGGCTCAAAATCAAGATATTGATCAGTAGCATACAGGGATGAAAGGCTATCAAGTTAGTTCAAATGAATGACCTTGTGATATCTATGAGTTACAATAGTCAAATGAGTTGAAATCTATGAAACATGTTCTTCTCAATAACCAAGTTTATTTGTAAAATACAAGTAAAAACAGCATTAAGTTTGCGATGAATAAGAAAGCTGTCAGTCTGAGAATATGTAAGCGGTATAGCAGGTATGATACACCTGTTCAATTTGTCCGTTTAATTTAAGAAATTCATTATTTCATGATTTGTTACAACACAATTAATTCATTAATTTATGTATCTATTTAGAGTTGTTACATGTACATTGTGATGCGCAATATGCAGTTTCATTGGTTAATTGTGTATATTTATAGATTTGTTGATTTTTACAATAAAACAGTGTCGAAAATAAATAAATCTTGTTTTGTATGACAAGTTATCATCAATTTTGCTAAAATTACAATTGTTTACTTTAACCTTCACTTAAGCAGTTAATTATCTCAATACCATAACATCTTTGCTGTTTTTCTTTCTTCAATTTCTAAAAAAAGGAGACTGACATGCAAAAATTACGATATAGCTTAATGTCTTCAAGTTTAGATCCAGGTCACCAATACTTCTTTCCTTTGGTGATTAGACTATCCCATACTTGTGTCTTTGACAAGACACTTCACCCTACATGCTCTGGATAGTATGCAGTGGGCCTCCTGTATTATGTGCAGAATGTCAAGATGAATCCAAGCTGTTTATGAAGCGTTAAATCTAATAAACTGTAGCTTGTGGCTGGCAAAGTCTGTAAAGTGCTAGTGGTTCAGTCAACATACTGTTTGTTTCATTTATACAATAAAAATTAAGTACATCTACCAACAAGGTAAATATGTTAGCTGGAAAATGAACAATCAGATAAGTGGTGATAAGAATGACTCCACCATACATTCAACACTCATCAATATATCAGAGTTGTGAAGTTTTGGTGATAATTAGGTCAACTCCACTATGCAACCAACTCCCATTAATTTATCGCAGGGGTCAAATTCATCTTGGAAATTTATAATTTGACAAATTTCCAAATGTAAGTGTTTTGGGGTTGGAAATTTTGAGAATGATTGTACAAAAATATGTCAATCATCAACTAATACACAAACACAAACTAAATGATAACTACAAAAATGTGCATTTGTTTTGGTAGTCAACATCTTTATTTTTCAAATTATTTCATAAGATCAACATGTTAACTTCGGCAAATAACATTTTCGTACAATTAAACTGAGATACATTCATTTGTAAAGTTTTGACTCTCAAGCTTTCCAAAATAATTTTGCCAAATGATGCAGATCTGTTTGTAACATAAATACCTAGCTCCATCCCAGAGACCAATGCTGAAACTTTTATATTTATACTTTTGAGTTTGTCAATTAACAAAAATGGATTTTTACAAAATGATCATCCTAAATCAAAATGGGACACCATGGGTTTTGCTTTCCGTTGAAATTAAAACGAACATACTAATCCCATTTGTTATCCAACAAGCTCAAAAGCATGAGAATATTTTAAGAAAATAAATTTTGAAGTTACCTACTATATACTTCCAATATCTGAATTTTAGGGTCATGATATGCTGATCTTTACAAGATGCAGCATTCTTTCACAGGTTTTCATTAGGCTGATGCTTAATTGCAGTACATATTCATGACCAATATAAGAACAAAAGAATACCATTCTAAAAATACCATCCCAAGTTCAAATGTAAATGCATGATGTCTATTCTACTTTATTTCAAATTTCAGCAATTCAGGAAAATTTCAGAAATTAGAAATTACAGTCCTAGTAGGTCAAATAGAGAAAAGCATTCTGCACATTTTCTATAGAAATGGGAACTCATGTTGATATCTAAAAAAACTGACAATAATCTTCACTTCAAATATGAAGGGTAATTCTATCATTTTTTTTCCAAATAAAAACATTTATCCCACACAAGTAATAGCACTTCAGTATGATAAAGATTCCTCAACATATAACATTTACCCAGCCCATTTCATCTACACGATCCATTAGAAAACACAAACTGCTGTCAGAACAGCACAATGTCCAGTCGAACAAACATATTTACAAACCTGAGTGTAATTTCACAGGTCATTCAGTACACACATTCATACTGCTGACTAAATGTCAAGATCCAGTACCACATATATTTACACTATTGACCATCCTGATTGTACATCCAGTAACACATTCATACATCTGATGCCTACCATACCACATTCAGAGAAGCACATACATTCCTAAAGACATTTCATCACAAATAACTAGGAAGCTTTAAACATACAGTAAACCAAAATTCAAAATAATTTCAATGGGAAACACCACTTTGTTAAAACTCATATGTTGCAGGTATAATTTGACAATTTTTCCAGCTGGAACTGTAGGAGGGTAAAAAGATTATTTCCAGCACAAAACAGCGTGTGTTGATGATTATTATGATGGATTCCAATTAGAAGACCAAATATGAAAAGCATGCCTTTACAAAGAATATTTCAACTTAGCAAAAAAGGAATATCATGTTGTTTTGGCTGTCGTTTTAATATTTTTCATGTGAAGCATATCCAGCAAAAGAGCTACATGTCGGTCTCCTCATAAAAATAGTTTCAAAAGAACTGTGACCATTAAACATTACAATATATTTCATTTTTTCATATTAAATCTATGAGAGTGACTTTCATTTCCTCTGACATAAACTTAAAATTAATTGCTTCCTAATTCGAAAAACTGACAATATTAAATGTCTTTTTCTTGCTTTTCATAACAACTGGAGAATGTACATCATTACATGTGACTAGCATCCATTTTCAGCAGTATCTAGTTAGCTTTAATAGCTTGTTTTTCTGATGCCCTAACTCCAGTTCACGACTCGTATCTCTTTGACAGTGAAGATTTCGCTTTATATGATAATTAACCAAGAAAAGAGGTGACTAATGTTGGACAAAAACAACAAAAGCAATTGGAAATATTGAGGTGATGGCTAGGCAAAATGAAAATATGGATTTGACAAACATGTCTCAATACAGTATCTGTTAACACATTATAGTGTCAAAAAGTGTCATTATTAACAACACTTTCATTTTAAACAATTTTTTATGTTTATTGTAAGAAACTGAAGTAAAATGCTTGTAGCATAGTAAAAAACAGAATTACAGCTGATATGGCAATAAATTTCATAGCTAGCAAAAACACAAACAAATTATATAAGCTGAACTTAACTGTTAAAAAATGTACCACATGATTATGAAATTAAATTTTACACAAAGGTTCCCACATTTGAACAATTATGAAATGGCAATGAATGTAGGAATGTAAAAACTGTTACAAAAGCAAAAGGAAATATCAGTTGCAAGAGATCACTATCCCTTGAAAACAAGATTTAGAAGCATTCACTGCACAGAATACTGCAGGCATTTAAAATGAGCAAACTGTGAATGGAATGAATATAGTATTACACACAAAACAGCTGCAAACAGGAGCATTTTGAAATAAAACTGTAACCAAGACTAATGTAAATCAATCAAATACCTACATAATTTGTGTTCTATAATTATTTACATTTTGCAGTTTTTATATGCTATTCCTAAAACAAAAGCAGCTATCGTTTCTGGTGAAGGGTTGGAGAGACTAAACCATGTAAATTGCCCTATATTCACTAGCTCCACCCTGACGCAAGACCTGATCACCCTTGCGGTTCTGACTGTGGCTCAGTCATAAGGGGAGACAGCAGCTCTTCTGCAGTGCCTGGTCCCCAGGATGTCAGCTGATCCTGATAAAAAACAGATTACATCACCAGTAGTAGATATGCCTAATAAGAGATATAATACATTACCTTCAAAAAAAATCATACTAGTGCGCTGGTAGAAGAATTTAACAAATCATCCAAACACATGTTTTTTTATTCAACATGCTAGGTTCATACATCAGGTTCTTAGGAGTTAGATACCACAGAATTTTATATCACTAATAAGTAATGTAATGACTTCTTAAAAACTTGCACCAACCACAACAAGGGACATTTGGTCAAGAAAGATACTCTATACAATTAAAGTGGTAAGTTCAGTGTGTAAATAATCCTAAATAAGAAATACAGGCTAGAATGACAGTACTGGTTATCTGAGGTTTTGTTCTACCAGACGTTTGATATAGTGATAACTACAGGCTTACAGAAGATATTGTACACACCTGGGGTAGGTACAAACAGATGCTGGACAGCTTGAACACAATCACTTTACTTTTGCTGGTCTGTCACAAAAAGAGAAAAGTAAAATTTGATGTAAATTTGATACAAAGAACTCAGTCTTTATTTTGAACTGTGTACATACATACTTTGATAATTCTCATCTCACTTTTGATGAAAGGTATCAATTTGCATCAACAAACACTATTCTTTCATCTTAGGTTCAATATTAGAGGAAGACAGTAGAAGCCAAAAAGACATACAGTGCTTTCAAGTAATATCAAATAATGGTGCCACATTAGTCATATTTGTGAAAATGTCTATAATACCTGGTGTTTTAACCAGATGAAACTCTGGCCAGAAAACTCAAAAAGATTCATAATACCAAATTAATGCAACCCACATGCTGAATAAAAAGTTCTACTGGATTAGGTCTCTTTATCTGCAAAAGACATCCAGTCAAATTCATTCTTCGTTACACAAAAAGTGTAAGAGCTCCTCTCACCTGAAGTTGGTTTTTGTCAATAAAGAGAAACATGGACTGGGCTGGATTATTGATGATGAGGCCAGATCTTTCTTTCTTAGTCAGAAGTCGCATCAGTTGTTTCTCATAATCAGCATGGTCAAATCTAAACTCCGCCTGTAAAACAATTAAAAATAATTTCATACATGAGCTAGAACCGAAGTTTGTTGATATAACAGACGACAGAAGGCAATTTATAAAGATTGTCATTGAAACATTTGATTTAAGTTTGCAAATAAATAAAACACAGATAATCCTGTATTTCACTGATGTGTTTCAAAAAATGTAAAATAACAATACACACAGAAATAGGGCCTGACATTATGCATAGTTTACTTAATGAAATCTCCATTGACGTCTGTACTGTTAAATATGATTACAGACCCTTTCATGCAGACAAAGTTCTTATAGTCCCCTATTGTTTCTTGTAAGTTACACGAAACCATTCTTATTCAAGAATTTGACCAGATGACCTAATGATCCCAGGATACAACAGGCTGTTGTGAACTTCCACTATGACTTCTGAAGCAACCATGAAAGTTCAGAAGATATTTTTGTGATTCATTTGAAAAGGTAAGATCAATTAAAGCCTGGAGAATGTTATTTTTATTTCAATCTTAGAATCATCCTGAATTAATAATAATAACCACTGGAATGGATTACCATTTACATCAATATTGTAGCTCCTGTGCATTCACTGTATCACCTATTCATGATATTTTTTACAAAAGAAATAATCATATCAAGGTAGGTTTCTAATTTAAGTGCTGTAAGGTTTTCTATTTACAGTTATCATTTGTCAGAAATAGCAGTATTACCTGGATAGGTTTGAAGGGACTTTCATCTCCTTTCCATTTGGAGAACAGCATACATTCTATCTTGTCTATGTCACTACGAGGCCAAAGAAAGAAGTCCATCTCTGTAGTGCACCCCAGCACATCCTGAAATTCAGTTTCAAGTGGAGGTATTCTCTGACCTCACAACAACCATCATTCAATCATACTTACACTATGTTGTTGACATTTTGTATTTATTTATTTTTGTGTCCATTTACAAAAATCAGATCAAAATATAATCAGAATATTATATTTTCAAAAACTGAAGTCTTCAGTACATAATAGTGTCACCAGTAAAACTGTAAAAAGCAGCATGACACAATATCACTATATGCAAAAGTGACTGGTTGGGTGTTCAATAGTCTTGTGATGCATTTTGAGGTGTTGCAACTATAAAATCTTTGAACTCACAAAATGGTTATACCTATCCTTCACAATGTGAAATTTTATCATTTTAACTAAAAACTTGACCTGTTTTACATAAAAATTACCACCAAAACAAAACTTTACCCTTCTCATGGACTGCCACCTTGGTGCATGTAATTGTACAACATCTTTCTCTAAAAGCTCTTTGGAACTCTCATATGTGTAGGCTTCTTCCTAAAAAGAATTTTTACACTTGGTATATATGTGAATATAATGAAAGTCAGAATGTAAGAAATATGACTTGGCAAATTTTTAATCCATTAGATTAACTACAATAATTACTTTAATATGCCACTTTAATGCTTCTCCACTTAGAGGCATACCCCTCAAAATGTTCATTGTTTTATTGATCATTTATCTTTGCAACTCCGCAAAAAGATGTGCTGAATTTCAGGTATGGACTATGGACATCATATACACAAGAATCCTTATAAATGACAACTGTTATAGATAATCCAAACAGAATAAACATTTAAAGCCTTTCCCTTTATTTCCACCTACAACTTGACCAGAATCTATCAGCAACTACTGGAGATTAGATTGATTTTTTTTTGTTTTGACACTTGACTTTGTCTCATGCTAAAAACAAGAAAACACAGAGTGTGACATTATACACTGCGCCATGCTGTTTAAAAGACACAGAATCATAATATATATATTTAATATCATAGTTACAGGAATATAACTCTATCCCACCACTGTTACTGATATTTCCATGTAGATCATCTTTTATTGATGTATGGTTTGGCATCACTAGCATATAAAAATTTTGTGATTTGGCCTGTTGTCATGATAATAAAAAAAGTAAGAAGTCATTAAATGTAGAACTTTCCTATATCAAAAGGCATCACTATAGTACTCGTTTAATAATTGTACAAAGTTTCTGAGTAATTGTCTGAAATGATTTCAGAGCACTGGCCCAGAAATTTGTGATTCCACCTTCATGTTAGCATGATAACAGAAAAAGTATCTAAATAGAGAACTTCTCCATAGCAAATGGCGCCATTACATCACTAGCATGATACCTGTACAAAGTTTCGAGTAATTATCTTGAACAGTTTCTGAGCAATGGTCTGGAAAACAACCTTGTACAGCAGATGCAGCCAAATTAAAAATACCCCAAAAACAGGCTTTGCAGGGATATTAAATTTGGTATGCATCTGCTGTACATTTTTCGATATATAAATGTAGATCTTAATACACTGGTGTAGAACTTTACAACAGTGAACCACTGCCATACCTTCACTCCTTTGAGAATACTATCTTCATAGTTATTTGTCATAACTGGTACCACTTCAGCTACTTCAAACAAGGCACAGTTCTTTTTCTGTGGAAGAAGGAAAGAGAGATATTACAAATTAATAACAACAAAGTGAAAGAGTATAACAAAACACAACTTATTTTCCAACTTAACTGCAATACATAATGCAATTAACTTAAATCAATGAGAAGCAAAAACAAAACAAATCTTCTAAATAACATATTCTTTACTGTGAGAACTTTATTTTTTCAATTTAATTTTGTTATATAGATACATTGCAATTGCTTATACCTGTTAGCAGCTAACTAACTGTGAATATCAATCTAAAACAAATCCTAATACCTAATTAAATACAGTACAGTTGTTTATGTCAATTTCTGATAAGACATTTGTAATACTTTGTATGTGAATAAATTTTTCATAGATCAATCCAATCCAAATTAGTGTGTTGTATGTATGACTACACTCAGAGATTACTGTGAAGCTTATGTGCTCTTATGCTTATGTGGTGGAGAAAAGCCAGGGCTCTCAAAGAAAAACCTGTGGCCTGTGCCTGCTCCACATATAGGTCCCTAATCAAGGGAGTTTCCAACCTGATGTATGTGCTATTGGCAAAAATTGGGAGCTTGATATAACAAGACTGGCAATAAATTTTCCAAAGCCAATCATTTTCTGTCAGTCTGTATGCACATTTTTGGGAAAACTACTGCAAAACTACAATCACCTTTTCCTTGAAGTGAAAGGCAATATACATCTTGAATTCAAAATGATCTGCCAAAGATTCCCTCTTCTTTCTCAGTTGATGCCGCAAACGGCTAACAGCTAGGTTTTTCCTGTTGTGTGGATCGCCCATTTTGAAATAAGTGTTGTTAGATTTTAAATTGAGTTCTATCTGATTCACTTTTTCTTTGATAATGATCATGAACATACACCGATCCAGTACAAGAGTTTTTTATGCCATTTGGTCACTTTCTAAATACGTTTTAACATTAACATCTGGTTCAAAATAGGCTCTCTTAATTATTGAGTATTAATTTACATGAAATTATCGACCACATCTTTGCATTTGACTAGCAAGTCATTCTAAACATTACCACCTTACAAATCACCATATTTCAAAATTTTTGGCGATAGTTTGCATTATCATATCACCCAAGAAATTGACATATCTATCTGGGTCTCGATGATATTGAATAACTACATTATTTCAAAACTACAATCTTTCCCAAGAAGCCTCCGGGGCTGTATTTGCTATCATACAAGGAAGTATGCGAATTATTCTCGACAAGTGGCAGCTGTCACATCCATATCGGGCGTTCAAAGTGGCATCGCGATTCGTTATGTGTATACAGAAGACAGAGAAGCAAATAGCTTTGAGTGTCCATCATGAGTCAATAGGATGATTGGCGAAGCCATTTTGATTCTCCTTTTGCACAGCACTGCAGTGAAAGCACCAAATACAGGCAGCAGCTTTCAGATGCATCTGTTGCACAGACTCCAAAATGGCGATATGATTTTCAGTCACATTTCTTACCTCAAACACGCAAGAGTTCCAATAAAAAAATAATGCGAGTCTGGGATTATTTCATTGAAGACTTTCAACGACCAAAATTTGTGAACGATTTTGAACATAATAGTACTACCACGGACTTATATACACCATATATATATATTCCATATGAAAATCCTCAAGATGAAAGATTGGACTGGCTGAAAAATGACTTCTTGGGCTACCTGAACCAGTGGAAAAACAATGTGAATGGAAGACCAAATCTGACCACTTCGGAGAAAGCTAGCATGTTACTGAGTCATCAGACTGTTACTGGCCTTGAAACATCAGTTAGATCAATCACAGAATGTGTAAAATATATCCTGAACCTCGGAGCAAGTTTTGTGTTGACTCATGCTTTTAATCAAGATCCTCTTGAGGAACATTTTAGTCACCACAGGCACAAAGGAGGAGCCAACAATAACCCCTCTGTTTATGAAGTGAGAAATGCACTTACACAAATCCGTGCAATAAATGCTCAGGCACTGGTTCCCAAAAGAGGAAATACATTAACTGTTGACAATAACATGCAAATTGACAATACCAGATTGCCACGCAGAAATGTTATGAGACTGTAATGGTTGTCTTGTTGTTGAATGTACATCATGTAAAATGTAGATTTGTACAGCTTGCTTATTACTTTAGCACCAGAATGTCAATTTTACTTTTTGTAGATTTTGTTAAAAGATTGAATTTGTAACTGCTTTGAAGCAGTTCTTTTCTTTAAAGTGTGCTGTCAGAAGTTTCTTTAAAAGTACATTGTATAATATTCAAGGATGTATGAAAGTGTGTATAATATGTAAGGATGTATGAAAGTGTGTATAATATGTAAGGATGTATGAAAGTGTGTATAATATGTAAGAATGTATGAAAGTGTGTATAATATGTAAGGATGTATGAAAGTGTGTATAATATGTAAGGATGTATGAAAGTGTGTATAATATGTAAGGATGTATGAAAGTGTGTATAATATGTAAGGATGTATGAAAGTGTGTATAATATGTAAGGATGTAAGAAATGGTGAATAATATCACAGTATGGATGAAAGTGTGTATAATATGTAAGGATGTATGAAAGTGTGTATAATATGTAAGGATGTATGAAAGTGTGTATAATATGTAAGGATGTATGAAAGTGTGTATAATATGTATATATATCCAATAAAAACAAAAATTTCATTTATGACATTTTGTGTAATGCTTTAATTAATTACATTTCAATGGTTTTGAAGTACCAACATAAATTATATATACATTGTATGTGAACACAGACTTTATTGCAGTTTATAATGGTTGCACATGAAACACCATCAAGTCTTAAATAAATCAAATCATACAATTATATACAACCTTGCAGGAGTAGTGATGAACTTTTAATAACAAAAAATGCAAACTTTAGTTATTTGAACAAAAATGAAATAAAAAGTTGATGTGGACTTGTAACAAGATAGTGCCTTATCAATATGAATACTATTTACATTGTTGTCTTAAAGAAATATTTTCAACTCCCATGAACAAAGGCAGGTCATGCATTTACTTAACTTGGGCTTATTGCTGAGAAACAGTAAATATTGTGTGATCATATATCTAGAAGGCTGAAGTTTCAATGAATGTCAAACTTTTGTAATTTCTCAGATTAGCAGAAGTGATACTATGCCAGCAACAGTTCTGTTGTTTCTATCAATTTAGTAAATCATGGACTGAAATTCTTAGAATAAATAGTATAAACAAATCAGCTGAAGCTATTTCCCCACTAATATAAATGAATGAGTCGACAGTAACTTAGAATGTATCCCACATGAATGAAATTTACATCACTGTTTTAAATTTCCACGTAGACTTTTTGAAGGTTGGCACTTGAGATTGACTTTTGCCAATTTGTTTTTTTGTATTCTCACCATGGCATTTCCTCTTATGGTAAGAAATAGATGGACAACATCTTCTAAAATCTTGGTTGGTGTTTCTGGGCATTCCTCAAGCTCACAACTGAATATCTTTGAACTGTAGTGTTTCACCATAAACTCTTCCATCAGGCACTCTTTCAATGGCTCCAGGTTGAGTGAACTTGACGTTAGGCAGTTTTCCTCAATAGTGTTTCTCACAACAATTTCTAACTCGCGTATCAAAAGGAAAAAATCGTCACAGGGAAATCTCAGACCACCTCTGTCCTTCTTCCTCGTCCAAGTTTGAAATTTTGTAACGAAAGTTGTTGGCTGATGAACACAGTCTACTTGCAATGAATTCACTACAGTTAACCTGTCTTTGAAACTTTCACACTTGGAATACTTTTGATTCAATGATTTCAAAATATAACCAGAAATGTAAAACAGAATCTGCTGGTCTCCATCAGATATTTGCAGTTGGCGCTCTTTAGAAATGGCAGTCTTGACTGATATTTGGGTGGACAAAATTTTCTCTAATAATGTCAGTAGAAGTATTTGTACAAAGTTATGAACTGATGATATTTCAAAACCTAAACTGGTGTATAGATTGATGTATTTTGTCCTGAGATCCTTGTTAATGCGAGCAGTGTGTAATTTTCTTAACAAAGACTCCCTTTGCAGAGCTGAGGAAATTTCAATACCTGATGAAAATAAGTCTGTGAATAAACTGAAGTAAAAATCTTCTAAACAACAGTTCCCTAGAGTGAAATCACATAACACTGAAAAATTAGGACCCCCAAGAAGTTGTTGCAGCTCGTCAGCCTTCAGTGAATGTACTGCTACCCGGAAACTCTCCTTGAAACTGTCTGGTGACAACTCACATGTATCCTGTTTGACTGGAACCTGCACTACTGGATAGTTGCTGGTAGTGTCACTGGGGATTTTACTGGCTCTGGCACTCTGGCTTTTATTGTCATTAGCTGAAAAATATATGAGAACATCAGGGGGTGATCTTAGTGTAAACATTGAATTTTTGCAAAATCACAATAGTTTCATTTTTAAATTTTTTAAATGATTTTAAATAATGTTCAATTGTCACTTTTGTCAGTGTTTATTTGACAGAGTTATTGCCCCATTGTTAACAAAACATCACACTTTGTTTCCATGCAATAAGTTTAACAAATGTTGACAGATTTTCTTCATATTTGATAACAAGGTTTAAGGAATAAAGTGCTTGACTGAATTTGATTGCCACTTTTTTCATAGTTGTTTACCACCAATATGCCGGGAATGTACGTGAAATAAATTCCACGAATTTGCTCGTTAATTTGTAAATCAATAGTAACTCAAATTCATTAAAATTGAACCCCCACAAATATGGATGATTATACAGTAACCATACTAAATGATTTTACATTAAACTATCTTTGTGACAAAACAAGAACTGAGAGTTCAAAATACAAATATACATTTTGTGGTGTAAGTACCCATACCAACAGAATATATGATTAATCTGCTTTAAACCATTAGAGTGCAAGTAAATGTTGAATTAAACTCGAGTTAATTTGTAATTCACTACAAAATAAAATGGCTTGGGATATTACAGTTAAAACAGAACTTTGTAAAAGAATGTGCATAATTAGTCATTCATAGCAAGCCAAACAAAAGTAAATAAGATTCTGTGATTGTCCATAATGTCATTGAAGTATTTGTTTTGAATTAAGTCACAAAATATTTACTGTCTTACAGTTAACTTGTTACAGTTGAAATCCAGTCTTACTGTTGAATTATGAATACAGCTTTAATCAATCATCATCATTATTATAAACAAATTCATCATCCTCCCTTTGATTATATTATCATTCTCATGATAACACCATTATCATCATCATCATGCTATTAATCATCATCTTAACCATCATCATAAAAATCATCTACCTTGTTATAATCTTGATAGTCAATCAAAATCAGCAAAAGACAATATCCAGACAGCAGAGAAGAATTTGTCATTTTCCTCATGCACATTTTCACACGCAGACAACACTCACACATTTTTCATAGAATGAAGAAAGAAAATGTATTGATGAATAGAGAGTGTGAGATGGAGAAAGAGGTCATCAGATAATAAATAGAGAGAGCAAGATGGAGAAAGAGGCCATCAGATAATAAATAGAGAGAGCAAGATGGAGAAAGAGGCCATCAGATAATAAACAGAGAGAGCAAGATGGAGAAAGAGGCCATCAGATAATAAATTGATAAAAAAAAAAAAAAGAAAATCATCAGTCGACACAAAAAATCAAGTTTGACAAGGTTTTCCCATTTTTCCATTTGTTAATAAAATTTAATTTAAAGGTGTCATTTCTGCTGTTTGAGACATATAATTGAACAGAAAAGACTTTGTGCAAGGGCATTGATAATTAAAGAACTACAGGTATGCAGACATCTTGTCTTTATAATGCAGTTTTTGATCATTGAAATTATGTCATTGTCATCTCATAAACTAGAGCTATTTGTAACTTTCAATTACAAATAGAAAACATTTTCTGTTAAAAGATGATGATATAAACAATGCACCAGTAAGCAGCTCTTGTATGGGTACTTTCTGGAACCAAGGAAGTTTCATATTTATCATTACCTGGAATAGCATTTTATAGATATCCTTTCATATTTTAGAATAATTCATTAATATAACATTAATGTATCATATACTATAGCTGCAGGTGATAATTTAAGAAAATCATGCACTTTTCCCTTTTGTTAGATGATTACCACATCTCAAAAATGTTTTCTCTTTGACAAAGAATCTGACATTTATCATCAAACTAAATGACAACGGAATATGGTTATTACTTCCTGAAGATTTATAATTACATTTTTATCTACACTTAAAAGGTAAAGTTCCACTCAATATAACTGTGTGTTTCTTTTCTTCTTTTTTTTTCTTTGCTGAGATGAGGTCAGGAAAATAATACCAAGTCTACTGTTAATTTAATGTATTATAATAAAATTATTTATTTTCTTCACTCAATAATGATTATTAAATTTAAAGTGCTGCAGGAGAGTTTAAGTAAATATATACTTATCAAATATTTGACCTGAATCAAAGAAAAATAAAAAGAAGTTTGCATCTTCTGAAACAGAAAATACTACTAATGTATGTAGGCCTACCTTTTAAATCGTTTCTCCCGTGTTTTCTAGAGGTGTGACCACGAAATCCAGCTATAGTCTTTAGCTGTTTACTACATACAGGGCAAGTATAAATAGTTCTTGTAGTTGGTGGTAGGTTTTCTTGATCTAATTTTCGTTTTTTCACCACAACACACTCCTCAACATCACTTTCCAAATCGTTCTCTACATTGTCATAGTCGGTATATTCTTCCAGTAAGAAATCTAAGTCTATATCGCTATCCCAGGAAAGAAAATCAGACTCTTTTGACATTAACTCTTGAAGCTCCGATAACTTTTTTTTTTTTTTTTTTTTGAAGCTCCGATAACTGTAGTCTTCCTTCGATTAAAACGAAATGACTGTTTTAGACTTACCTCACTCTTCCCTTACGATTGCGTCGGGCTGGCGCCATCAGCACATATTATGGTTTCATTTAACGCATTATTTGGGCTGTGTATCGAGCTGTCAAATCAATGTCACATCATCGGTCGCTGATGTAAACAAAATGCCGGAAATCGAAAGAAGCGGTCCGCGCAGGCGCGATAGGAAGGATTAAAGGTAAATTGAGAGGCAGACAGTCGTTACGCTCCGCTGCGCAAATATAAAAGGTGGACAATACACATGCGGAGCTGAAGACAAGTTGCCTATCCCTGTGTATATAAGTCCGTGGTACTACCGTTGACTACAAATGTCATCAAACAAGTAACCACAAATTAAAAGTTTCTATGTTATTTGATAGCATCAACAAAGGGGGATAACTCTCAGTATTTATGGACCAAAGCACTGGGAAGGATGGTGGTAAGCGAGTAGCCAGTTATTTCAATGGCCATTTTATTGTTGTTAACCTTTAATTGTGTCAGTCATCATACAAATGATCTGTATTGGTTATTCCATTTTGTATTTATAACTAGATAATGTTACAAATTAATGACAGAGATTAGGCTCACCAGTCACTCTTCTTCTATATCAGTTGCTATGTACAGAACTACATATATGGGCAACTTCTTCTGACTGAAGACAATGTCTTCTTCGTAGAAGTAGCACTTGGGGCCTTCAATTCTCACGATTAGTCCCAAGGTGTTGAACTATTTTTGTTTTTTTTTAAAGATAAAAAAGATTTTAATGATAGGTAATCATGGGTGTCAACAGTGTCAGCAGAAATAGAAAACTAAGGGAGTGAGTTCCATTGTGTGATAGATTTTGAATGGAAGGAGTGTTTATAGCAGTCTGTAGAAGTTTGAAAGTGCCTAAAAACATATGGGTTGTGATGGCTTGAAGTCGACAGGGAGAAATTTTTCAGGATGAGATGCAACAAGGCCATGTACTATTTTGTAGACCATAATAAGTCTGTTTTGCAAGTGGTGAATGTGAAGTGGTGCCCAGTGTAGAGATTCAATCATGTTAGTGATGGAGCTTATATCGTGGTAATTGTTACACATGTATCTGGCGGTTCGATGTTGCACTTTTTCTAGCTAGTTTATCTGTGATGTAGTGTGTGGATCCTAGAATGTTGCTCTCTATTCTGGCATAGGACATACTAGCGTTTAATAAACATGATCTTTAACATGTGGAGAATTTACTTTTAATGGAGTTGATGCAGATTCTTCGAGTATTTGTCTATGGATTTTGTCAGAACCAGAGGTTAATGTTTTTTAAGAGCTTGATGACTATATTGACAGAAATAGAGATAATTTGGTAAGGACAAGGGCCTTTATCAGGTATAGAGATACAGACTGAGGAAGTCACGGCTTCTTGGAATTAATTGTTTAAGATGTTGGCTTTGGATATTGGATCCTCCACTAAGAGTTTCTAATTTTTTTTGTACTTCTCTTTTCATTTTCCACTTTTTTTTTTCACTTGAGCATATAGCTTTTCATCTGTGTTAACTTTTCTTAGTTGGCCTTTGATCCAGGGAAGGTTTTTGTGTTTGAGGGTTTTTATGGGATGTTCTGTTCTAATGGTTTTGAATATGGTCCTTAATGTTTCTATGTTTGTGTCATTATTTTTCACTTAAAGGGTATGGTTTATGTCTTTTTTGGTCGTTATTAATTTTGTCCCAGTTAGCTTTCTGAAAGAGATGTATTTTTCATGGTAGGAATTTATTTCTTGTAAGGGAAACCTGAAAATCTGCCAAGATGATGTCATGCTCTGACGTGTCAAATGGTGGTGTGTATGTTGTCTGTAATGATTGGGGTATTTGTGAGGATGAGATTTGGTTAGGTGAAGGGTGAAGTCGGGTTTCCCTGGAATTGTACCGTGAAAAGTCGAGTGTATGTTACTGAGATTGAACCTCCAAGGATCAGGGAGGATGTTGGTGCCAGAGCGGAATCTATGAAGAGATTAGCATAGTTGGCGAAGTGATTCAGAAGGCAATGAAAGGAGCTAGTTAATATTTTCTCACAGTTGTTGATAGATATTTCTGCTCAAGAGTAGAGGAAAAAGGAAGAGGAATGTACGATTTATCCTTTACATATTTAGTTTGGACTGGAATAAGCATTATAGTGGGCAGTTTTGAAAGAAACTTTTGTGGAGCGGGAGAACATATCTAGTGGAAGTTTTGCACCTGCATACACCCATGTTCTCGATCCGTGTTCTAATTTAGTTTAGTCCATCATTATCAATTCGATGAAACATTCAAAGGCCTCCCTGAAAGTGGCATGCCATACGAATATGAATTTTGGATGATACCTTTTACATCAATAACGTTTCATGAAAATGAATCAGAGTTTTTTTTATTTAGTTTGACTTGAAAAATAGGTCAATAGGACAAATGTAATCCAAGATGCCAAAAAAGGGACCTAACTCCTCTTAAACATCGATTACAAAAGAATTTGCAAAATGTAAAACTCTGTATCAAGCACTTACAAGTGTTTCATCACAAAAATAATTTGAAAAGTAGCTTGCAGTGAAAAGACTAACTGGACAGATAATAAATGCTTCCAATGGTTTATGATACAAGCAGTGTATACACCCTAAACTTCATTGATGATATTGAAGTAGAAATTCCTGCAATTTAGTACATTTATGTACTAGCAGAGTATCAGAGGTCCATGACACAGTGAGTCAACATAGTGTTGGTTAATTAATTGGAATGGTTCTGACTATCAATCTGTGATTGTATTTTGTCTTGCATGGTCATGGATAGATAGACAGAGATGTACATGTATATATCACAATGGTAGTGATATAATATTCACAATATTGGTATGTTTAAAACTGATGACTTATCAGTAAATAGGTCACATAATATATATATAATATTTTTTTATTCTGCTATAATTATCTATTTTTTTTTGCTAAAACTTTGCATTTTATAATTACTGCCACACTGATTAAACACTTAGTATGGTACATGTATATCTTCAGGGTTACTGAATGATATCTTATTCTGAGTTTTTTTTATTTCATGAGAAATTTGGCGTGTCTCTAACTTACCATGGCCGTCAATTTGAGACAACATGATGCTGTTCCCAATGACAGTATTTTAACTTGTCGATGTTATATATATACGTCAGGAAACTATGGGAACAAACATTTTTCTAGATAAAATGGCATATTTATTTATCTTACAGAAAATTGGTCTCCAGTTCAAAGCTGATTTAGAATTTTTAACAAATTTAAGACCAGATGGAGAAGATTTTAGGTGGTATGTGAAGGTAAGTAGATCAGGCTATGATTTTTAATTGTCTATTTATCAAATTGGTGTTTGGACAAATTGATGATACATGTATAAGGTTAAGTGTAAAACTCAATGTGAACATTATGTAAAGTATATTAAGTGACAGATATAATCTGTGTCTCCATATACTATTGAAGTTTGGCATCATTTGTGTTTATGTTATCTTCTGCAGCTGAAATGTCACAGTTGTGGTGAAGCTACGACAGAGTTTCAATATCTAACACTGATAGTAAGTACCATTTTCTTACATCATCTTTTTATATATGTCAAATTAAAGGTGTTGATGTTCACTGCTGAAACAATGGCTCATTCACAGGATATTTCACAGATTTCAAGCTTTCAAGTTTATAGGAACTTTTGTCAATAAAGCAACCACTTTCTGATTCAGTTCACCTATTTAGTGACTGCTGGTGTGTTCAGCTCATTTTTTTTTTATACTTTTTTGAAAACATGTCGTAAGTTTCCAATAAACATATTGTAATTGTCCAGATTTAAACCCATTCATTTATTTTAACAAATCTTTGATATAAAGTTTTCATAGAGATTCCAACAGTGTTATATTATTGTTCTGAAATAAGCTCACTTTCCTTTTAGTAGAGCAGGTAATATATTGGTCTCCGGTGATTATTGCAGGATAAATATGATATGGAGACATCATCATCTGCTGGTGTATGTCACTTCCTGATAATTATATCCTCTGTTGGTGAAAGATGATGATATTTATCAACTAAATAAACTTTCTACAGTTGAGTGTTGCAAATGGTCAAATCTGTAAAAAAAAAAAAAAAATAGAAAAGGTATGAAATGACAAGTTTGAGTGAGGATCTTTGCTTCCTAGATTGTTCTGATACAGGTCTGTTCAAGTAAACTACCGTGAATGATCTTGATCTAAAGCTGGTTCAGGTCATAAGGTGTCAAAAATTACAGGAAACCTCATTTGTTAGGAAAGAAAGCTATCAGAGTGGTCAAATTTAATGAATACATGGAAAAGAATAAGGTGTTCAAAATTACACGTAAAAGAAAATTCTCCGTAATAATGATAGCAATGCCATAAAGAGCAGTTCTATCAATTCTTAAGGAAGTTAAGTACTAATAACAAATATTCTGCTAATGTATCCTGCCTGGTATTGGAAATACATGATTCTAGGGTTGTCTGAGGACCGGATTTACCTATAACAGTACCCCTAATTGTATTTTTTGGTAGCACTTTGGTTCATATTCATTTGTAGTTTTAATTTCTTTTGAACACTAAATTAAAATATATGGCATGCAAATTAAAACACAAAACACAATAGGTAGGTTTGGTTAAACTCTTGTGGAAGGAAAATGACGAAATGATCGATTAGTTTTCACAGAATTTTGAGAGTTGAAAAAACAATTTATTAGTATGTGTACATGTAATTACATATTTTTATTTTTACATTTTGTAGGACAGTTCTCCATTAAAAGGTGGCCGAGGCTCAGCTAGTTTGGTGATGAGATGTAAACTGTGTTCCAGAGAAAATTCTATAGGTAAACTGGCTCAAGTTTATGCTGTTGAACTGTTATACAGTATGTTTAATGGAATAAGCTTTAGATAGATATTTTTTTATTTTAACTTACTGTTAGAGTTTAAACCTGCAAACAACTTTATTCTATCAACATTATACTTGTAAGGCCATTTCTCTTTGGTGAATGAAATCATTGAGAATGTAATCAAATACATGCATAATGAACATCATGTATTGGTGAAGTGGTTTATTTTACAGTATGTGCTCCCATCATCTCAGTCTTATATACTTTAAATGATTTCTCGATTTTTTATACGCCCGTCAAAAGACCAACGTATTATGGTATGGCGCTGTCCGTCTGTCCGTCCGGCATCCGACGTAAACTTTTATTTGTCCGGAGATCTCCTCCAACATTTTTCAGCTGATCTTTATGAAACTTGGTAGGCTTAATCACCATGATATGAAAATGTGTTTTCCTGAATGGGGTTTTGATAAGACGATTTGAATAAGAGTTATGCCCCTTTGTTTATTTCACTATAAATCTTGTCCGGAGATCTCCTCCTACATTTTTCAGTCGATCTTTATGAAACTTGGTAGGCTTAATCACCATGATATGAAATTGTGTTTTCCTGGATTTGATTAGACGATTTGAATAAGAGTTATGCCCCTTTGCTGTTTTGGATATTCAGGGGTGTATTTTGTTCCGCTTTGCAGTACTCTTGTTCTTTAACAGAAAAGGGAGCTGCTAAATCTTATTACTTTTGTTTAATAAAATGGGAATGTGAAAATAGTGAATTATTCATGCATTTACTGCTGTAAAATGAAAATAAAAGATACATTTTTATGCTCCCAAAAAAATTCGAAAAAGCATAAAGTTGCTGCTTTGTTTGTCCATCTCTCTGTCCATCATTTTGTGTCCAGAGCACAACTTTGCACAAAGTTGAGCAAGGATAATGAAACTTGGTGTATACACTTTGGTAATACTACAGCAATGTACCAAATTCAGGGCCTATGACCCTTCAGTTACAGAGTTATTACCCTTTGTTGAAATTTGTGTCTGGAGCATAACTTTGCATTAAAACTATGATAATGAAACTTGGTGTATACACTTTGGTAATACTACGGCAATGTGTAGTGTACCAAATTCAGGGCATATGACCCTTCAGTTACAGAGTTATTGCCCTTTGTTGAAATTTGTGTCTGGAGCATAACTTTGCATTTAAACTAAGATAATGAAACTTGGTGTATACATTTGTCATACTAAGAGGATTTACACTCTCCCAAATTTAATGCCTGAAATCCCATAATTACAGAATTATTGCCCTTTATTAAAATTTGGTGTTAAATAAGTTGTCTTTGGGGATCATTCATCAGTTTCACTGATAATCTTGTTATCTAATTACAACTTAGACAGGATTCTGTCACTGTGAAGAGTCCTTTACAATGTTCCTTACAAGGATAAGTAGAATGCCTTATGGCACTTCTCAAAAGCCCTGGTTTTCTTGCTATAGACACAGCTTGAGATATAAAAGAAGGCAACATCTTTTTACTGTTTCAGACATAATTAAAGATTCAATAAAACCTTATAACATAGATGACAGTGGAAAATTCAAGACAGTTGTGGTGTTTGATTGTCGAGGCATGGAACCTGTCGACTTTTCCCCGAGAGTAAGTGTAGCCAACTCAGTTACAGGTTGATGGTTAATTTTGTTCTCATTTAACATGTCTCTGTGTGGTTGATTTTTCCTGCTATAAAAGGATCATTTTGAAGACGAAACTGGCAATGTTTGATTCTGCTTAGTAAATTTAGGGCCCTTCATGAAGGTGCAAATACCCTATAGTAATCATGGTGTCTGTCTGTCTGTCTGTCTATCAACACTTTTGTTGCCTTGTGATGATTTGAGTTTCCTTATTGAAAGTGCTTGCATGGGATTGCTTTTCAGCTTAAAGGGTCAAAGGTCAAGGTCACTTACTATAAATAGAAAATCAGATTCGCTGCAATAACTCAAATTTGCTTTAGCCAATCAAACTAAAACCTCATACAATGTCCCAGATTGCTTTTCAGCTTCGAAAGTCAAAAGTCAATGTCACTACTACTATAACTAGAAAAATCAGTTTCCTTGCAATAACTCAAGTTTGCTTTTGACCAATCAAACTCAAACCTCATACACTGCTTCCTTACTAAAATTACTGGCTTTGGATCGCTTTTCAGGTTTCAGGGTCAATGGTCCAGATTACTGTTACTCTAAGTAGAGAATTGGTTTCCATGACATAACTTGAGTTCCCTTGGACCAAACAAACTCAAACTTCATGCACTGCTTTCTTACTGAAAGTGCTTACTTTTCAGACTCAGAAGTTAAAGGTTGAGGTTATTGTTGCTACAATGGAATATCCATTTTGTGGAATAACTCAAGTTTGCTGTAGCCAATCTAAATCAAACTTCACACAATGCTTCCTTCCCAAAAGTGCTTGCTTTGAATATTGCTCTTTATATCCCAAGTTCTAAGGTGAAGGTCACTGTTGTTAAAATATTTAAATGAAAAATCAGATTGTTGAATGTATTTTTTATTATTTTTTTTTTTTCGCAACAGTCTTTCTTCAATTTTGTGGCAAGGAGTTTTTCATTGTGTTGTATTATGTGTGTAAGCAAAGAAAACATTTTGTTGTGTTGTAGGTTGGATTTATGGCTGAGGGATCAGAAACAGGTACAAAGTTTCCTGAAGTGGAATTAACAGAAGGTGTAAGTATATAGATAAATTTGTGTCTATTACATCACATGACTTTTTACTTCCATTTTGACAACAACAGCAACATAATGGATAATTCATACACAATCCATATAAACAAATAGCGATATTTACTATTTATCTGGGAATCTGGTCGGGATCTTTCCTTGATCTCCGACAGATTCCCGCGCATAGCTTCTTGGTAACTGCGGACGTGTCTTCGCTATATACATCGATTCCACATAGGGATGGCATTCTTGCGGCCAAACGCGCTTTGGATACTAGAGGTGATAATTCTCCACCTACATGGATCCTCCTGCGGTTTCTACATTTTGTCTTGACTTGTAATTGTTTTAGATTTAACAACCAACATTACCTTCAAATTCAAGGCACTAGCATGGGTACCAAATGTGCGCCGAACTATGCCGTTTTATTCATGGACCAACTTGAAACCAATTTTCTAACATCTCAACCTCTGAAACCTCTAGTATGGTGGAGGTTCATCGATGATATTTTCTTTATTTGGACCTTCCGTCGCGAGGACCTTTGTGCCTTCATGGAGAGTCTCAACCGATTTCATCCCAAAATTAAATTCACCTATGAGGTAAGCTCTACCAGTATGAATTTCCTAGACACCACGGTAATCAAAGAGGAAGACGGCACATTGCAAACCACATTGTATACCAAACCCACGGACGCACATCTTTACCTTCACTATCATTCATGCCACCCTCGTCAGCAAATCCGGAACATCCCGTTTGGACAACTCCTCAGGGTACGCCGTATATGTTCTACGTTGGACGAGTTTGAAAAACATAGCCGAGTCATGTGTGACCACTTCCGACTACGGGGATATCCACGGAATCTTTTAGAGTCGGCCACAGTTAAAGCGAGGAACACCGATAGATTAACTTTACTTCGGAAGGCGGATACAAATGCCAAAACCATTGTTCCATTCATAACTAAATACGATCCTCATCGTCAACATATAGGATCAATCCTGAAAAACCATAGAGGCATCCTCAACCGTATTGGCCCCCAAATGGACCACTCGGTTATCACTCTAGCTTACAAGAGAGCCAACAATATTAGGAATCTTCTAGTTAGAGCGGACATTGATCCACCAAACCGTACTAAGGGTAGTCAACCTTGTCGCCGACCATGCAATTTGTGTCCGTTCATGGAAAACTGCTCCTCCGTTACGAGCAAATCAAACAAACAAACGTTTACCATCCGACACAGTATTAACTGTAACTCTACTAGCGTAGTTTATATGATACAATGTCAGAAATGCGGTACTCAATATATTCGACAAACCGGTAACTCCATCAGAGAACGATTCCATGGTCATTTTGCTGATATCAGGAATAAAAACATGCACAAACCAGTCTCGCGTCACTTCACCTCTACGGAACACGACACAGAGAATGTGAAAATTATCGGTCTCCAAATCACCCCAGGGAATGTTAATACACGCCTACGTACAGAAGAAGCCTTTATCACATACTTGAACACCGCAGAACCACAGGGACTTAATATCAGACACGGATAATCTGGATAACGTCTGGATAACGGTGGATGTAAACTATTATTATCACTGTGAATCTACTATGTAACATTCATTGTCATACTAGTGACCAATCTTGCGACTTGATATGTATATAGGTGTATATACACACACATTGTGTTTTCATTGGATTTATTTTTGCAAGCATTGGAACTGTAACTCAGCGAACATTCACATAGAACAGCCTTTTATTACTTACCGATAGTGTACAAATTGTACATAAATCTTCATCTACAATATTACGCGGCTTAGATTATCATACATATCGGATATATCATCTGTAGTCCTTATGTATTAATAACTCTACTAAGAATCAAATTTGTACATTATTCAGCAGTAACTTGTTACTATATTGCGGTGTTCCGCCCATACCAATTCTCTAGTATTATGACGTCACTAACTTTCCACGTCATTGTAACCAGTGTACTATCTATGATGTCATATAAATAACATGTGTAGTTGCTATGCTTAGATGATATATATAGTCCTGTATTTTGAATTTACTCTGTTCTGAGGATGACACACCTAGTGTGTCGAAACATGTCAACCATTAAACTTGACCTAATCTACCGAAGGTGTTGTCTGGCTGTCTGTTCCTGGTGTTTCACTATCTGGGAATCTGTTAACTTTTCTAGAAGATTACACCTTAATCCAATGACCTCTAAAACTTGGTAGGATTTAAAAAATTTCTTTTATTAATACATTAATTTAGATATCATGTGTTGGTTTGGTATCTAATTATCAAAACATTGAGTACACACAACTGCTATCGGAGAACAACACTCAGAGTTTAGATCATCACTTTAAATGACTGTTTTAAAGGATTAACATGTCAAAAGCACTTTCAATGTAAATTTAAAATAAGGTAGAGTGGAGCAGAGTTAGGAATGAAACTGTATTACACAGCTGTTTTGTCCTCCTAGGACTTGTCAGTGATGCTATGGGCCAAACATAGGAGGTGACTGTAGACGATAAAAATGTAGACTGGGAGGTGCACTAATCCCATAATGCAATCAATTTGGTTTCCTTTCATATCTCTAATGATTAAAAAAGTCAAGTACATGTGTATTTTCTGAATTGTGCCACTATTCAAATGAATTGAAATGTGGCATGCAGATTGAAAGATAAAAATTATTCAAAGTTTCATGCGTGACAGTTAACCTGATAGAAAAGTGAAATCCTTCAGAGCCTAGCTGCTCATTGATCTATCATGTAGTGGTATGATATCGAACTTAACTTTGATGATGCACAAAATTATTTTGAAATTCTGTAAAGAGGTAGCAGCTGTGCTGTTATGTATAAGATGGGGAGTTGATTATTAGAATGTCAAATACAGTATGTACATGGTGTCTTTTCTTTTATTGATTATTTCTCTCCTTTTTCAGGATTGGGTTGACTATGATGAAAAGCAAGGCGAATCAGTGGGAGTGTATGATATTGAACACAAGTTTGTCAAGTGCTAACAGACATATTTAAGATCTCTTCAGCGTTATACAGGAGACGTCCTTTAGAGGAGAGGTTTCTTCAATGAGGCTATTCATAGATGACGCAATTTTCAAGAAATGGTGCAAAATAAAATTTCTCAATTTGATATTTCATGTATCACTGCTTTCGGATTTTTACTTCATATTTTATGTTTACGACAGAAAAATCATGATAATTTTTTTTTGTGATTTCATTATCTTGAAAATAAAATACAATTTTTTTTCTGAAAAATACCTTATTTGGTCCTTTCAAAATAAGCTTTTATTGAAGTTGATACAATCTGAAAATCAACTGTCATAATGTGAAGGTTTGTTGTAAGCGACTCATTACCATATGTAACTATTGATGGCCTGGTAATGAGGAAAACTGTGGTAGTTTTAAGAGAAACATATCTACCTATACATGCTGGGCATGGAAAAGGATGGACTTCATAACTCCCGGACATTTTATGGAAGTGTTCCTATTCAGGTAGAAGCAAGACCTTAAGTTTACTTGATGTATTCAGATATTATGGACCACTGTTTACCATGAAGTGACAAGTTTACTCATGTATATCAATATTTGTACTGATGTTTCATTATCGTCAGTGAAATGTCATAATTTTTTACTTTGATAAAAGCTATCAAAAATCTTCACATGGAATTCATTGTTACAGATTATCTGTAGAACAGCATGTGAAAAGTGAGTAGAATTGTTCTGGTAAATCTTTGTTAAATACACCAAGATATTAAGAATATTTACCCTGAATAGCCCAAATATAGCGATTAGTGCACCCATACATATTGCCTATACACACCAGTACTGTTTCACTGTCCAGTATTTCACTATCATCAAACAAGATGATGCATAGTAGAAAACAGTAAAATGATGATATTATGATGATAATTTTACATTTCTGGATGGAAACATCCTTGCTTCCCAAACCTATGACGTTTACATATCTTTTGTTCATATGTTGGCATAGTTTTATTGAATATGAGTTTGGATTATGATTATGTTGATTTGCTACTTTGTTGTTATTTTATTGTTGTGAATTAAAGCATTTTGCAGACATATCATCATTAAAGATTACACCTCTAAAGATTATTCCATTAATTACTCATTATCAAAGGAATGTTAATATTTTGTCACTGAATAACTTTATTTCACTGGTATTAACAATATTCTGATCATTTTGCTTTGATTCATAGTTACAGAATGTAGATACAGTGTAATATTTCAGTAGGTTTACTTGTGAAATATATCCAACTTTATTGGGAAACAGATCATCTGTGTCAAGACATTTCTTAGATACATGTTTGTTTGGGTATGAACACCACAGCATTCACTTGCCTAATTAACTAATAAAAGAACCAAATTAAGAAAGTCTGTAAAAATTTAATTACAAGTTATTTTTTCATTCTTCGGAATATGAAAGGTGGAACCATAAACTTAAAAATTATACATTGAGATACTACATCATCTGTGTACATGAATACATTTTCAACATTCTGTGAAAGAAATGCATTTTTGGGAAAATGACTTGTTTAAAATGGCTTCTTCATTCAGTCTTCAAAATATATGAAGTGCAATTAGCCCAAGATTTTGCCTCAATACCACTGAAAAACTGCAAAGCACATTTAAGGGATATTAATTGAGCTACCTTCAGTGTTAAGTTGGATGATAGTGGACTTTGAAGACACCTGATGTGAGCTCTTTGGGTGAAACAATAAATCACACCTTCTTTACATTATCTTTAACAATATGGACATATGATCCCTAAAATCTATAATCCAAGTGAACGGTTCATGCTAAAATATTCATATTAAAAAAAAGAGAACTTGGCTGATGGATTTGTTTTTAGTGTCCTATTAATAGCTAAGATCTTTTAAAGACATACTGTGTAGTTGCTTTATATGTGTAGTGCGACATGTAGACCTGTTGTATCAAAAGAGACATGGGATGTATTTATCATTCTTGTTACTAGATAAAGTAGTTCCATCCCACAATAATTCCAAGATATTTATAGGTGTAAAATGTTTCCCAATATGAATACATTACATTAAGGATTTCCTTTTCCTTGGGAAACTCTAATTATGCTTTTAAAACTGAGGCTAGGGGATGGGTGATAGATACACAAGCATTGATATAGACTGATTCCACAGTTTTTAGTTTGACATCTTAGTACATCAGTGTTGTTACAATGAAAGCCAAGTGTGAAGGTAGCAGCTGTAAAAATATTTATAGAGGGACCTTAAGGTCAATAACCAGAAACTTTCTGAATACAAACGGTTGTCTCGGCTTTTAGAGGCAGATACTTTTACTGATGAGTAAGAGAGTTCTCCGAAACCTGCCGGAAAAAGTAATGATCTGTATTGGGGAACTTTTACATGCAAAATGCACTTTATACTTGAAGACATTTGATCAAAATTCATCTGCCTTGCCAAAGTGGGCAAAACATCAACCCATTTACCATCACAAACGTGTGTCTTCTCTCCTGTTGTATTTGTTAAGATCATTTCATTGGAAAGGACCTAAACAATGATGTAGAAATTTTCAAACTAATGTAAGAGAAAGCTTAATTTCTCAGATCACAGGAAATAAATGATCTTTTAGAGATATCACAAATATCATGAAAACAAGAATCTCACTTTACTAAACTTCTCCTCTTTCGATAAGTAAAGAGAACACTTCCTTATTTGTACTGTTCCTCTCTTGACACAGATACAAACAAAGATGATGCAACGATTCTGTTCCATGTCAAACTAAAGACCGATATATCATGGAAACAGCATGAAACACAATTTACTGTGTCAAAATCAAGTGCTTTAAAAACATTCCATTCTGTGATACAATCACTAGAAAAAGGAGTTGTGATGGTTTTTCTTGGTCATGATTGCTTCTCAAGAGAAAAGCTTCTGAAAACAAAACATTGTGTTTTCACCAGAATGCCACTGTCATCCTTGATAGCACAGCATATAGAAGTGGTCATTGGCACCTGGCAAGATAAGTGAGCACTTCAACAGTTATGGTAACTGTGAAACCAGAGTCTATCAACACTCCTGAAGAACATTACGGCCTATTTGTGACACAATATTAAAGTGAAGTACATTGTGTAGATACTACATGGCAGCTCTGATACTGTCAATCCATACAGGATTATTACAGTCAGTGTCCTATGGAACAGATAACCATGGGGTTGTGTGCTCAAATAGCCAGTGTCCTATATCATTTAGGATACCATACAGACTTAGCATTGTACCTAAAAGATTGTACAAATCACACACCTTAAAATAACACCTTTTATTATAGAACAGCAAAACAAAAAATCTGATTGCATTATACAACTGTTTTGTCCTTTTGTCAGTGATGCTAACGGCAAAATTTCTTAAAAATCTACCTTTTTGGCATGGTGTCATTACATGTAACAGAACTGGTATTGTGCACTACTCTCTTAAGATAAACACATTGCTAACTGTTAAAACTGCTCTGGTGATCTTTGGAATATGACTTGAAGACTTCAGGAAATTACTGATGATATGACACAGGCTGTTTAAACCTGTCTGTACAGATAACGGCTACCCTTCAGTTCTCCAGTCACTCACCAATCTATGAAGGTTGAGTTAGCAATCGAGGGAGAGGTTACTATTAACATCAGTAACATTTTACATCAGAAATCTGTCCAAGCTAACATCCCACCTTACTACCAATACAGAAATACAGCTATCATTTGCTACGGTTACTCAAAGCACACTGCATCCAAATAAACGTTTCAATAGCAACCAAACGCTGCATAGTAACGTTCAGTTTTGAGAGTTATTCCTGAACGATCTAAGATATCATCTACACATATGCAAATTGTGATGTGATGTGAATCATAGTGGCACGGTTCAGAATTACTACACAAAGGTCACTGATGTCTCTGACAAAAACATCTCCACCAAGGTTTTAAGGTGTTAAGGGGGTATGGTGCTATTCACATGTATCGTATCGTATGTACTATCTTTGAAATGCAGGTGGTAGCCTGGATGTTAGTAGACTTCCAGTCCCCAAGGTTTACCATAACCTGCGAGTCGCTATTTCCATCATTTGAATTTTGGCACAGTTGAGAGTATGTCGCATACTTCTACATAATCATTATCGTCAGATTTATGGAAATTACAAACTTTACAGAATTATGGGGCTAGCGCACCTCCCGATCTTTATTTTGAATCTCTTCTATTCCCTACAATTATGTTCAGCATTGCAGTGGTATAACGGCTTCCTTGCCTGTTGCCAGTACAATGTAAATAGGTGGGATGCCGTTTGACCGTATACTTCAGTGTGTTAACACTATGATAATTTACAAATGACACACAGGTGAATAGCATCGATTAATACAAATCTAGATTTGATTTAAACAAGTTTCTGATACATTTACATGGAAACAATTACCATCATGTAAACATGCATATATCTACAATGATTATTATCATTAAGATTTAAATTAAAATCTGTTACTAGGCTTAATAAAAGACTGCATATGTCTGAAGATATTTGAACTCATTTAGAAATGATACAATAGCGCCAAACAATGAATTAAACTTCATCACACCGCTTTTTTGTCCTTCTGGGACTCGTCAGTGATGTCAAGAGCCGAAATATGAAGCCAGGAGGCGACTGAAGAAAATCCAATATGTCGAAATCTAGATGGAGGGCTTCAGTTCCGCACAATCAGGAAAGATTGTGCACTTACATTGCATAAACGCGGAGTCTGTCCTTAATTGACTGTATTATTGTCGACTGCTTTGCCCATTGTTAGCATTATATGTCCCGGTGGAGGTGTGACCTTTATTTTTTGCAGGATATGTCGGTGAGGCAGTGTACTTCTTTAAAGTAGACTCTAAGTATCACTGAAAAGTCCTAGGAGGACAAAACTATTATACGATGCTTCATCGTTTGGTTCTCCTGTATCTAACTCTAAATTTGTATCAAAACGTATCATTCACCGGTGTATTATCTGTACTATTTACAAAATAGAATTTCGGTTGACACAGCTAGTTTACTATTAGTCCGCGAGGTTTGTCGTAATCCGCATGACACTTGTTGATTAATTCGTAAAATAGCGCCATTCAGATTATGAAATTATCAGGTTTATATAAATTACGAAATTTATAGGATTATAGGGCTAGTGCACCCTCTCCCTCCCCATCTCGATGTTGACGTTTCTTTCGATGCCACCCAGGCATCAAAATTTAGACCTTTAATTCTAGATAGAGGAAACAGCTGTATGATTCTGTTTACTTCATTGTTTGACTCTACTATATCTAACTCTATTGAAAAAATTAATAGGAATTCCATTGCCAAGTATGGGAAATCCGCTTGCGTTTTGAATTCTTTTGATTAATCGTATCGTAAGCAGGTGAATATACCCTGTTCAGTTGCGGGTATTTGGTCAAGTGAAGGACAGAGAAACTTCCCGCAAGGGGGAATCGTTGTGTAACCTGAGGTGACTTCATCTGAGGACAGAACTAAACCATTTGTATATATAGCCGTTAATGAACATTTTTCTATGCGCAAATTAATCCGTTTTTAATGAATGTTAAGACAAAGTTTGTGTGTAGACGCCTTGCTGATTAATCGGCTGTTACACCCAATTTCTTGTATTAGGCTGTATTTAAGTCAGTTTATTAGTTTACAAAATATCTATACACACAGCCAATGACCAGTCCTTCTTCTTCACGGGGTGATGACCATCAGACATATATACAATGCATGCGATGCATGGTTGTTTCGGTTTCTCGGCATGTTTATAATTAACGTTTTCTTTTAGCCAAAGATTATTGTTACCTTGGCTGAACATATAATACAATGGTTAAATACTTCAGCGCTTGTAGATATATACGTTAAAACGCTTGTGTATTGTAACGGAAAACCCAACCCTGAAGGACGTGAACGTGCACAGAACCGTACTACATAATGTTATTGTATGCTAAAGACAAAACATTCATGTATGACTCAATAGGCACAGTATCCGTGTAGCCTTGTAGTTTGGGTATTTCGATAATGGAGGTAAGTGTTGTTAAATCTATGATATTATATCAATACGATATAGCCAAATGAAATAACTATCATGTTTGATTTTTTGAAATGGTATGACATGAATTCAAACTTAACGACATTCAGGTGTTAAGTTAAAACATGTATAATGTATATGAAGTGTACATTGATTCATAACCCTAGCTTGTGATATACTAATGCGTATGGAGATTTACAAATAAGACGATAACAGCAATATTACAAGTATTGTTTTGTTTACATTTGTTTAGAACAACATGATTAGAGCCCCTGTCCGGTGTCCAGTTTAAACAGTTATATTTTAAAAGAAATACGACTATGTTAGTTATATATATAATGAAAATATCAACAGCTCAGTGCCCGGTATATATATGTATATACTTATATCACGAGAGTCTTTTATTCAAACCTTTTATTCAACGCTTAAAGCGACTTTATTTAAAGTGACTGCCGTAATCCCGTACACCACGATTCAAATCAATCGAATAGTGTCACGATTAAGAGTTAGCACAATATACAATATTTTGTGTTATAATCATCCAATAATTAAAAAGTACGAAATTTACAGAATTATTATGTTAGTGTTCAACTTCCGATGTATGTTGATAGATTTTTCCGTATCGCATCCCAGATTTTAATTCTTCAGACGTTAACTGAAGAAAGATAAAAGTTTTGTTGATCATTTGGCACGAATACCTTTTACTAGTTATACTCAATTTTATTAACGTTTATCTATGGCAATAAGCTTGTAATGAACATCGGAAATGGGTCTACCTTAATTGTTATATAAATACAGTAATGATTGATCGGACAAGTTTTCCCAAATGACGTTAGATGTCAATGGAAAGTTAAGAAAAACGGGTTTTTACCCAGTGTAATTTTTACGTAAACATGAATGTGAATGGATATCAGGTGGTAACAAGGAATTTAACATTATCATACGTGTACCTAATTATTGTTATATCGTTGCTGGACATGTAGATGCAGTGCCAGAGATGAAGAAAACAGGGAAGAAAAGCAGGGTTCGACCCTCTGAATTTGATGGGGTGATGGCTGTCCGATCTGCAAAGACGGAAAACCATAATGAAATGAGGTACAATGAGATGATCTTTTTTTGTCCTTTTATGTGTGTGTGTGTGTGTGTATGTGTGTGTGTGTGTATATACATATATACATACATCTAATGACTTTTTATCTCCCATGAAATAGTAAAATATCATTGTTTTCTATAAATTTTTTTTCTGTTGACATTCAGAATATCTCTGACGACGAGAGTACTGTAATTAATCGTTATAAATTGATAACTTTTAAACAAAATACGGCTTTGTTTTGAATACTAGTAATCTTCCGAAAATAAAAAAATAAATAGACAAATAAAAATCACGACAAAAACATATATTAATCCTATGACATAATTTCGTGACCTTTATACAACACTGATTAATGATAACAACACAAGTTAGTTCATATGTTACTCTATAACGAATATCTATTTTAGTGGTGCTATTTTGACTTATCGCTGATTGACAATGAGATAATGGTTATATTCCTATTGTTATTCTATATCTGTCTTATCTCGTTCTACTTTGTAGTGGTACCAGCGGGGACCAGTGGGGCGACACCCTCAAACAGCCACTTTGTGACCTCAGCATGTATTGTGGAAAACGTTGGGAAGGATTCAGTGAGTAAACAACGAGATACCACGTATATCCTTGTGTTTGAGCTCAAATGAACAAATAAACTAAAACGCTTATAAATTATAGCGCGGTCTGAAAGGCACAGGAATTCATTTTAATTTGAATGAAAATCTGAGTATCGGATAAGTCTTTCTTAAATTTTTCACGTGCAATAGAGGACCATCTGTACACGAGACAAGTTTATCCTATCTATTGCGTCACCGACCAGCCATCCATACCACTGTATATTGATCATATTACTTTCCGAAATTTTATCTGTCGAAACGTGACATAAATTCCTTATCCCTTAATTTATAAATACCGTATGTTAGGTTGATTTTTGTGGAAGTGATTTCAAGATTCTAATTAATTAATATTTACTCTATTGTCATACTTGAAATCGTTTTTGATGCAATTAAACATAACTTTATACTTTGAACAATCTATGTTTAGAAGATACACTTTCATGGTTTTATTGCATTACTTACATCAGCTTTATCTGATTTTGATTTTAAAATAATTTTATCTAAATGTTACTGAAAATGTGATAAGAATAAAAGACAAATCTTAACGATGCACATTTCTATATGTTTGAAAATCGCATGTTTTGTCTCAATTACAAACACGTGGCAATAGCTACCAGAACGAAAGATCATTGACAATCTTGGTACATTCATTTAAAATTAAGTTAGTTATAATGTAAACATTCATAACAAGACTGATTTTCATATTTATCCCTACTTTTGCACATGACGGTATAGAACATAAGCATACATAATTTATTTTTATCACCAATTTACATAATACTGTAGAGATAAAAAAAAATCCATTTAGATACTTTCATCTTGTCATTTCTCTCAGATCAAGAGAGCCAATCCAAGTTCTACAAGGACATCAACGAATGTTCAGATTGTTTAAGTTGTTGTCTTCCAAACAGAAATAATCGGTAAGTCAGGTTTCCCTTATTCCAATCTATATCTAACTGTACATGACGCATTGTTTTATCCATTTTTAGATAAGGTGCAGAATATTAAAATCGGTTTGATATTCTTTGAGAGTTGTTCAATATCCAAATCATAAAATTGTCTGTTGAGTTATTGCAACTCTCTCATTTGTTTTCTTCATTTGGATTATCCGATATTCAAGGACATGTTTTCAGTATAAGGATATTTGTCTCTTTAAGAAATATTCTGTATTCTTGTGCAATATGAGAATGGATGTGTTTTTATGTTAGTTAGTATACCTGTCGGTCACATTGCTGTTTACCGTGTCCTCGCAGATGCTTACTCTTCCGGAACACATGGTCTTATCATTCTTGTACTTTTTCCTGATTCTCCGTTAAAATATTTTTTGTTACTATTTTGCCCTAGGCTATTGAATTTAAGTCTGGATTATGCTTCTGATGATATGTTGTTTTTGCTGTCTGTCACAGAAAACATGATGAATCAACAGAAAACCCGATTGATGATCTGCGTTACGATGTCGCTGGTAAATCACAATTACATCAACTATTTCAAAGATCGGAAAATTCCGATCAAAATGCTGAACTAGACTTACAACAAGCAGATGAATTAATTCATTCTGTTGAAAACGTGAATATTCGGGATCCGTATGGAGAAACAGTCCTCCACAAGGTACGTATGTTAAATGTATCTGGTGCTATGGTAACACCTGCCTACATAGTATCATGTTTAAAAACATTGAAAAAGTGCTTGGCACTAATTGGTCACAGGGATTTAGAAATACAATTTTCTTAAATATTGCTACTAACTTCATAAGCTGCGATTAAATAACAATTTCTTTATCTTTCAGGCTGCAAGGATGTGGCATGTTGACGTAGCGTTATTCCTGGTTAAGCATAAAGCTGACGTAAATGCTGCCAATGAGAGTGGCTGCACACCTCTTCATGTCGCTGCTGCAATGAACTACACAGAAATGGTGTCCCTACTCATTAAATATGGAGGTTAGGCATTCATTTGACTCATTCCGTCTTTTCGAAATGCAAAGTCACCTGCTTTTGTGAACAGATATTGATTATAACGTTATCAGTTTGCGATAGAAAATAACGTCGTTTTTTCATGACGTTACTCTCGCAAACCACTGATGTAACAACCAACACCTGCTCATAAGAGCAGATAACATGATTTTATATGAGTGTTCATTTCATATTTCATTTACAAAATGAATATATGAATAGTTTTTACGAATACAAATGAAAATAAATAATCTTAAATCACAATGTTGAAGCCGTCAGGTCTGACCAGAAATACTTAACTTCTTGAGGGCTTGATTAATGGTACTAAAAACATAGGATAATTTGATAGTCATACAAATAACTCTTTTTGGTTCGGATGGAAACGTCCGGAGCGTATAACTATGGGGGTAATCCTGAGTACCCACAGAAAATCCACACGGGCGGGCAGTGTGAACTCCAGCCTTTATTCACGTTCGGGTAATGGAACTCCAGTCGCCTTGATGAATGGCGGGTGCGTTACCACTTTACCACTTGGTCACTCTCGATTGAAATATATATACTATGTAGTCCGAATTCATTTTAATATGTCTATATAACAACATTGGACTTGTTACTTGGGAAAGTAGGTTTACCTGCAGGCATGTGTGCTTGTTACATTGTATGAGACATACCTCCTATGTCTTCGTACCAAACCTTTCATGCGCTGATAAAAGTATGATGGGTCTGATATTGCGTATATTGGATTTTGATCATAAGCGAGATGTTCTATATTGCTTGCAATACCTCGTAATTTGACTGTTTGTGAAATATGTAATAATAGTATATGACATCTAAATTGATATACAAGATTTAATTCCTCTACATTACAGCAAACAAAGAGGCGATAACAACGGGAGATAAACAGACACCCCTTTTCTTTGCTGCAAGATACAACTGTTCTGATGCGCTAGATCGTCTAATAGATGAGGGCTGTTTATTTGACGCAATACAAGATTACAAAGGCAGATACCCTATACAGTTAGCCGCCGAACAAGGTATTACCATCAAAATATGCGGGTTGATTAAAATCATCGGGAAGTTTTATGGTCGCCATAGTGATCTCATTGAGAAGTATTCGACCTCTTTGTGTGACATGAAGCTGGACGTATATGATGTTCTTCGTTAATTTGCCTGTTGGTTCCGTTGTTGTATACCTTGTTCTCATTTTAGAACGTGACGTTACTTACTTAGATTGACCAAGGTTTACATGGCGAGTGTCGTCGATGAAGTAGAAGACGATTTCTCTTCCGGAATACCTGGTCTTATTCTCTTTTGTACTTTTTTCAGGAGTCTCCGTGTAAATCTTTCTTTCGTTCATATTTTGCCCCAGGTTTTATTGGATTTTAATTTGAATCGTGATTATGTTTCCATGTTGGTATTTTCTTATTTTTTTTTCATAAGGCAACAATTGACATATAGAAGGATAACATACGCAATCTTGATTTTTGAACGCATCATAAAAATATCTGCACTGGTTATCTTGTTTTTAAGGCATCTGTCCATAATTTTGCAAGACTCTTTATTTCTTGAGTTGATATCTAAAGTTATATTTGTACAAAGTTGATTAAACGCAGAATATTAACAAATCCAATATTTACACATTGAAAGAATACTAGGACAATAAGATTAGTTGATTAGTTGTTCCAAAAGGGTAAGGATTGTTTGCTTCAACGACAAGCCTGCCATGCATGTCTTGGTCCAAATAAATGATGTCACTTCTCAAATGAGGACCAGTTTTGAATCAGCATATGAACTTCTATCATGCTATCGAACTATGAAAACATTTACCTTCAACAACTTGCTGCTCTCGAAAACCTGTTGAGTGAATTTGAATTAATAATTTGTTCTCATTTGGGTATTTGTTTTCCTCTTGTGGAATGAAACCTCAGGCATGTAGTCTTCCACGACAATCATTCCTTAAACAGAAGGCGCAAGTTCTAGATATTGCATGGTGCTCTAAATCCATAAACGTATTTGTATGAGTTATGTAGGTGCAATGATAATGATTAATGCTACCTTTGATACATGTTGTAGTTTTAAGTTTTACGATTTGGATTCCAGATAGAAGCATTACTACGCATTTATTACTGAGGAGAGGTGCACGGGCGTGGATGAACCGGGACAACGTGCCAGGATGCGGTACAATTGATTGGATGATAATCAACATGCCTGCCGTGGTAAACTTTTCATTCTTTCACAATATACCTTGACTGCTGGTCGTAGTGATATAAATCATTTTTCTTCTTTCAGTCGTTACCAATTATTAATTTCGGTAATTCTTATATACACTGTAGTCATTTTCGTAATTGTACATTGAAAAAAAAATTGCCCCGGCGTTTTTCGACCTCAAACTTACATGTTCGTTTTTGCCAAGTGCAAATTTCGCCCCAATATAATTAAAACTTTAACGTTTGTTTTCGTCCTACTGGCGAAAAGGCAAAACTAGTATGAAATACCACGCGGTATTCTTTTTGTTAGCGCCACTTTACGGGTCAATTATGTTTTATGAAAATTAATAATAGGATCTTGTACTAGCATTAGGACAGGATAGGATAGAGAAAGTCCTACCCTAAAGTTAGGAAATTTTCCTATGACATTTATTTGGTCATTACAAGTAATATGTGTCTGTATAACCAAGATATGTCGTCGTTTATTTTCTCCTTTGTATATGAAGCCCGGATGGCGATTATTAATGACGTCAATAAACCGAACTGATCTTGAAATGTCATGAAAATGACGTCATAAATAATACCATGAACCCAAAAATTTCTACTTATATGAAAAACTACAAGAGTTAATAAGATCATGAACTCAGTATTTAACTTGCAAACTTTAGTCGAAACGAAAATAAGAGATAGAAATGGAAAAAACGAAATGTGTTAAAACTCAATCCTGTAAATTTGGAAGTATAATCTGATATTCAAGAAGCTATTTCTGCACTATTTGCTTTCAAAGGCACAATGTAGCTACTATATACTTAAGAACAGGAAGCAATTGTTATTTTTTGTGATGGATGTCGTTGTTTTCGTTTATGATACTGTAATTACCCAATTTAGGCATTTGACGCACTAGATTTATTCCATACCACTGACCGTACAAGCCGGCGCCAGAGCTTCTATCTGTATCAGCTAATGGCAGGTAAGCTAGCTATAATTATGAGAGTAAGTTATAACGTTTTGGTATCTCTTGATTAATGCGTTTGCTGAATGTTTATATGGCGTTTATTGCATATTTGATTCCATACAGATATATATTCTCCGTCAATGTTGTTTTTGTTAACGAAATACATTTAATAAATTCAATGATTAAAAAAGTAAATTCAAACCAAAGGCTGCTACAGTTCGCATTTATTGAATATATGTCAATGGTATTTCCCTTTTTTCCAGATGATAATAAAGAATCATTTATTGAATTGCCTGTAAGTTTGAATACTTCTGATTTATTATTGCATAAATGAAATGTTACATAATAGTCTTTGCATAGATTATTTCTAAATATCAGGCTTCAAGTTTCAATGAACTTTAAATGATCGTTAACATGACCCGGGAAGTAAGGGGTAGGCTGAAATGATCATCATTGATAAATTGACACGGCTGATATAGATAGATCAAATTAAGGCAATATTTTGGAATCCTTTAAGAAGAAATGCTAATTATGTACAGTTTTCAATACGAAAAGTAGTTTTGCTGAGAGTCATTTATAACTCCATGTATCAACGATTTAAATAAAATTTTGAGATATACTACATTTTCGAATACGTTGACGTGATGCTGCACTCAACAATGTACTATTATGTTCACATGAGCACAAAGGCCGATCCACTTGACGGGTTCAGGATTAAGAAAGTTTGAAAATGAATATGATGATGTCATTGTAGGTAATGATAAAAGAAATAATTTTTCAATATCTATATCGTATGATTTTTTTGATGATTATTTGCAGCATAGTTAATAATTTATATAATTTTTTCCTTCTATCTTAGTTACAAGTTGCTGTCAACAAACACCACTACAATCTTCTTTCTCACCGTGTCTTCTCTACCCTTATCAATTACATGTGGGACCAATACGCAAGGCAAGACGTATATCATATGGTTTATTGCGGCATGTGATGTCATAGTTCTGGTTCTATGATTAACAATAAAAATGGTTATATAATATCAGAAAATGTTATTTCGTTCACAATAAATAGAAATTAACAACACGTCTTATAAATAGCTGCTGTATGACACCTAACAATATGTTCATGGTTATGGTTCGTTTTTGAAGTATGTTGGAGTAATGTACTGGTTACTTATAATTGTAATGAAATATAACGATAAAAATAGAGACATGATAATAATGTCTTCTACTTAGTTCACTTAAATAGGATTCCGTAAATGTACACTGAGTTTCGTTCATTGATTATTTTTCACATATTTTCAGGTTCTTTTATCAATAGCATACATAGTATATCAAAAATGTAATTTATACATTTTTTGATAAGATTCATATCAAAAGATATCAACAGTTTCTTTTTACGATATTAAGACGTACATTTTACCTACTTTGACATACCCTGTACTTCTAATTGGATGTCTATAGTATGATAAACATACAGTTTTATCAATATTGTTGTATTACACAGGCTACGTGCTATACGATGGTTCCTATTTAACATTTTTTATGTTCTTGTCTGGTCACTGATTGGGGTACTTGTTCCTTATGACCAGAAACACTACTACAACCTGCCAGACCAATCATGGAGGATCGTGCTCGAAGTACGTACTTACAACAAAGCATTAAGCTTTTAAATACGTGGCTACATGCAAGTCAGATTTTATATTGTGAGTGTGGTATTGAGGCAGGAAGTTGTTTTATAGTTTTTTAATAATATTAAGTTACCTTTGAAATGAAGTCCTAAAACTGGTAATATCAAATAGTATGTTACATATAAAGCTCATCAATGCGATTAAAGTTCATAACGAATATTGTACATTTCTACTATAATAAAGAATGAATTTTCAAAAGAATGTATTTCATTGTTTAAGGTTATTGGCATTGGTATCACACTGTGGGAGATGGTAGAGGAAGTCCGAGAATATCGCCACTCGATTAAGAAAAGTGACGTAAGTAAATATCAACATCCCTAGACACAGTGTTCAGTAATAATGACTTATAAGAACAGTCAATAGCTGTGATAAGTTTTCAGAATCTTGTCTTTCATCTTATAGACCTAGGCTTATATCAACTTTAATCACATGATCGACTATAGTATCGTAAAAATGACATCTAAGTTATTTACTCAACAATAACCCTTTGAAATATCTATTGTAAAACACAAGTAAAACTCGTGCTTAATTTCCTGTCAGCGAAACGAACTACGTATTTATTGCAATAAAGTATATTTTTTTCTTATAATGATGAGTTGAATATTAACGTAATCAGTTTTTCTACAGATGAACTTCAGAGTATATCAAATCTGTTTTTACCTTGTCATCATATTGATTCGTAATAAGAGATTTGTTGAACCACACGAATTGAAAATGAATTGCACGACAGAATTTTCAGTAGTTCATCTCGATCTTTTCCTACAGCGAGCTGTATGATAAGCTTGGAAATTTCAAGTTTCCGATTATGAATTTTCCATCTCTGGATAACAACATCCCTGTATCCCCAACCTGTCGTGTTTATATATCTCAGTTGATTCGATATTCAAGGGCCTCTTCCCAATCACAAGATTTTCGTGCATGATGTCGTCAACTGACAGCCAAACTTATAACAGTTTTTCAAAAGATGCAGTTTAAAGACAATTATGGGGAAGTTTTACGGTCGTCATAGTTATCTTATTGAGAAATATTCGTCGTCTTTGTATACGAAGCTGGGGGTGTTTGATGCTCGTTAGTTTGCCTGTTGGTTCCGTTACTGCATACCTTGTTCTCATTTGGGAATGTGTTGTTACTTACTTGCATTCATATTTGCCTTAGTTTTATATTGAATTTCAGGTTTGATTATGACCATGTTCATATGTTCAGGTGTTTTCTTGGTGTATATACCGATAATATGCTGAGAGTTCCAATTTAACCATGTACCAACCTCAAAAGGTATAACGTTGTTACAGCAACACAAACAACTTATAAGTGATATTTTAGACTGTACTTACTATAAAACTGGAATTTCTAGTACTTTCTTTTCTTGTTGGTGATGATGAATATGAATTCCTGCCATCTTTAGTTCAAATTATAAGTTGGCTGCAATCTATCGCGCTTGAATTCGCGGACAGTTTGTCAAGTGTTTTCATTGCCGTGTTTAATTAAAATTCCTAGAGTCTTGAAAACAATAAAAGGGACACATGCACAAAGGTAGCAACTCTTCTGTCGGTCCTTTTAATATAGTGAGAGATCAGATGGCGTTATTTCTTGCCATAATTGAATTGATGTCTTGTCACGCGGTTACATACATAATGCTCTAATAGAGGATGCTTTTATATGTTCAGCATTTGGTTTTATCATTATTTCAGGAATGGAAGGAATTCAGAAAGGACGAACTGCAAGCAGACATGAAATACTGCATTAGTGGTTCAGACAGACAGTTTTTAAGTGATGAGTTACACGAGCTTGATAAACACATCCCAAGATACTTCAAAGATTTTTGGTACGTATCATTTCAGAAATTTAATAAACGGAATATTTAAAGAAATGGGATTTCGTGATCTTCATATTCTTACGCTTAAATATGTTTGAAATTTGTCGTTTCTGATTTACCAGGTCATGCAGTCTTAAAGTAGTTCAATAATGAATAACCCAATTGATAGAGTATCTATTTTTGTGGGAGTAACATTATATCTTTCTCACAGGAATGTATTTGACTGGGTTTGTTACGCGTGTCTTGGTGTATGCATTGTTTCCCATATTGTTGACGTTATAAAACATTCGGAGGAAGCAGCTAGATTCCATATCAACTTCATGGCTCTCACCCTTGTTCTGCTCTGGTTACGACTGGCAAAATGCGCAAGGCCCTTCAAGCAGCTCGGTAAGTAGTTCCTTGAAACAGCGCCGTAAATATTTTAAGGAAAAATAAACACAATTCGAAATTCGTTTCATATTATATTTATATATTGTTCTTCATGAAAGGAAACATTAATCCTCAACATTTTTTTTTTTTGAGATTATAAACATCTTTTGCCAGAGGACCCAATCAGTATTATCATAGAAAAAAATGGAAACCAAATTTATTGAATAATCGATTGTATGTAATTACTTCAATTTGTCAATAAAATGCTTTCTTTGCTCAGAAATGAACGACAAATCTGTTTTGTAGGACCATTGATCGTAATCCTTGGGGAGATGTTTGAAGATGTTATCCTGTTTGCCTGTCTTTATCTACAGTTTTATCTCCCATTCGGTGATATATCGTTAAATTCATAGACGTGAGCGATGTAATATATTTTTTGTATAAACAATCTTGCTAGGGGAAGACGAGATTAAGACTTTCGTCAAACGGATGAAAAATGTTTATTAAAAGGATTTAAAGAAACATCATTATGTCAGTGATTAAAATTTGGAGATTGAATGATATTTTTAAAACAGAAATGATAGTATACAATGTTCTTAAACGATGATAATCTTAGGGATGTAATGTAAGCTGAGAATTATGACTATTTCAGACATGAAGTAAGTTGTGGATGAGGGTTTATAATGTCACGTATTAGGGTGATAAAAATGTGATAATAAATGTAGGTTCAATCTCGTTTCAGTGTGTGCCTATTGGATGGTATTTGGTGGCGAGAAAGTGACATATGACACACGGTACCGCGACAACAATACTGCCGAGTATGTCACCGTCGATGGTTACGAAAGCGTCGGGGGTGTCTTCTTCAGTCTATTTAGGATAACTCTGGTCGACGACTTTGACTATGACGTAAGTATAATCTTAACTTTACAAGTAGAAATATATGGATCTAAACAATGATAATGTGGTATCGGCTACATATAAAAAATCAACGTTGCAATTTCATTATCAGTGAACATTGATGTCGTTATGTGTAGTGAATAATATATTTTTTGATTGCACAGACAATGAAGTCAGTGGATCCTATTATGGCGGACATTTTAGTGGGGACATGGTTAGCAGTATCAGCCATTGTTTGTTTGAACCTTTTCATTGCTCTTCTCTCGGATTCTTTTCAAAGGTAACCAGTATAAGTGAAATGTACAATGAAATATTAGGTAGTTAAACCTTTAAAATTACTTGATGGCTTGGTATGTTGAGAAAGTGGGAAAGACGAACTAATGAAGAACCTTTTAGCAAGTCGATACAGGAAAAATGCAATGGGTTTTACACCATGTGACCATTTATTCAAAATGCCTAATATTTCTAAAGAATTTTCACACGAAAACGTTTATTGAAAGTTAAAAATAGTCACAAATGTGAAAGAAGTAGGATGTTGCTTGATTAATGTATCAAATGTTTTATCAATGTTATTATTCATTTTAAACTCTGTATTGTTCATTATTGAACTACAGAGTGTATGAAAACGCCCACAGCATAGCCCGGATGCAGAAGGCCATTGTGTGTTTAGTTTATTGGGATCTCCTCAACAACAAGAGTCGGAAACAGTTTTTAGAGGACATGAAAAAGTACTGTAATCCTCTCCAACAGGCCTACGATGACGACGATGGTGTGGAAGAAACGGATGGAAATGAAATGCAGAAAGCCGTTGTACAGCTGCGGGTAATATACACAGGACGAAACGGTTTAATTGATTTTCAACCGAAATAAAAAAATAGTTAGTCATGTGAGACATGGATTCAGATGTTTCAGTCTAGAAAGGGTTAATATAATAAAGTGTTTACTACAAAGAAAAATAAAGGTGAAAAACGGAAAATCAGGACCGGGCAGTATTATATAAAACAAGCAAGAAAAGTATATCCTACCCACTTATGAATGTGGTTCTGATATACATTTTAAATTGTCAAAATAAGATAAAAGTCAAATAAACAAACCATTTTTATTGTTAAGTACGATATTTTCTTTTTAAAAACATATTAACCAAAAGTTACCTTTGTTTGAAGTTGTGTATGAATATTAAATGATCTTTAATTGTAGGATATAACCAGAATCCAGAGACAAAACCAGGATAATCTTGTGGCTAAGCTGGATAGTGATTTAACAAAGATTGACAAAGAAATTGCCACAATCAAGGAATTAATCTTTACGTTACAGTCCTCTCAGCGACCGCCTGAACATCCTGGCTACGGAGGTAATAACGTTACGTATTGCAGTCATGACATCCAATGCTTAATTCATAATTAAATTACTTGTAATAAAACCAATCATAACCTTTCCATTATCACGAAGGAATGTGTATGAATTTTGACTTCTGAAATGCTCTTTCCCTTTTTCTACCAAACAATAGAATATCAAAAAGTATTTCACAAAAATATGTTAGGTTTTAATTAGATGAACGTGAAACAACTTTATTTTGATACAATTTATTAAAATGTTCTCTACCATAGATATGTTGTTGACATTCCATTTACGCGACGCCACGAACAGGTTCATTCCATTGGATGTCATACTGGCTGAATTATTGTTAATCATGTTGACAAGGTTACATTACAAAAAGTATGTTTATATCAAGAACATTTATATACACTTGTAGTCTTTTAAAATGCGACTGCAAATTGAAATCAGCTTTGATTGTTTTAAAACAGAAATACTACGTTGAACTTTCTTTCTTTGTTTTTTTGTTTTTTGTTTTTAAGTTTGCCTCAGAAAATATCATGTGGATACAAAGCGTTGCGTCAGTGATTTGACTACAAATTTGTTTAGGGTTACATATTAAGATTAAATCAATAGTGATTCGTTTACAATCAATAACAATCTTATTTATTTCTCTATTCTTTTTTGTGTGCACAGTGCTGTTTTAAATAGACATTTTTCAACAACGGAATTTTTCATTGCAATACATAAATATTGTATTTTGTATAGATTTAAGCAGCGTCACAGCTGAAATAAGTAGCTCTTCTTGTTTTCCTTTTCAGGAACTGACGATTTGCCTACAGCTATGAGGTATTTATATTTCCACTTCTTTTTAACTACGGAATAAATTTACACAAAAGAAACAAAAGTATTCGCCATTAATCATTCGAACTTTTTGTGAGATACAATATGCACTAAATACTAAATTAAACTGATTCATGAATCTTTTTTTTCCCTATGTGGAATATAAAAAAAAGTTAAAGGTCAAATCTTTATTGTGTATCACAATATTTTCTATAAATATGACAGTCAAATCAATATTGTACAAAACACACACACGGGAATGTAAGATGAAAAATTTCAATATGAATTGGGCTAGATAATGAAGTAAACTACATCATATAACTGTTGCGTCCTTCTAGGACTCATCCATGATGCTAAGGGCTAACATTTAAAAGTTTGGAGGTGATTGAGGCAAATCTAATTTGATCGATGTCAGAATATTGCTGGGAGACTGCAATAGCTCCATCGTTTAATGCTTTTCTGTATTTTTCCTGTCTTTGATAATTTTATAAGAACATTAAGCACATGTGTATATTCTGATCCTTGCCTCTAATCGAGTTACTTAAAACGTGACATGTAGGTAACGGCAAAAGTGCACAATTTCATTGGTTGCAAATCTACAAAACTTTCAACCGATATGTGCCTTCGCCTTTTGTTTCATTAGTGTTCAACTAGTCTCAGGTCTAACGCTTTAAATTTGTTTCATTCATATTAACCTCTATCTCATAGCAGTTTAAACAATTATTCAATCACCGTGCTCGTTTATCCTTATTCAAACTATAAATTTGATTGCAAAATTACATTATATTGAACTTCACTTAGGCAGGTAAACGTGACTTTAGAAGAAACGCCCATGTTACTGGTAGAAATAAATCTGAATGGACGTTTTCTTGATTTTCAAAATTTAAAATGTACCTTTTTTCGATGTGGGTAGATCTATAATAAGTTCCTTGGAATTAGGGCGAACTGCTGCACTTTAAGGAGAAATATGTGAATGTAAAATCTCATCCTTGAAGATTTCAGAGATAGCGATCAAAACTGATTAACTGATCCTTACCCCTGTAGTTTCGAGGATGGTAAAATCTATTAACACTTTTTCTTTCTCGTTTTCTAAGGTCGTCCTCAAAAAAGAAGAAGAAAAAGCGAAAGACCTCTTCAAAAGAAAAAGATGACGATTCCATAGGTATCAAAGATTTGTGTCACCTATGAAATATTTTTTTGAAAATATTTATCATAACATAAACAAATAGTCATATTTCATTTTCCAGTTCAAACGACACAATAAAAATGTCTAATGAAATGTACTGCATGATATTTGATCTTATAATATATCTATCTCTTGTATGTGGTTCCATTTGCAAAGGTATATAGCCGACCTTTAAAATAGTTTTTTTCGTACACGCAGACATTCTTGTGATACTAATTTATTCGTCTTTTGATATTCACAGCTAGTGGTGAGACCAGTCAGACGTTACAATCAATACCAACTACATCTCAAATGAAAATAACGGAGATTTCTTCCATAAATATGGACGACGATGAAAACTAAACCGTAGCAGGTTTGTCTAACATGCATGTACGAAGGTATATATTGAACAGTGTAGCTTAATTGAAAGGTTGCCAAAATATGTTATGTTGCTTTTAATAATTTTGTTATTTTATTAAAGAGCTGAAGTACCTATGTACCTACCCAATCAGATATTTCGTCTTCGAAAAGCAAATCCAAGGTTCCTGTGTGATATTGAAAGGTACAATGAATCAAACTGGTATACAATGGTGTACATGTGATCTTAGTATGCATCAGGTCAAATTTCAACTGAATCAGTTCCAGCTTTCTTTTTCTCTCTCTTTTTAAAAACAAATTGTACTTGTTTGACATATTTCAGAAAAATAAGTGAAAATTCCCGAATAAATGTTGTTAAAAGACCTTGATGGTACTTTTTTTACTTCCGATACAATGATGTAACATCATAGATACGTAACTTATTCATTACATTACAATAGTGTTATTGCCTATGTGTATGTGAGACATGGTCGTAAGGCATGACAAAACATGACAATAATTATTTTTCATTCGTAAATGTAATTATTTTTCCCAGATGAGTGGTTTATATATGAACTATTGAAATGTTTTGCTCATTTGAATTTATGAAACAATGTGAGAAACTTTGTCAATTTGATTAATTGCAATTTCGTTTCTGATGCGTAATGTAAAATGGATATGTTTTCAGTATTAAGATCCTATATATTTTATGTTTAATGATTTTAAAATATGTACATTACCTGAAATCGCAATGTATACAGATATGTATATAAAATTGATCATTTTCAGCTTTTATCCAACAAAACACAGTCTTGTTTGTCTATAGACATACATAAAGAAGGGAATGAATGACGGAAAAATGATTCTACGTTGATGTAGAAGACAATTATTGAATAGGTAGATGAACCAGTAAATCCCCGTACTTATCGCTGTTATAAACAATAAATAGTTCAACACCTTATGAGATTCCATATTGATAGATATATCGTCATTCTTGACTGAAGCATCCTTCACGTTATGTTTTATGTGTGTGTACGTTATGTGAAAATCAGGCATTGGTTAACACAAGCTTTTTAGCCAAAATTTTGATATTGAAATGTTGAATTTTGATATATATGATTAAATTTTAAGGTATATTTTACGCAATCATAGACGTTTCAATGAAAGTGTATCAATAAATGCGAGAATGTATTATACGAAAGATTAAAGATTTACTTGAATGCATCTCTTTTATGTTATTTACCTTTTAAAAGTATATTTCTAAATAAGAATATATGACATACAATTGTGATATGACCACAGAAAACGCCTTCCAACATGTGTAATAAAGCAACAGGTGGAGAACCAAGTAAATAAACAGAATATTGCAATTGTGAAGATGTTTTACAGTTACCTTTATTTCATTTACAAGTGTAGCCACTGTTGACGTTTCATGAGTTGTGAGTTGTTGATTTTGCTGTTTCATTCGTTGGAAATAAACGAAAGCAAGATACAAAATCATAGCATAATAAAATAAGAAAGGAAACCCCACCTATACATTATGCAATATTTCTAAAGACGAAATATTGGCTAATTATGCCTCGGTATTACAATTATTTAGATTACCTATTCATGATAAGGAACGGACCTCCCCCGTTTACACTGGATCCCTGAACTTCAAAAAAATCCATGTAAAAATGTTTCATAGCTGGCTCGTCTAACTGTTCAACCAAGCATACCTACGAACCTTCATTCTAAATACTGTCAAAGCTGGGTTAGAGTTTTATTGTGGCACTGTTTACTCAAGATGTGGATTAATAGTTTGTGGATTTTGAAAAACTCTCCAATATTCACCAATATCAATCCTGTACACCACTGTATAAATATATGGTTGCGAACTGTACTGAAGTGTAATTCGTTAAAATTACGTCAATAGCATAGAAGAAATATATGGAGGACGATGTCATAATACTGATCGAGTATCTGGTTGACAACATCCTCGTCAAGTTTGATGGTAAGATCTTCAAACAGACTGTTGGTATACCTATTGGAAATAAGAAATAAGAAAACTCGACGCTGTTAATAATTGCTATCATTTTTTAATCTTCAGAAACCACTAATACAATTATTTTGAAAACAGACAACATGCAACTAACACGCATCAACAAAGACTTCCTCTATATGTTCAATCCGTTCAATTATTTACACATGTTCAAACAAACAAAAAAAAAAAAAACCCCATCAAGTGCAGTGAAATTGAGTGAGAAATAATTATCTCCTTATGTAAATATAAATACCCATATTTGAAGAAAGATAGAAATAATGGTATCAAAGTATATAGCTGGTTAAGCATGACACTTCCATTATCATCACCATTATTATTGTTTGCAAAGAAATCGACATGTGAAAAACCTGAACGGTATCACACGACGATACCTGGGTCTTGAATTATTGAAAGACATCAATCAGCATAAACCGTATTGAAAGCATCAAACAATTTTATTGGGTGAAACTTTTCTTAAACACTATGTGATCACGTACTTCATATAGAATCATATTGACATAGCTATAATTAAGCGGATGTACTATTCATTTATAACAACTTCAGTATGATTTGATATCGGAATACCTTACGTTCCCATGCAATTATCAGATAATTAAGGTATTGATAACACAGTTACAGCTTTATATTGCTATCGTACTAAGAGTATATGTTCTCGGTATACAATAGCGAATTCCGGTAATTACAGGTCTTTGTATGAATTAGTCAATACAGTTAAATGTCTCACGAGTATCACTTTTAAGTGATACTGATCGAAATGATATACCATTTAAGGAAATAATTGTCAGTTTAGCACATAATCTGTTTGTACTGATTTTCAGTTTTCTAGTTACACTTCGGGACAAAAAATGAGGTAACAGGAATCCGTCCTTAAACAACAAAATCATCAATTTCTGTACAATTGTAAGACTGATAAACATTGAGAAGTGTAACCATCTAATTGAGTCACACGTGTGATTGCTTACCGCTTAACTGTGTAGAATTTGTTTTAAATGTGCGGTTATTTACTTCACAAAACGATGATGAGCTTATTGACAAAGTAAAGGAAAAAACAAATACAATGAAATGTGAAGACATAGCAACAGCTTGCATTACAAAATACATAAGAATACAAATGGGATAGCGATTCAGATGACAATACTGTCGTCAGGACATAAACATTAATGTAATAATGAAAAATATACAAATGCAGCAATGCCATAACGTGTGTTTTTAATTTTTGTTCAATGTATTGACTGATATGCAGCGTATCTTTCAAAATGTAATCAAACGGTATATATTTTCAAATTGAATATACATTAAAATACCAAGAAAAAATTCTATATAGGTAACAGTGTTATTTAGCTTAGAGAGAAAGAGACTTATATATATATATATATAAATTTTTGTATGCCGTGTTATGTGCGTACATATTTAACAGACCTAATAGAATTTTCTGTTGTAGAACTCTGCTATTCAAACGTTAAACTGTGAAGTTTGGCTTTTTACATTGAACTTGCCACAGTCTCTTGAGATCGCGATGAATACTTTGTAGAAGGCCTTTGTTTATGTTTAGTCTTACAGAAAAGTGATCGATAGAGGCGAAACACTCTTTGATTCCAAACAAAACTGAAAAATATTAGCAAACCTTGACAACCAGTCAGGATCGTTACAATGAAGCTAAAAACTGACAATGGGAGGAACGTGTCTATGATGACGAGGATCCAGGTTAGGCCAGTGATTGTAAATAATTTGATGTAAATCACAAAATCGAGCCTGTGGTCCTTAGTGCTCTCTACTTTTGGTGTGTTTTTTATTTTTATAGCCACTCTAACAAACATAAACATGTTAATGATGCAAATCAATACAACTGGTGCAAGGAACGTGGCGTAAAATGAAATGTTGTTAGAAATGAAACAAACGCCACCGCCATATCCTATATCTGTCACACCGGAAATTACGTCATCAGAAAAGGAAACACAATACGAAGTGATAATGTTACCGGCAACAACTACCAGCGGTATCCCATATGAGTATGATAGGTATAGCGCTATCTGTTTTCGGGTGTTGCTGGATCTTCCCGTCAATGTATTTACAGCAAACACACTGTACATATGAAAGGAACAAACATTCATGCATGTGAACGTGGCTAGCCAGAAATAGTGAGTAATTACTCCTATAGACAAACATAAGGACGGAACAGACGTTTCCTCGAAACCAAATTGGAATAGTCCCTGCGAGAAAAACATCGCAAAAACAAGACTCATGTTGTTAACTCCTGGGACAGAGCGCATGGCCCGAAATAACAAATACGTGCCAAATGTTAGAAACAGACAGGTGAGAGAGACTGAGGTACAGACTAACGTTGTAACAGACAGGGCATTTCTAACAGGGTCGTTCTCGGTATTGGCCATGTATTCGTTTATGAAGCCGAGATAGTCATCTAAGCAAAGCTGTGCGTTACTGTCGGGCATGCGCAGATAACGGTCTCGAGTGAACTTCCTGGAACTGTATTTCACAGAGAGTTCGAGTGTGTCATGTTTTATACTGTATTCGTGATTACGTAGTACCACCTGGCGGCAAAGCATAACATCAGACACGAGGGCTGTCCGGACGGAGGGCAAAGTTGTCCACACCTTATTAAGGAAGATGAAATTTTTAACACAGTAATCGTCAAAGTTGGAACTAGGAGCAGACGGTAGAAAATACGCCTCATTTGCAGGTCTAGATCTAAACGTAACATTCGATATAACCAAATTTTCTCTTGTCATGTTTAACAATATTTGTTCTGTAGCTAACCTCTCGACAACTTCCAATATAGAGAAAGTTGTCTGAATCAGTAGATGGTGAGTTATAGGTGTTGTTACGTTACCAATTTCACATGATACATTAGACGTGATATGGAATGACTGTATAAATAACATCCTTATTGCTAATTTGGTTTTCATTTCAGACAAAATTTTCTTTTTGATGATAGTTAGCAATTTTACAGTCTGTTCGAAATAATCAAGGGTTCCTTCCAGTGATAGCGTCATAATATACTTCAGATTGGTAGTAGTACGTAAAAGGGGAACGCACTGAGTCCCATCGATGATCTTACCTGGGTAGCAAGTCAGCAGACGAGGTCGAGTCTGTAATACAGAATACGAAGAATTGCACCTGATCAAAAACCGTGCTCTAAAACATCAAGTGCTGAATAGATATAACTTTAATCCTCTACAGTCTTACCAAAACGTCAAGCCAAAAACCTTCGAATTGTTATAGATAAATAAATGAACATGTTTCAAAATTGATCATCCAAAACGGGAGTGAATAAAAAATAACCAAGACCCCAAATATACATGATATGTGTGGAAAAGGCCATGCCCCCTCTAATATAAATAAAGAAAATCATTTACATTGTTTAGGTACTTACTGTTATTGGATCAAACACGTGGGTCCCGTTTGTATCTGGCTCGCTCCTTCTTAATTTGTTTACAAATGGACGGAACAGGTCCTGTAAAACGGGCGAAGACACCTCAGGTTTAAAGTTTACGTCTTTGCTGAAGTAGGTATGCATTTGAAACATGATAGGCCACGGCAGCGGGATCTTTGTGTCATTTATGTTACAATATTGACAGAAAATGTTCTTTGCAGGGAACATGCTGCTAACTTCCGGTGCTTCTCGGCATGCACGGACTATTGCAGCACCATAAAATTTATTATCAGTGCTCTGACAGTTTTGGATTAAAGTTGTTGTATTAGTTTCTGACGATGGATTGCATATAAAGCAAAACGTATTTCGGTGGAAATCGTACTGATTTTCAAGGGAGGAATTCTCGCACGCCCATCTGATATCTTGGTCGAATTCTTCCCAGTAGCCTGTACTGTTACATTGTTTGTTATGGATTTTAATTGGTGAGAAAAATCCGAATGCATCCTGCTTACACGATTGACCTTGTTTAACCTTTGTAGATAATACCCTCGTAATGCATCTGTTTCGTTTCGTAGCATCAATAACGCCGTTAAACGTGGCGTGAAACAGTAAATTCAGGTCTCCCTCGCACTGCATGTCAATGGACCAAGGAAGATAATTGTCATATGACATGATTTTTGATAAGTTTAGTTGAGGAATTAATATGTCTTGATTACACAGAAAGCAGTCAAAATTTTTATAAAGCATGTTGTTTTCTCCTACAATTGGCATGGAAGAAAATATATCGTTATCAGAAAATCGGCATCTAGATTGAATGGCCTCAGGCCATGAAGACTGAAAACAGCCATCAATTAAATAATTACTTGGTCCTTCTGTTGACAGCGAAGGTCTCTGGCAGGATATCGGATATTCAAGAACCAGGTCAAGACAACATTCCAAGGCATCATCGAAAAAGCAAAGGGGGTTGCACGAACATGGGTATTTCCCAACAGCGTACGGCACCAAGTGTTTGCGACAGTATCTGTAGTACCCTGTCACGCTGAAGTCGTAAAGTAATAGCTTAGATATATTCACAGACCGAGCCTTATCCCAAATAGGGTCCTCCCTCTTGAATATTTCCTGTTTTGTAGATTCGATAATTGTGTTGTAAAATTCGAGATTGTATGACTTCAATGAAAATGAATATACAAACGTCAATTTCTGATCTTGTGCGAACATGTTTTCTGACATCCAGTCTATATACACATCGAAGTACTGGGATGAGTGACTGTTATTTCTATTGCAAAGCAAACAAAATACATTTTTGTATGGAGCAGCATTGTGTGACATGGCATGCAACTCGCATGCTCGTTTCAAGCGTTCCACGTGAATATCCCATAAACCAGTGACGTTGCATGTTGATATGACGTCATTGTTTTTATCAGGAGGATTACACATAAAACAAAAAATATTTTTGTATACACCATAGCGAACTGTGTAGGCAGAGTTACAGGCAAGGTCGATGTCTTGATCATATGTAGCCCAGGTTCCAGTCTCATTACATCTCGAGGTTCCCATGACATTAATGTAGTCAGCATAGCAATCATGTATATCTTCATCGACAGTACTAAATCCCACAGTACAATTCAGGGATTCAGCCTTGTCAACAATTTCGTCAAAATTGGAGATAAAATTGAAATCGGTAAACTCTTGACAATCCATTGACATACTCCAGACGTTGTAATCAAGCACACTGTTACATTCGGCACAGAATTTATTTTTAAATATTTGTCTGTAGCGTTTTGATGTAACTGGTGGAAATTCGACATTACCCGTTTTAAAAACAACGTCTGTAGTCATACATTGCCTCCTCAGATTGTTGTCAGTGCTGTTTGAACACGAATTAATCATAAACACATTATCAGGAGATCGGTTTGGATTGCCAACTTTGATAACAGGACTGACACAAATTGGGAGTGGTATAGAAAAAATCACATCAGCACAACAATTTTCCCTCTTAGTACAATCTCGGTCACATTTACAATCCTCACAAATGTCAATATGACGTGTGCTGATATTTCGAAATTCAAAGCCTAGTTTATGAGGGTGGCAAAAATAGTCTGACCCACACAGAAGAAAATATTCATACAATAGCTTTGTAGCATTGGAGATGGTCTGAACTTTCGGATCAGGCTGAAGTCTGTCCGTTAATAACACTGACTTAGTTGAAGAAAATATCAGGTAAACCTGAATTACCCTCCAGTGTACGAGCGACATGTCGTTCAATCTGTAACATAGAAAACTTATCCATAAGATTTTATAAATCATGCAATCTTATATTTAATGAATGATATGTTCCTTGATAATGTTAGTATTAAATGCACGTACTTTTGACTAAAAAACATTAAGAGCATGAGGCATGTCGATAGATATAAGGTTCTTTATAAAAGCTATGTTACATTTTTTTTTCTGTATGTCTTACCTTTGTCTTGAAGATCTATCACATATTGGTATACTTCACTTAGCATTGTACTGTAGCTGTTTTCGAAGACTCTTTTAACTCTGATAGTGATGCAGGGTTCCTTTAAGTATAGGTGATGTGTAATTAATCATTTATACCTTAATCAATACAGACTGTTGACATTCCATTACCATAAACAATTCCACAGAACCGGTAACGCAAATACGAAACCATTCAAAGGATATCAAGTTTGTCTAATTTGTAATGAAGGATCGACAGGAATTTAATATTTCTATATATAACTGTGTCAAGCATTGACGTAAAGTGATAAGAAAACTATGACAGGCAGCCCGTGTTATGATGTTGGGGGAAATTGAGTTTTGTCGACAGGTTAATACATAAGAAGAGAGTATATAAATACTGCGAAAAACTTGCTTTTTCAATATCGTATTTACAAGAGTTTCTTCATGCACACCACATGACACTCCAAATATATCATTCCTTGAAAGATACACTCGGAAATGTAAGTTATTTAAATTCGTTTGTACATGAAAATTTTAGTTTACTGGATCTTAGACTGCTTCAATCAGAACGTATAAATTACTATCGTTCTTCCCACTTTTCTCTATCTCCCAAACAAATTTTCCCTTTGTATGAGATTTTTTACTTTCTCATATTTGTAAACTCTCCTCATCCTCTATTAATATTGAAATATCGACAAAATGTGTATTTTTATTGATTTTTAAGCCAGAAATGAAATCTCACCTTCATAAGAAATTATTCATTGAGTCTAAATAGTGTATCATACTATCTATCCTGATGAAGAGTTTCTCAGTACCTAGAACTACTTTTTCATACAGGTACTTGAAACTTACACAGGAAACAAATGGATAGTTTAATTGGACAAGGCGAGATTATTTTCATTCACGCTTTTTGTTTGCTTTAATTTACGGAGGGTGAAATCATGAAATTGATATAATTCCAGATCGTCGAGTTTGGTGGTAAGACCTTGTTATGGATTATTGACATCCATATGACTGTAAAAACGGTCTACATAATTTCCTGAGCGACGATGTTCTCATGATCCTGTGCGTGACCGTTTCCATTAAGGATGTTATGGCTGGTATTCTAGATAGCTTGACAGTGGTGATGGTAAATCTCCAATATAAATGTTCACTTCTGTTCTCTACGCACTAGATACAACCGTTGTAAGCAATGTCATGTCTTCAAAAATTGTTGCGAAAAAAACATTACTTGAATTTGTTTTTGCTTTCATGTTGGTGGTTGATGGGGTTGATATGTGATGGACGTTACCATCTGACTTATATATATACCAAAAAAATCTACAGTTAAACCTATTTTCATCATTATATTATCAATTATGTACGTTGATTTTAAACACAAATAAAATTAAGGTTAGTGTTTTCGGAGTAAAAGAACTGATTTTATATGCCTTTTAAAAAAGAATATTTGCAATATTTTGTTCTCTGGAAGTAATCCTTCCAACCATCTCCGCCTATTTGTACATTATCATTATATTGTTGTGAATGTCATATTTTAGTTTTCTATATTCCAATCTAATGAAATGGTATATTATATGAACAAATATGTACGGATTGAGGAATATTTGAGTATATGTAGTTTGTGTAAATAAATAACATCGGCGAGTATAATCCAGGAAACGTAGAAGGATTTTACCACAATAGAAGTCCAAAGGTTTTGCTATCTTGCTGGTTGGTTTTTCATCAATGGTCTAGATATCAGTCTGCTGTGCAGGTCCGCTATCGGGTTCGATCTCCCAACCTGATGTTTGCCTAATTACATAATAATCCTATCAAAATTCTCTGTAAGGGTTTGTCGCACCTAAATCTATTTTAAAATCTATATGGAATATTATGAGTCAGACCTAACTTGTATAAACGCTATGTTACATAACACAGGAAGACAGGTGGAAAAACAACACATGTAAAACAGCAGTAGACTATAAATACTGTCACACATTACTGCATTCATATTCATATTCATATGAGAGCAAACTATTTAGGAATTGGACATAATCACACTTTGGTAACACGAAAAGATTGTAGTACACTGTGCGTTATTATCACGTGTTTCGTGCACAGATTGACGCAGGAAAAGTGGGTCTACAGTAACATGGATAACAAATATCTGGAAAAAACACATTTTAGTGGACTGTTTTATTTGATCTGTACGAATCCTAAAGTCTATGTAAGTATACTTATAATTCTACAGAAACGTCTCTAATATAATGACAACTGTACATAAACCTCAGGTAAAACAATTTAAATATCTAAATATGCATGTTATACTTCATTAAATTGAATAGATGCACTGTTCTGAACATACACATGTACTTGACATTCTTTTGAAAACATTAGATATTTAATAATTAAGTTCTAGCGCACTTTCCTATCTAGATTTTGACATATCAATCGGCGTCTACGTTTAGCACTATCGGTCTTCATTTTTAAACTAGGAATTATTCAAAAACTGTTTGATGCAGTTTCAATCTGTGTTCTTTGCGAAATGTTTTCATCATATTATGTAATGCGCTGTGAATGTATCGAAGCATGCATTATTATCATCCGACAAGCATGTAGAAAACAGTTGAAGTGAATCCTTACCTTTATCACTAATGAATATATTTTTATATAATATTCAGAAATGTGCACAATTTAATTAAATCTAGCAAACGATTTGAAAATACGATAAGGTTTATTTGTTATCTTACAACGGAGATCAGTGTAACTTTTCAGTATGATTATTGATTCATTACCTCTTTGTTTCCATAATGGGGAATGTCAAAAATCGTGTTATATGTGGTATCAATCCGCTTCCTGATAATTGACAACTGAAAAAAAGCAAACATAAAAACAGAGAACTGTCGACCCATTGAATGGATTAAAAGACATTATGACCAACATAATTTTTTTCACGCTTTCATGAAATCATATCAAAAATAGTAAATAATTTGAATGAACTTAACAAACATATACGTTTATATTTTGAAATAAATGTAATAAATAACTCGGAGAAAGATCAATGTTTCTCTAGTATAACTGATTTCATATTTATAATGCAAACTAATATCCGATAAAACAAGAGCAAAATATGAACAAAAGGAAAATGTTCACAGAGGATCCTGAAGAAGTACAGTATAAGATAAATTATTAAGGAGGAGTAAGCGTCTTCTGATTCATCATCGACACCCGACACGTAAAACTTGGTCAATCCAAGTAAGTAATGTCACGTGCTCAAATGTGAACAAGACATACAACAACAGAATCAACCGGCAAAGTAGTATACAAAGAAATATAATTTTTCTAATTTGGGTCGATGTGGCGACCATTAAACTTCGACATAATTTTCAGCAATCATTCATGAACCCCTTTGTTACGGGATTGTTCGTCAGCTGCCGACTTCTTGCACAGAAATCGTGATAATTGGAAAAGGCCCTTGAGTGTCGAATTAACTGCGACATGTAAACACCATAGGTTGTGGAGGCAAGACGTTGCTATCCAGTAAAAGGAAAATTCACATTAGGAAAATTGAAATTATCGCGTTTATCAAACAGCTTGGTGGAAAGCTGTCCATCTTGCTTTCGTTGTAGACACGATCGAGATAAGCGGCTGTTGGGTTATCAAATAATATAATATGATAATTATTGATGGAGTTTTAGACAAATTTATTGAAAGATACAAACTTGATGCTGAATTTCCGAATTACAATATCTAACATTCTCAGCAGTGTTGACAAAATCATGATATCGAGGAGCATAAACTTTGTCCTTTCTGTTCTACTACGGAACTTAGGTTCTACTATTTGCAGTCAACATTGCTTTATTTAAAAGCTAAAGGTTCAATAGCAATTTAAATCTATAATGTGTTAAACAGAAACAGCAAAGACAACGATGGTTGGGGATTTTTCTACTTTTTATGATCAAATTAGGTTAAACATATGAGCACCGCCTTTACAAATCATTAAAACAATATGAAGTCTTCCACCATATTTTAACTACAAACTCATTTTAATGCTTTTTAAAAGCAAAACTAATAAATGATAGTCATCTCTGCAACCTCTGTAACTTTGAAAGGGAAGCTGTTGAATATTTAATTTGAAATGTGATCAACTCGAAAGCATACATTTTTCACAAAATAAACAAACATCACTTTTTGGTAAGATCAGAAATAATAACATTCCAAATATAAAGTGGACTTCATTTATTCATTTATTTTACCGTCCGCTATAGTGACCTTTCGGCCTTTCTTCAAGTAGACGAGATAAAGTGGACAATAAAACGATGCTGCATTTAAAACAGTGTCTGTAAACAACTAACACAAGTTAATAGATATCAATTCTTTGATCTAGATGTTCTACTCTTGCTCAAGTTAAAGTTAAAACTCGTGAAGGGGAGACGCTTTCCAATCAATGTGTGACTGAATAGAAGAAATTGGGTATAGTGATTAAACTACGAGAATAATGCATCCTTTTCAAATAAATAGTTATATATTTTGCTTACATTATGTAATGATAAAGTAAAGCATAAATCATATAGTTTTCATCGTATCTGTTTCCAGTCTCTGACACAGTCGTCATTTTTGTGTCTCCGAAAAAGGCGACATATAGATATTGCTATGTCAGCGTCGGCATCGTCGTCGGCGGTGGCGCCATCGTCTGCACAAAGAAAATTGGTTTTGTATCATTAGTTGAGTTTTCTTCTTCGGATAATTAGACTCAAACTTCATACAATTCTTCTTTCATATTATTTGAGTGTCTGACGTATCGCATTTTTAGATACTTCAGAGACTAATGAAAATGTCTGATACAATAAAATAACATAATAATCGTATTACATGCAAACAGTAAATGAAATACCAGACTACCACCCTAACTCAAAATTTAATTGTGATTTTGCCAGATCACTTTACCTCACCTGTCCTGACCATACATAATTAAAAAACATTAAAAAACATAATTAGCTGCTCCCTGTCTATATATCAACCAATGTATACTATGTGTTAATATTTTTGTATGTAAGAGATATATGTAAAATCATATGACATTTATATCATAAAATACTATTCGATGTATTTTAATTCGACTCTGTATTGTGCTTTGTTATTAACTTAATCTAAGACAAATCGTTTATAGCATCTGGTATAATATCTCTTTAAACAGATATAAAAGAGAAAAACACGTGTAAACGAACTAGTGTGAAATATATGGTTGGTATGGAAATGACTATAAGTGGTTTGCTTATATCGTCGTAAAAAAAAAAAATCTTTTTAAAAGTGGGCAAATCGGGAACCCCCTATCCTATTCTAATTCCCTGCCCTGGGGGCTAAATACTTCACCAGTGTTAGGGTCTGTAAATTTCACACCTTCATGGTTCATAATAGGTAAAAGGCCGATGTCGGTATGTCATTTCGTTTTACCGTCCGTGAAAAGGCGCCAGGCGAAAAAACGAAATGACGATAAAACTAAATTAAAAGAAGTACTTGCTGGACCGAAAGAGTAATATCAACAAAATCACATCACAATAAACATGGATATATTTACCCATGAATACCAAGACTGCGGAATTAACAACGCGAGATATCGCATAATTTGAGCAGAAAAACATGTAGAGAAAGGACACTTTTGGCTAAAACGCAAATAAAACAAAAACTGCGTCTGATATGTTAAAAAGCAAGGACGATATTGAGATATTTATCTGTTTGCCTGTGTTTTCGTTCATTTGCGTGTGGAATAGTTTTACATTTGCTTCTGTTGGCATTTGTATATTGTATTCGACATATTGTAATCAATACGCATGTGCAAGAACTTCTAAATACGACCCGCAGTTTATTAAAAACCTCATTTATAACTGAATCATTACTATAACAGGACAGGAAATTATCAATATTACCAAATGATGCATACTATGTGCTTGTATTGTAGAAGTGACTCACAAGTGAATAGCACCTTTGAAAAATTGAATTAAACTATATCATACAGTTGATTCGTCCTAAAGTCATATTTTCTCGCCAATTGGTATGCTTGTCTTAAAAACTGCAACCCCTTCAACAGTGTTACCCCCATACCTGTATTTTTTCCTACATCAGGAGTAGCTGACGATCACATTATCTTAAACTGAAAAAAAAATCAGTTTAGTTAGTGACTCTGGTGTACCTTCAGAAAAATCTATCAGAATGCAGCTTTTTAGATTATAAAGTCGTAAAGGTCATATGAAAGTAGTACGATTGAAACGTAAAGTGATTGAAGATGTCTTGTGATTGATTTCTATAATTTGATCTCCCCTCGGCCACAGATTGATAATCGAGTAGATAAACAAAAAAGTCAGCCAACAGAGGGCACAATAGTTTGTTGAAGATCTAATTACCAAACTCAACCAAGATATTGACAACCAGAAACTCGATGTTTTTTTGTACCATTAAGAAAAACAAACGGAGAAAGTAACATGATTTAATTTTCTTTAATTCAATATGCATTCAATTTTCCCTTTTTCAATACCACAGTGAAGACAACAGTGGGAGATATTCTGTCGTTACTTGAAATGGAATTCATAAAGAAGACGGACAGCGAAGGAAATCATATTCAAGCGTTACCAGGGCCGACCATTTCACAAGGAAATTCCTGGTAATGTTGGTGACCAACTTAAGAAGGTGGCGTCTCTACCGTTGTTCAGATGATGTGTTGATATGCACTTTTCCGAAATCAGGTAAAAGAAAACCACTATTCAATCAAAAACAAGTATGGAACAATTCATATCACATAATTTTTTCATTTATCGCTATAGTTAGGTCTTACAGTAGAAAACATCGATAATTTTTTCCCCAATAAAATTATCATTGTTGATTTGTTGAGTGAGTTTTGGTGATAAAATAGCGAAGTTTGATAATTAAAAGCAAACATATTTGTCTTAAAGTCTTTGTGTATGGAACGCAAATTTAAGGAATTGACAGAAGAGAGCAATATTGACCAATGTTTGAAAATGCATGTTATATTTAAGGTACACATTGGGTGTTCAACATTGTCAACATGATACAAACCGGAAGTCTTCGATACAAAGCCAATCCAGTGACGATAGAATTTCAGGACCTCGGAATATTAGATGAGATGAAGTCTCCAAAGATTTTGACTACACATCTTACTTACCCATTCATCCCTAAGGCTGCAAAGGAAGGACAAATGAAACTGATTTACGTGCTTCGGAATCCAAAGGATGTCGTTTGTTCATTCTACACATACATGAGTCAAATTCAAAGTACAAGTTACATTGGCAGTTTCGGGGGATTTTTCGAAGCTTTCCTCTCGCACGAATGTAATTTTATGATTTTATTATTTTGAATAAGCATTTCTGACTTTAATTATGACGTAACAATAAACGTAGTTCTTTAATTATGATATAATACGTACGATATATTTTAAGCTATCATGTGTCTCGCTTAATACTTGTGAATTCTTTATAAAGAAAAGTTGAAAAAAGACACTGCTAATAGCATTTCTTAGTTCATTTGTACTTCTTATTTTCAAAGCTTTTGTTTACATTAATTTAATTATTTTTCAATTCTATTTAATGAAGTCATATCAAGTGGTGGATCCTGGTTCACACATACCAAAGAATGGAATACAGCGTTACGTGAGAATAAGGATTTGAATATTCTATTTCTCACTTATGAAGGTTTAAAAAAGATAGAAAATTGTTTCTGATTCCTGTCTGACCCACTCCCAAACCCGTTTTAATAATCGGATTGATCAGTAGTAGATCATGTGACATTTTAACATTGGTTGAAGATCCCATCTCGGAAGGTTTATTTTTATCAGGAAGCTGATATCACGATCGTTATATCCTTTCTTGGTTGCTTCCTTTGTAAATACGCTTGCTTCGATTAATTATTATTATTTTCTTTAGAGATCGCGAGCATTATATTCCCATCAATCATACTTCATGAATTTACATTTTTACAATACGACTGCATTTCTGATTTTACAAAGAACACTGGTAGACAGGTGGAAAGACAATACAGATGAAACAGCTGTAGACTATAACTACTGTCACACATTGCTGCATTCATATTTATATGAAAGATGTGTGCATCCCATACAGGAATTGGACATAATCACGCTTTGGTAACACGAGAAGAGAGTAGCACACTTTGCTTCGTTGTCGCTTGTGTTGTGCACAGCTCGACGCGTATGAAGGTGAGTCTACAGTAACACGAGTAACACGGATAGCAAATATGTGGTGAAAAAAATTTCAGTCGACTGTTATATTTCATCTGTACGAATCCAAAAGTCTATGTAAGTATACTGATGATTCTACAGAAATGTCTCGTCTCTAATTTCATGATGTTAAATATGTATGCCACGTTTCATTCAATTGAATAGATGACCTGTACTTGATATTCTTTTGAAAACTTTCGATTATTGAAAATAACGTTATAGCGGACATACCCATCTAGATTTTGACATTTTATGCAGCAAATTTCATTTTCTCGATAACTGTTTACGTTTCAGCACTATAGGTCTTTATTTTAAAACTGTTTGAAGCAGTCTCAATCTGTGTTCTTTGTGCATTGTTTTCATCGTATTTTATAATGCGCTCTAACTGTATCGAGGCATGCATTCTGGTAATGCGACAGGCATTTGGAAAACACTAGAAATAAATCCTTGCCTTTATCCCTGATGAATATGTTTTTACATCCCAATATATTATATGATGACATAGGGATGGTGTGGTTGGGTTGGGTATGGGATAGGGGTTATGATTGGGGGTTGCTAACCACCCCCTAATTAATTGTGCCTTTACGAAGGATGACCATTTAGCATGAAGTATGATTTTAAATTCCCAAAGGAACATTGTGGGTTGTAACTGTTAATTCCTTTTAGTAAGACAGTCAAGTCAGACCTAAGATGTGTAAATACTCTGTAACATAACACTGGTAGACAGGTGGAAGGACAACACAGGTAAAACAGCAGTAGACTGCATTCATATTCATATTAGGAATTGGACATAATCGCGTTTGGTAACACTAGAAGAGATTACACTGTGCGTTATGACCACGTTTCGTGTGCAGACAGACGCAGCAGGGTGATGTGAAAATGGGTCGATAGTTATACGGATAACAAATATCTTGTGAAACACTTTTCAGAGGACTGTTTTATTTTATCGGTACAAATCCAAACGTCTATGTAAGTATACTTATGATTCTAAAGAAATGTCTCTAATATAATGACAACTGTACATAAACCTCAGGTAAAACAATTTACTTATGTTAAATATGTATCCCAAGTTTCATTCAATTGAATAAATGCCTTGTCCTTAATATGCTTTTGAAAACATTCGATATTTGAAAATAATAATATAGCGCACTTCCCATCTAGATTTTGACATTTCAATCTCCACAGTATCCCTATATCATATATCATCACAGGAGTGTGTTACGTCATCAACATGATCATTTCCTTTTCTTCAGTGAGGTTTTGGGCTTTGGTAGATTATGTAATTCGACTAATATATTGGTTTCATGACGTCGTTTATGTTTTTTGGGCTGTAAAGAACCCATATTAAATAGGGTTTCATCGCTGGCTGCCCGCTGCATTTTTCTGGTCTATTAGAGCAAATGTTTTGTTCTTTATTTTTTGTTTTACATAGTCACTCCCTTTTACCTTGTTGACCACTCTTCAATGAAACTATCTACTTAAAAACTGTTTGCATCGAATATTTTCTAAAACTTTCTGTCGAGTCAGATATCGCCATTCCTCTTTCTCTGTGTACAAAATAAAATATACAATGCTTACTACTCACCAGAGAGTTAAATTGCTGTATAATACATTGTTTAAAACCTTAACGACAGCGGCGTGAAGAGGGAGTTATTCTAAACGGCAAACGGATCGTAATACTCTCCAAGTACTGTCCACTCCTTTCTTCGAATACATGCATATACAGTGAAACCTCACCTAACGACCACCTCAAAATTAAGACCATCCCGCTATTACGGGCACTTTTTTTCAGTTCCGTTTTTTTCACTATCTTTGTATTGGTCGATTCAGTTTTACGACCACCCTACTATTCCGTATTACGACCACTTCTTACAGTCCCAACGACCACATATTAACGATAATTGACCTCATAATTACGACCAAGTTCTGACCAGTGATTAAAGAATACCTGGTGGGCAGTGAACCGCGAGCATGTGTGTCGTTCTCGACCATTGTTTTCGTCACGGGTTACCGACCCTGTCATCAGGTGGCGTTACACGAAGTAAACATCATTATCGGATTAACTTGGCCTACCCGTGTGAAACTGTATGCCAATGTAACAGAGGTCATTTTTCATCTCAATGCCTCCGCTAGGAATCGAACCCGGGACCCCTGGCTTACTAGTCTCACGCTCAACTAATCGAGCTAAAGAGAAGTTCTCTCTAGCTGAGAGGTATATTGCGGCTAGTATTTTACCAGGGTTACATACTCCCCCTCCAGGAAATAACTCGTCCTTGAGTTTCCAGGGGTTACAGCGATGCTGGTGGGGCATGGCTAAGTATTATTCCCGGGTCCCTACATGGGCGCCAACGCTAGCAAATCCACTCATTGCTGCTTGCTGCATTTTTCTAGTCTATCAGAGCAAATGTTTGTTTTTGTTTTACCTAGTCATTCCCCCTAACCTTGTTGACCACTTAACATATCTTAAATAAAACTTCTTAATAACTCTTTGCATCGAATCTTTTCTAAGAACTTCCGTCAGAAAGTCAGACATCGCCATTCCTCTTTCTTGACCACACACTAGAGAGTTCAGTTGCTGTAATATACATTGTTAAAAAAAGTTAACGAAAACATTGTGAAGAGGAAGGGGCTATTCAAAACGGGAAACGGATCGTTATACTCGCCATGTACTGTCCACTTCTTTCTTCGAATACATGTATACGTTAATCTAATGCTGACCTTGCTTCGTATCCGTATCCGATATTTAGTATTAACATGGCGTCGCTAATGCACGAGGCATCTCTTCCACCTTAAAATATTGGTGAAATATTTTTAAAGATTATCTTTATCTACAAACTTTCCATTTTTGAAATAAAAAAAGGCTTGTTGATTCCCGTCAATTTCTATGACGTTGTCAAATTCGGTATAGGCGATCACATTGATAATTTAAGACAAACTTCCCGAAATGAATATCAAGATACACATTTCCTCTCTTTATCAGGCAAAAAATGCCTAATTCGGAAAGATCGGGCGTCAGGTCGAATCCAAATAAAGTTGGCCGTTGCCGTATTCTTCTCTCGAGATGTTGTTTCCCTCGTAGTGGAAAATTTTGACGCAGGTCCGAGACTTTACAAGGCCTTGAGTTTGAGTCGATGTTTTCCTTCTAAAACTTATTTTCTAATCGACTTTTTATAAATCTTCTCCAAATTCATGCCAATTCTAAATGCCTGTTTTCCTAAACACTTAACACCAGTCTATGATACGGAAGTCACGGCTTTCATTCTTAATTTTACCAGAGGGGCGGCCGATTTCTTGAAATAGTTTTTGATGGAGAGCTACGTAATAAATGGGTTGAAATTCCTTACGACGTGTACGGGTTTATCTTTGATGGAAATTTTCCTAATATCGTGGCTCTGGTGTCTCCTACCGTTTGTTCCACTAACGGACATTATACGGAGGTGAAATATAATCCTTGTCTGTCGTCTGCTATGCAATATCCTTTTCTCGAAACCTTAAAATTTCGCTAACCTTTTACTTTCGGCGATACTTTTGCCAGACGATATTGTTAACGTAACTCTAGTGTCGACGTCGACGACATTAATTCTGAACATGTAACCGAGCGATACAATTCTTGAGGTGTTTAGTATTGGTCAAAAGATGTTAACTGAAAAATGCAACTCCTCGAACAGTGTCACTCCGACAATTGTATGTATAATGAAAGGATAAAGAAACGCAACTTATTTAAATGTAAAATAAACATATTAAATAAACATAGATGTATAGGAATTCGAGGGCACTGTTGAGTTATTTTTCATTCCGTATGGATCTCAATCCGCTATATTGTTATAATAATAAAAATGTAGACAGCATTTAGGCCCACAAACTCATCATCGTCAACATGGTGGCAGTAGTGACGGTGTCATACAGTGAATTGTGAACTGGGACTATGTAAGTGTTGATACATTCAGTGACTGATTCCTTCTAATAGTAATCATAGGTGAAGAAGGTCAAGCTATGAATCTTCCCGCGGCCGCATCGACAGTTCAGCCATTGCCGGCACCCGTACAACACATAAACACTAATTTACGTCTACCCCCAGAATTAAACATTCACTCAGGTAATGTTTCTGAGAGAACTTTAAAACGTGGAAACGTCACGTTGAAGTGTACCTCACTGCAAGCGGAATTGCACAGATGAGCGGCGAGATTCAAACCGCGACAATAATAAACTGTGGTGGCGAGGCCCTGCTCAAATCGTATGACCATTTCATACGAGAAGAGGGATTAGATAGAAACAATCCTGTCGACGTATTCAATAAAATAAAGGATTACTGTCATCCTAGACAGAATGAAGTTGCTGAGTCACATAAATTTTGGACAGTTCAATACTTTGAGCCCTTTGATCAATTCTTGACAGAATTAAGGTCACGTGCAGCAACCTGTAACTTCGGTGACCAGGACGACGACCTCACACTGAAGCGAGCAATTAAAATATGTCAGTCGTACGAACAAGCAAATAGACAGGCGAGTCAAATGAAAGAACCTAATTATAGTAACAAGGACTCCAAGGTGAATAAAATCAAGGCCGCTAACAAGCCAACAGGAAAAGGGAAACCAAAACAACACATGAACAATAGACAGAAAGAGTCAACACCAGGAAATAGTGCAAGCATTAGAGAGTGAAGATTTTGTGGACGAACGCATAGTATGAAAAAGGAGGCATGCCCAGCCTGGGGAAAGACCTGTTCGCAATGTAATGGCCGGAATCACTTCAAAGTAAAATGTAAAAAGAAGAATCTGCGTGTTGTTGGTGTTGAAGGGAGAAACTCCGAGTTTGATGATGATGAAACCGACCAGTCGTTAAACGCCGTCTCAAAAACACAGAGTAAAACTTTGGTCACAGCGTCAATGATTGTGAATGACAATACCATAAAATTTCAACTGGATTGTGGAGCAGATGTCAACACCATCAATCAAAGATACGTTCGGAAGGAACAAGTTCTCCCTACAAATCTGACCCTACACATGTTCAACGAATGTATACAAACCATTTTTCAATAACAGATTACAGAACATTTCAGGTTTAAGATCAATACAAGGATTAGGTCTTGTAACTGTCAACAATGAACGTTTCATTGGAAAAGTAGAGTCAACGTCTGTGACTAAATTGGGTGATCTAGGGGAGGCAACTCTTACACTCGACCCCAACATAAAACCTAAAGCTCTACCATGTCGAAAACTTCCACTCGCACTCCAGGATCAGGTTAAGGCTGAGTTAGACAGTCTAGTGGAGAGACAGATTTTAGTACATATAACTAAACCTACTCCATGGGTGAGTCAAATGGCTGTGGCCCACAAGGCCAATGGAAAACTGAGGAATTGTTTGGACCCCCAGATCCTAAATACAGCATTGCAAAGAGAACATTTCAAACTACCAACTTTGGATGATGTGTTACCAAAGCTGAAAAATGCCCGTGTATTCAGTAAGCTGGATGTTAAGGAAGCATTTTGGCACATACCTCTCGATGAACAGTCTAGTGAGTATACCACAATGATCACACCATTTGGGAGGTACAGATGGGCTAAATGAAGCTCTGGAGGGGCTAGATGGTATATTCGCGATAGCCGATGACATTATAGTAGTGGACAAAGGCTCGTCAGATACGATTGCCCTAGGGGACAACGAGAACAAACTAAAGGTTCTTTATCAACGATGCAAAGAGAGAAATATAGTCCTGAATGAGGAAAAGAAAGTCACAGGTCTTAAGGAAATACTCTTTCATGGGCATGCCATTACAGCTGATGGTATTAAAGCAGACCCATTGAAAGTTGAGGCCATTCTCAAAATGGTTAGTCCTACTGATGCTCATGGAGTCCGGAGATTCTGTGGTATGGTCCAATATATGGCCCGTTTCTTACCCTCACTCTCAAATATAATGGAACCACTACGTGAGCTAACACGGAAAGATATAAATTTCAAGTGGTCAAAGGAACACGAGGAATGTTTTAAGAGTGTAAAACAGGCACTTACATCTACACCAATCTTGGCATACTACGACCCAAACAAGGAGTTGGTAATTCAAGTAGACAGCAGTAAAGACGGTATTGGTGCAGTCATGTTACAAAACGGGAAACCAGTTGAATATGCGTCCAGAGCTCTAACCTCCTCTGAAAGGAAGTGTGCACAGATAGAAAAGGAAACACTTGCTATCCTATACGGAGCTGAGCGTTTTGACCAATACACATATGGACGAAAAATAGTGATTGAAAATGATCACAAACCACTAGAATCAATTTTGAAGAAACCCCTTAGGTATGATGTTGAATTCCATTTCATCAAGGGGAAATCACTCGTGATTGCTGACACTCTCAGCAGAGCATTTCTCGATAGTGCTAGACCTCGTATCATGAATATCAAAGTACATGAGGACATTTCTGATACACGACTATAGGAAATACGTGTAGCGACTTTGGCCGACCCCGGTCTACAAATGCTAATGGACACCATAAAGAATGGATGGCCAGATACAAGGGAGACCATTCCAAACCCTTGTAAACCCTACTTAGATGTAAGAGACATTCTAGCAATTATAGATAGTTTAGTAGTGAAAGGAGAAGCTGTCATCATTCCTAACTCTCTCAGAGCCGATAACAAAACTAGATTACACAAATCACATGTTGGACTAGATGCTACAATGAGGAGAGCAAGAGGTACAGTATAATGGCCTGCCATGAAAAGTGAAATCAAGCAGATGGTGGAAACTTGTGAGGCATGTCAGGAAATGGCAGCTCGATCCACAAAACTACCCATCAAACAAAATGATGATGGAGACAAGCCATGGAGCAAGATAGGCATGGATTTATTTGATATCAAAGGACGACAATATCTAGTAACTGTAGACTACTACAGCAACTACATAGAGGTTGATTACCTCTCGAACGTAATCTCGGCTGCTGTTGTGAACATACTGAAGAAGCAATTTGCTCGTTTTGGAATTCCAGTCACGATAATATCTGATGGAGGTCCACAAATTACGGCAAGAGAATTCCAACAATTTACCAAAACATGGGGTATAAACCATGTGACGTCATCTCCTCAACATCAGCGTGCAAATGACAAGGCAGCTGTTAAAGTGATCTAATGTTGAAATGTCACAGAAACAGAGAGGACCGATATGAGGCATTGATGGAACTAAGGAAAGTGCCTAGACAAGATTCAGGACTCGGGCCAAATGAAATGATATTAGGTCGGCGAACACGCACACTTCTTCCAGACATAAGCCAGGCTCCTGAGGGAAATGACAAAGTAAAGGAGAAACGCGAGAGTCGAAAGAAAAGTTTCAAACGTTACTATGACAAGACTGCTCGTGATCTCCCATATATCTCTGAAAGACAGAATGTATACTTTCAGTACAAGGAACAAGTACGATGGATACTAGGCCGTGTTTTGGAATAGTGTAGTATTTATACCTACATAGTACAAGCTCAGAATGGTGCAGTGTATCGGCGGAATCGAATGCACATTCGGCCAACGAAAGTCGAGGCTGTTATTCGCGATAAGTGGATGTAACTTCAGCGAGAGGGACACTCCGCTCAAGAAGGATATCGCTGAGCTCCAACCTCAGCCCAAATGTATAAACCGTGAGTCGAACAATTCAGCAAACACCGTACAGCAGGAGGAAACATGTAAGAACACTCCACCCAAACCTGTCGAGAGAACAGCTTTAGGAGACTCTACGATTCCACTCCGGAGGTCTGGAAGGGAAAGGAGAGAACCTGCCCATTAAAAAGACTTTGTCCTCTACAAGTGAACTCTGTTCATTATCTCGGATAATGATGTTCTGTTTGCCAGGATAGCATTACTGGAACTTTTCAATATCCGTTTTCAATAGAAGTTTGTAGTTTATAGTCGTTTACTTCAATTAGTTATGAGTTAATGTGTTTTTGATGTTTAAAGTTTGAATGGACATTTTCCTACTGTCAGTGGTATTATATGAAGGACGAGGATAAAGGAAAACAAGAAAACACAAGGTTCTTGTATATCTTTATTTTTTAGTCAAATATTCCAGTCAACGATCCTAATCATTCCATATTTTCATATACAGTCCAGAAGTAGAAATGCTTTATGTTATTTTACTTACTGATAACCTAAGATAGTTTTATTTTTCTTAAAAGAAAAAGGGATGTTGAGTTATATCTATTTCATTCCGTATGGATCACAATATTGTTATACCAATGTACATTCCTAAATTTGTATGTACCGAGCCTCGCACTAATAAAAATGTAGACAACATGGCAGGATGGTCTCTTTTTGTGTCTAGAAATTTAGGCCCACAAAAGCATCATCGTCAACAGGCACCTTACCTGATCCCCAATTAATGCTAAAAACACGTCATCCATGACAGAAAACTTCTCCACATCCGATTAACCTAAATTAACAAAAAAAAAAAAAAAAAATTATATTCAAAACTAGTGTCGATTTGTGACTAATAACAAGACACATGATTACCAATACTTTTTGCAAATAATAATTGCCTTAACAAATATGCCACGATGATGGAGGACGGGCTATCATAATATTCATTTGATGTAGCACCAACAGCAGGTCGTTACTCATTTCATTGTTAAGAAATCGACTTAAAGTCCGTAAGTTTTATGTCTCAATGCCACATTAAAATTAATAATAGACCAAGATTCGCGTTATTTTGATGGCCGTCAACGTGTACTGGCGCCGATGAGAGAGTCTTGCAAATGTTTGTGTTTAGGAGCATAACAGATTTAGGGATGGATCGGTTATGGTTTGGGTAGTAAGTTCACATGGTTAAGTGATTATTAACCTTTAGTAATTATTAACTGTAACTGCACGGCTTTTTCGTTATCGAGAGGAGTCTCATGCCTTACTATAAGGCACCATTTGATTGTTCAGTATTATAACGCTTTGACAAACGGTGCAAGAGTTTGTATGTACATTCTTGCAACCCAGAACATCGCCCCTTTTGACTGGCCTCCGTGTAGTCCCAAGTCGAACATTTGTGGGATGAAGTAGACAGAAGTCTTCGGAATCTAGCAAACATTCGAAATAACCGCCGCTAATTGGCCACACTTACCAAGAAACAGAATAACATTCCTCTACGGACAGACAATGGCCTTATGAACTCCATACCACAAAAGGTTTAGAGACGTTCGGTAGACCGCACACGATGTTAGGGACCGGTCTGACAACTGTCGTTATTTCACCTTTATGTACATTAAGGTACCCTAATTCATGGCGGCCTATTGAAGTCATCAATTGTTGAAAATCGGATCCAATATTAAACGTTAACATTTCACATTTAGGCATATTACGTTATTATACAGTAAAGTTGAAGTTCCTTTGCTTCTTAATATAATTGCACTTTAGATGTGCAGACATATACCCAAGGTGACAACAGCGATGCTGACTCACTTGAATTAACAAAGACTCTACATCAGTACTAGTTTATTTAGAAACGATTGTTTTTACGAATATTCATGTTTTGCACATACATTTTGTCGGTAACGATGTTGTTTGACTTTCAAATTCACAAGGGTCTCCCAACAATTGTCGCTATGTGATGTTGGGCCATTTCAAAGTAAAATGATATCTAGAACTGTGTTTGTGTAAAAAAAACTTCAACGAAGAGGGGTGTTGCAAACATATGAACGGCAAGTTTTCGCTTGCTTAGAACCGCAACGTGATTAGAGAGGTCGATCTGCATCCATTGCATGCAAAGGATGGATACAGCGAAGTCATAAAAGGAAGCAAAGCAAGTGATGTTTTAATCAGTGTTTGTTTATAAAATGACCTATATATTTCGTGAATTTGATAATGACACTGGTCAAAAATATATTTATACATTAATTCATTTGTATCAATTGATAACATGTAAATCATAAGACAAAAGTAAAATGAAGTTGAAGGTTTACATTAACAGAAACGTAATCCTTTTTTATGTGTTTCTATATCCGTGACGAGTTATATGTGTCACGTCAGGAAAATTATATTAGACGCTATGGCACTGCTGCATTTTAGTGTTGTAATTCTCCAGCCACTTACCAATTTATGAAATATGACTTTCAAATAAGGTATTTGCTATTGACACCAGTGATGTTTTAAACCAGAAATCTATACGAGCCCATACATTTCAGTGTAGAAATATCCCTGTAATTTCTCTGTAATAGTCCAAGCCTTTTGCATACCTTTACAAACTAAAAACAAACACTGCGGCAACTGAATTAAGATGACCAAAGAACTAGTCCTCCATCAACCTGTTCTTGACCTACCTCTCCTTATAACAATATTCAAACTGGAATAGAGTAACAGTAACTGGCAATTCAAGCATTAAGCTTAGAGGATCATGACAATGATGTTGTTATGTGTATGTGTATGTGTATATTTGTGTATTGTGTGTGTTTTGCACTTGCATTGTTCCAATAAGTTTAATTGATGTTTTATCTTTTTTGTGTGTATATAATTGGATGTAATAATAATGGACGAAGGCTTAGGACCTCCAGGTCTACATCAACAAATATTTAACAACATTGGAGTGTCAATAACACCATTATACATGTATCAAACATAGTCTTTATCTATCATAGAATGTATCTTTAAAACGTTCATCAAATGAATTTCAAACTATCTTGTGGATTGAGCATAATTTAATGAGTTTCGAGTATTACTTTATTTCACTAATTGAACAATGTATAACACCAGATCCTTAGAGAAAAACTATTATATAGATTATGCTTGTTGTCTACTCAATTTTGGGGAAAACCTTGATGTAATTCACCATTGTGTTACCGATGTAGCCTTAGTGATAACTGCATTCATATTAAATAAAGACACTATCACTATTCAATAAGAGTATGTAGGAACGCATCATAATGAATAGTTAAACAGTACTACATGTGAAACTCAATTTTTTCAGCTAGAAAATCTTTACAGTCTGTGATAAGCTGAACAAAAACTGACATGGAACTTGTGGAAAAGATTGATGACCAGGGCAATACCCTTATATTCAAGCGATACCAAGGTCGAACCTTTAGTAAGAACATGCGTGGTAATGTCGGTGACCAACTGAAGCAGGTAGCGTCTTTAAGCTGTAGACCACATGATGTGTTACTGTGCACATTTCCAAAATCAGGTAAGATTTCAGAAAATAGAAGGCATTAATCTAACATCACCGATCTCAACATCATTGCCTCCCTAATGGCGTTTTAACGTTTTTGTTTATTGCAATGGTTGGTTTCATTGAAGTATTGGGCATTTGCTGTATTCAAGTTGTTATCAAGCAATTTTGATGAGAGAGAAAGAGAGAATGCTGATATACAATATATATAGTTCTAAACAAACTTTTCGTTTATATCATCTCATAAAACCATGTTAAAGTGGTAAGATTGTTTGAGAGAGAGAGAGAGAGAGAGAGAGAGAGAGAGAGAGAGAGAGAGAGAGAGAGAGAGAGAGAGAGAGAGAGAGAGAGAGAGAGAGAGAGAGAGAGAGAGAGAGAGAGAGAGAGAGAGAAACTGTGTGAGACACAGAAAAAAAACACAAAGAGAGACACAGCCATAAACGAAGAGATAGCATTATGGACAACCATATACTGAAAGGGAGAGGAAAAGAGTGCAGTTTTGAAATAAAAGGATTTTCTTTAAATGAATATTAAAAAAGGAACATTATTTTAGTTTTTACATGACAGGGAGACATATTTTGAAATATAATATAAAATAATAAGGATAATTGATAAATGATTTATATAATTCAACTAATTTTGATGGTAATTACCGAAGCGACTATACAACAAATTATCTGAGTATGTCCATAATGCGACCACATATCGACATCATACAGATGTAATAATGTATTCTGCCATTAGCTTTGATCCCCTTCGACTGCTTTTCACGTCCAAAACACTGTTAAAATTAATCAAAATTAATCGACATGTGAATTTCAAGATATTTATTGATTCAATGGAAAACTTTGGCGGAGAGAGGGTGAAACGATGACATGCCGCGTTTGATTCGTTTTCAGAGTAGATTTATCTAATAGATCTCCCATTCTTAAATAAAGATACAGCTTGAAACCTTAAATAAAAAAAATGTATTCTTTTATTCTGGGGTTAAATCAGGAATTCCATGATAAATGTTTTCTTGCCAGCAGACGAGGAATCTAATGATTTCTTACTTGTTTCAGACGTTGTTACATTTCCTGCATACTTAAAGAACTAGGCTTACTCAACAACAGAGGAAATCTTTTCAAAACGAGAAATCTTGCTTTTGTAGTACAATAATTCAGATTGCAAATTAATAATAAGGATACGGACCTCCTTTGTTCATACTGGATCCCTAAACTTCACACAAATCCATGTAAACAAGTCGTATTGCCGGCTCGTGTAGTTGCCCAAACAAACAATTACATTATTCTGATGCTGTTTATTAAAAAGTGTATTTAAGATGTTTAATTATCGTTGCACCTTTGCTCCTAAATTATAAACTATCCAGTTCGCAGTATTTGTGGACTCCCTCAAGGAAAATATTTTGGTATTGCTCGACTATCTATTGTCTCATCCACACCTGAGATTATTAGTTCTATTGTCTCATCCACATGTGATATTATCAACACGAGCGAAATAATTTCATCTATGATACATTGTAATTGCGTGGTTAGTGCTCCACACCAATCTGGAGACTCAACAGTTGATTAAATGATTAAATAAAAAATATGAAAATGATTAGGAAGACTAGGATTTATCTATCTTTAAAAAAATGAGAATCTATATTGATAAGGAAATTCGCATTAAGTTGATTAATAAGAAACTCAGGAATTTTCATTACATCTATAATAGATATACAATACAGATTCAGAATGATTAGAATGTGAACTAATTAAAAGTTACTCTTCAATATGTGTTACATCATTGATATGCTTAAGGCACACACTGGGTGTACAACATGGCCAGAATGATACAGACCAAGACCCTGCGCTACTCTGGAACTCCTGTGATTATAGAACAAGAAAATATCAAAGTAGTAGATGAAACGAGTTCACCTAGGATGTTTCATACTCATCTTCCATTCCCATTTATTCCTAAGGCGGCGATGGAAGGACAAATGAAAATAATTTATGTGCTTCGAAATCCAAAGGATGTTGCCTACTCATACTACATGTTTTTGTCCAGGCTTGAAAACTCCAGCTACATTGGCAGCTTTGACCACTACCAAAAAGTCTTCTTGTCTGAAGAAAGTATTAAGTTTACCTTTTTTATCACTTTTTCAATACCAATATTTAATCTGAATTTCATAATGGAACCAAATTTGACATAGAAAAACGCAGTGCTTCTTTATATATTCACTTCACGAATGTGCGTAGTCATTGTCGTTGCCATATTGTTTCACGTTAGGCATCGCTTCTTGAAAGGAATACTATCTTAAAAGTCAATGTGAAGGCATTTTCCTATGTACTATTGCACATATACATAGTTATTCCTTTTGTCTGTTTTAAACAATAATTATGTTAAATGTTCAGTTGTTTTAAGTAGAATTAAGTTCAGTCTTTCTTATCACACGAAGCTACGGCATCTGGCGGATCATGGTTTACTCATACGAAGGAATGGTACACTGGGATGTTAACAAATCAGAGTTTGAAGATATTGTCGCTCAGATTTGAAGATCTGAAAAAGGTAAGCAATTGATTTGAATAAAGAAGGTTACTAAACAAATATGTCAAAACTTATGTATTTCATGCTGAGGTCAACATTTTAAAATCTGATATCCTTTATTAGCAGAAATTTTACAATATATGCATCTAATACCATCTAACGAACTATTTCTATTTTCATCACTTGGGGTCAAAACCATAATAGCTAAGCTATATCATTTCACTGAATACAAACTTCTGAATATGTTTAAGATTGTACAATAGAAACACGCATGAATATAATAACAATGTTAGACAGGAATGGATGAATCAAATCGTTTTTAATTTGATTGATTTATTCAAATGCCACGCAAGCCATATATAGTCAATAGATTTTAAAAAAATAAACAGAATAAACACAGTTAGTAACGAAGTCCACGTATGGAAAGCAGTAATATTATCATGACATCATCTCTCACCCTATATAACGAGTACTTCTACTTAAAGTAATAATAATAGTATATAACTATACTCATGATGTAACCAGCTAGAATTAACACATTACTCATAACACTCTCTACTTTAACGTAACTTATCTTTCTGAAACCTTTCATAACCCCTTCTAAATCTGTACATTCACACAGATCACATATGTCTTTATACACAATCGACATAGTGAACCGATGAATGTAGAAGGAATGGCGTGGAATCACAGAAAGCAATAGACATTGGTAAGATGATAAAGTAGCTCAGTCAATCTGATTGGAAAGGTTTCAAGACGAGACAAACGACCCCCATCCCTTAAAAAAAAACCAAACAAACAACCAAAAGTGTTATCTATAATTACACCTGCAGTGATCTACAGAATTTCACACACAAAATATCCCTTTGTGACTTTTTGAAAAAGAGAAAGCGTGACGGTCCATTGGCCTAGGAATAGTGTCAGACTATACAATTATTTTCAAGGCATTAGACAGGCTTCAAAATTACAAAAAACAGAAACCAAATCTAGATAGACCCCCAACTCTTCCTTTGTGCTTCTGGACATGTTTCAACTGCTAGAGTTAGGATGAGGCATTATCAGACTTTGGAGCCGTCTATAAAAGAAATGATCACCGCTACAGACATTTCCACCCCACTGAGAAGGATGCAGATCGCCCCCTCACGTCGCCAGAACACTGATGTGAGATACCTGGACACGGGGGTAAACCTATCAATCAATATATCAATTAATCTGTATCTTTTAAAATAAATATCATAAAACTAAGATATAAACTACCAAATTGATTTCAATACTTTAAAAAATATATATTTGTACTTGATACTTTCACAGACTAAGATATATTTAGCGTTGGTGTTTTTTTTTACTGATACATGAAAAAAACCCCGATAAAGTTAGCTATTTTCTGTATGAAATATCAGACTTGAGTTATTAATTTTCTTTGTCATCAATTTATGCAGAACAAATTTTGTTTATTAAAATTGAAAAAAAAAACCGACAAAAATCCTTTATGAATTTTGGTCCGGATCCGTTTTGGTAGTAGTCACATTTACTTCAAGTAAGTCAGCCATTACAATTTGCAATATCTACCGGAGTTGTCTTTAACAGTCCCAATTTACCTCTGCAAACGGCTCACGGCAGACAGTAGTTGACCTTGCGGTCAGGGTCAACATTTGACGTCGGTCACAATAACTTTCTGAGACGTTATGTGCCAATGTTTGTAGACACATAACCATCAGTTATCACCGATGTCACAATATATCTACAAGTATTTTGAGAACACGTAGGTAGTTGGAAAATGAAAGTACAAAATGAAACACGACGGTTGGTAACTGTTTACTTAAATTAGTCTTCCGCGATATAATCCATAACCAAATAAACTAACATTTTAAGAAAACGATTAACGATTAACAAACCAGAAAAACAATAAACTACACTTTTTCATTTGACACTAATACGTTTTCAAGAATCCTGAAAAGACATGAACCGGTTACAGAGGTGTTATTGGGGTACCGCAATGCACTTTGGTAGAGATTGGCGATTTTGGTGGAGATAGAGGTAAAACAACTTATTAAGTGACTGCATTTGAACTGCAAAATAAAGTTTTCATGTAAATGTTATTGTTCTTCTTAATTAAATTGCTACTGCATTGATTACAAAGGCGTTAATCTATATATAAAAAACAAGTTAGTTTGAATGGAACACACCTCGGTATTTTCTTCACATTTTCTATCGAAAACAAATGTACTTATTATCATAATGTAGAAGGTTGATTCTAATAATTATTAAGATGAAGCCTATTGATGCCTGCTACCGAACAACGCCTCTACACACTAGACGGAAGCGCGACTACCTCGCCCTGGAATATATTCAAACAAACAAAGTAATGAGAGCTGTTATCCATTCAGACTCTCTTTCTGTACTACAAAGTCTTAGCAATAGAAATATCGAAAATATTTTCATTCGTTATATATTATTACTATATCATGAACTTTCGTATTGCTTTTTTGCCGGGTTCCTGGCACATGGGAATATCAGGCAATAAAAAAGTAGATCGTGGCGCAAAGGAAGCTTTATCACTACCACCTGTCGTTTTTGTACTTCATTTTACCTATCTAAAACCAATTATTAAACAAGTTTGAATTGCTCAGTGGCAGGAGTAATGAAATTAATATACCAATAATAAACTTCACTCCGTAAAACCTATTAACGATCAATGGTCTCCATGAGACAACCACCGAGACGAACTTGTCCTTGCCCGTATTCCGATGGGCTATATCTACCTTATCCATTCATATATGTTGAACGGCGAAGATTATTCTTGGTGCTTAGGATGGGATGAGCAATTCACCGTTAAACATTGTTTATTGGACTCCATTGACCTTTTGTCTACTCGGGAAATTTTTATCGTAACGTTACAATTCTACAGACCCTTTTTGAACCAGTAGAGATTTGTAAAATTCTGGGTTATTTGAAAGGTGTAAGTTTATATAGGAGACTATAAAGTACCATCTTAATCTTTTGTGATGATATACCTATTTAAACATTTCAGCATTTGTCTTTCACCTTTAAGTTTGTTTGATGTTATTTCCTTTTTGGATCGCTGTGCGTTTAACTGGTTAATGACCCTAATGAACTTTTGTGTGTTAACGGGCCATTAAGAATGTCATAATAATAATAGCAATGCCCGGGTTACCTTTCAGAGGCCTGGTATATACAGAAATTTAAACTCAAGAAAATTTGATATTTCAAGTTTTTATCCAATGTATGATATATATGAGTGAAAACGGGACCCATCAAGGTATGTATGTGAAATATTGAGCGATATTCGTCAGGATGACTGGTTGTTTCGTTGTGATAATTTCATTTAAGTTTGAAATTGATATGATTTTCTTAATTACTTTATTGATTCTAATTCTAAGTAAGCCCATAATAAACATTTCTTTTTTGTATTTTTTATTCTGCTTCAGAACTTATACCAAAATATCTTGCAAATAGCAGAGTTTCTTGGAGTTGATCACGATGAAACTTTCCTGAGGAATGTTGAGCGTGCTGTGTCATTTGAGAACCTGAAGGAGAAACATGCAACGATTTTGGGCGAAACCGAAAGATACAAGAGTCTTGGAGATAATGGAAGACTACCGATTTATCGAAAAGGTTAAATAATTTTCTGATATGTATTCCGCTTTAAATTCTTCTGTAATATGATGGATATAAGTAATATAACCATCATTGATTTATCATTAGTACTTCATTTTTTGAAGACATAAACGTATATATCTAAGTTCAGAACTGTTCCTTATCAATATATTTCGGTAGCTATATTATTAACTCCTGCATATTGTTTTACAAATGGTTTATTCGATGTTGCTGTTTAATAAGTAATATCATAATTACCTAAAGGATATTGATAAGTTACGAAAATACAGAAGTGCTTACGTGATAGTGGAATGCAAGAGGAGAGTTGGTAGATATTGAAAATTATATGGAGGGGCGTTTCAATTATATTTAAGACAATTCTGAGGTTCCATCTGTAATACAAACTTACAGTTTATCATACCGGAACGTTATTGATGTGCTTATCTAATCATCGATAAATGAACCCTGCCTATTATACCATTTTATTTCAATGATGACATCCTATGACAACGCAAGCACATACATAATGAATATTTGTTTTTATTTCGATAAATTTCATGGACACATGGTCATGTTATGTAGACACTAGCCCAACATATTACAGATTATAGATTACTGGCCGTAGCTGACCTGGTTATGAACACAACCGTTAAGGTATTCAAATTCTTTTCGTTATAATCAAAATAAAATCAAAACTCTCCAAAAATTATTTGATTTTTATTTCTTCTTTTTCAATTCGGATGAATTATCTGCTTTTTTCGTTATATATGTTGTATAAAGGTACATAATTGATGTAACGAGATAAACAGTACACTCGGAAGCAAAGGAGATTTCTTTGTCCCATTGCCGGAGACTAAACTGGATCTACTGTGTATATATATACAGTAATAAATAGAGAGTACCCCAGTGTATCGATCGTATGATAGTCTGATATCGATAAAATAGTTTTTTCACAACAAAATCACAGTTGCGATGAACTTTCTTTCCTATTTTCTGTAAGTAGTGGACGAGCTCTGACTTGTATCAACCGATAAAATGTATGAAATATTTAAAATACCAAATAAAAGTCTGAATTAGCCTAAACAGTTGTGATGTTGAAGAATTTAAGCAGCATATCTACCCTTGCTTCATATACGTTTCACAAATTTCTGACAATAATCTGAATATAAAAACATACTTTGCTTCTATGAGAACATACAAACAAAGACAGTGTATTTGGTAAGCCTTTGGATGGGGTGATGAGGTGCATTTTTCTACATATCCTGTATCCCTCCATACATATGTATCTTGCGCCCCTCATCGGTGCCGATAATTTGTACCCCATCTTTTTGTTGTACATATAGACTGAAGTTAATGTCATTCAGATCTATATATTATATAACAACAGTGATTGATATTATGGTTGTATTTGAAATGTTCCTGTCATTTAATAAATGACCATTTGACAACATTTCTTTTCACTGTTGTTGTTTTTTGCTTATAAGACATGTACAACAAATAACAAGCTGCAGTCTCTGAGCTGGGTTACCATGCTAACACAAAGTATATGATTATCCTCCTATTTCATGAAATGAAAAAAACCCAACAGACCCTGGGAGACAGATTCTTTCAATATAATCAGGACACAAACTTAATGTGTAGGAATCGAGATAACTCCAGGAGTTTACCTGCATGCATTTTGATAGTTTGATTTATGGTTCATTGCCATAAATCTTTTATATTTAATGATAAACATAAATAATTTGTATATCATAGAACCATAACATCCAAACACACCATCCCATCCAAACAAAGAAAGTTAAATATAATAAATATAATTTAATCACCGATTTTAATATTGAAACAGTCATTGTATTACAATGTCTAAAACTTTTGTTTCAATTACTATTCAGGAATTGTTGGTGAATGGAAGAACGTGTTTACTGTAGCCCAAAATGAAACTTTTGATGCTGTATACAGAGAGAAGATGGGCGATGTGGGATTGAACCTTGAAGTTGAATACGAATGAAAGCGTATATATAGCCTGCGACGAATTTTTCTTATCAATGTTTGTAGTAACCATGTGCCTGCATTGATGTTTATAAATATAGCAAGTACATTTTTCGTAAATATGTTTAGGAATGTCCGATGATGACCTTGAATAGTGATAACGATAAATCCATAGTCTTTACGTTCCTCGTTTTTATCCATTTGTACATAATTTATACATACTAATAATATAATTGTAATTGGTCATTCGGCCTAATGGACAAAGTGAGCCTGGCTAGAACCCTCAGTTCCCAAATTTCTTTGTGTCTCTCTTGTGTGTCGTTCCCTGTCTGTATACTTTATTATATAATCAAAAGGTAAAACGTGGCACATCAATTAATTAATTTATGTCCTTTACATGATTACATCACTCTAAAACTGCAAACTTGTATTATTTTCCAGAGCTACATTTATTAAAAATCGAAATAAATTTACTTTTTGAAAAGTTTGAAATAACATAATCACATAATCAGATTGATTGCGAATATTAAAATGACTTTACATGATCTGTTATTGTGTTTTTTTTGTGATATTTGTTTTGCAGGATAACGTAGGATATGTGTTATATAAAGACCAGACTGTAATGTCTCCTTTCGGCCAATAGTGCATGTATCGGAATGTCTAATCGTGTACCTATTTCATTATAAAACAATGAAGTCCCTTTCATAGTACAAGCAGTGTAAGGCCTTGTGTTTCGGAACAGACAGCACGCTTAACTTAATCCATAATATCCGTCATGTAACCCCAAGCATTTACGATTGAGTCATGTTTCTTGTGATGACATGACATGAAAATCTCATGTAACCAAAGTATGATCAACACATAACTTAGATATACTGTTTTCATGAAGAACAACACGCTTATCAACAATTTACTGGATACACGTTACATAAATGTTGCTTTCCTATCAAATATGTTGTACAGCTATGTTGGACATCTCTTTTCATCATATGTTGTATTTCTGTTCAAAAATGAACAACTGTAATATCTGCCGTTAAAACAACTTAAAGGGTTGGCTTTTAAATCATAGCATTAATGGTTACACTACCCCAACGCTTAAAAAATAATAAATGAAACATTCTAAGTTATATAAAGGTGAATGATTGATCCAATGATTAAATGGTTACAGAATTAACTATAAGTTAACCGCACCACCCTCTGCTTTCATGGAAAATGCTGACGTGTCAATAGAATATGAAATTTCAAATTGGATTAAAGCAATAGGTACTACACAGTTTCTTGTTGCGGCCATGGGTGATATTTTTGTTCTTTAGATTTCCCCATTTTAAAGGTTTTAATTAAAATTTACAAAATACGTCCTTGCTAAAATTGGTCTTGTCATGTTGATGTGGAAAATGTGGGGTTTAAAATTTTTCAGAATAATATTTTTGCATTGTGTTTAAGATTACTATTTGGGCAGTCTTAAATCTGTGTCTACACACCAAAAACTAGCGTTATAGGAAAATTCCGCAGTGTTTACGAATTATCAGTCGTGTTGAATAGGCGTTCCGCGTTGGAATTTGCTGAAATGTAAGTAATTTGTTACCAAGACAGTGTTGTTAATTTTTAGACAAGTGTTAAGAATTTTTCTATAAAGTTGTAGTATTAGGTTGGAATTAATAGTATTTTTGCATTTTGAGCATGTCAGAAATCAGGGGAATATCAAACATGACCAATAATTTCAAAGAAAATGCAAATTAACTCCTTCTTGTTAACATATAAAAATCACAAATGGGAAACAAAATTGATGGAGATTCCTGAAAAAGCATGTTCCATTTGATTAAAAAGGATCCAGGTATAATCAAAACATTGCTTCTTGTCAAAATAAGCCAATAGCAACGAAATCTATATAACACAATGTTAGTGTACACTTGCCACTTTCTGAGGCGTGAAACTACACACTGGAAAGATTAGTAAACGCAGCATCCAGGGGTATTTCGAAATTTGTCGACTTAAAATGGCTTTCATAATCACCGATCAACTTAAAATATGCCTGTGATCGTTATTTTGTCATAAATTCCCGAATTTTTCGTTTCATTTCTAATCCGTAATATTAGTCAATCATTTTTACCAAACCGCGTAAAATGGACAATTCCATCGAACAGTTGTATGCCAGCGACTGTCTAGTGCGAGCGTGCGGGCGATGTATGCATGATGCAGTTTGTTTGGGTTGTGTGTAACCACAACTGTACCTACACACTTTGTAAAATACTTATGTCTTCATTGTAGTAATAATATTTTTCTTTTTACTTTGAAATGTAGGTCAAAAGTCACGGTCAATATCACATGGTCAACCACTAGAAAGGTCACAAAGGAAGACACATGTGAAAACACTGCCTCTTAGGGTGCAATAATTATGAGCAAAGTTAAAGTTGACAATAGACAAACACACAGTGCAAACAATACGTCCCCGATCTTTCAATCCGGGGGCATAAAGAAACCAAGCAAAAACGAACATGATCATAATCCAATCTCATATCTGAAAAAAGGTCAAATATAAGCAAAAGAAAGATATCCATAGAGTTTCTAGGAAAGGGAGAATAATACCAGGTGTTGTGGACAAATAAGCGTCTTCCGGTTCATTGATGCCAACAGTCGTGCAAATCCAGGTTAATCCAAATAAGTAATATCATGTTCTCAAATGAGAACAACTATACAACGGAACGAACAGGCAAATGAACGAATATCAAACACATCGAAATTAGTTTGCATAGCTTTGGTAGACTAATCTTCGATATTCTTACATGATGATAAGTTTAAGCCTACTTTTGACATTGCTTTGATAATTTGATATTTCATCTGAACCTTAAAGTTTGCCTAAAGTATTTTTGTGATTTTTGTATGTGTTCGTGGTGGTGACTGTGATGTGTGTTTTAACTATTTTTTATTCACAAGTAAGAATACAAATTTGAGAAAAATATTGATTTTGTGAGATCCACTTTTTCCGTGTATTGTTAAAGTTCTTTTCAATATCACAGTGAAGATAACAGTCGGACAACCTGAACTGAAATGGAATTCATACAGACGGAGGGACGACCAAGGAAATACCATTATATTCAAGAGTTACAAGGGCCAGCTGGAGAAGGTAGCGTCTCCATCGTGTAGTTCAGAGGATGTGTAAATATACTGAACAAAATAAGTTAAGGATCATAAACTTGAAACAGTGCAGTTTTACATACAAATAATAATATGATTATATTTTAAATTTTAATGACAGAACATTCATTTTAGTCTTTAATTACACAAAACAAATTCATTTGTGGTAATTGCTACCAAGAGCAGATAACCCTGAGTAACAGCACCCTTGAAATCAAAGTGTAAGAGGAAGTAGAGCAAGTTAATCATGTAGACAAGGAAAACTCATCAAACTGCAATTGGCAGTTTAATAGGCAGTATGACCTCCGTTGACATCAATAACTGCCCTGCAACGTCTGCACATGCTCCTTATTAGTCGTCGGTGGCTGATCTGTGGGATGCGCTGCCATTCCTCTTGCAGAGCAATCATAAGCTGTTGGCGGTTCTGTGGCGGATTAGGTCGAGCTGAAACCCGGCGTTGCAAGGTGTCCCAAGCATGCTCGATAGGGTTCAGATCAGGAGAACGACTTGGCCAGTCCATGCGAACGATTGCTTCACGTTGAAGATAGTCGTTGACCACACGAGCACGGTGAGGACGAGCATTATCATCCATCAGAATAAAATCATGGCCAACAACTCCTGCAATGGGCCTTACTATAGGGTGTAGAATCTCGTCCCTGTATCGAACAGCTGTTAAAGATCCATTGTCTATGATGTAGAGGTCTGTATGGAAGTCAACACTGATCCCTGCCCAAACCATCACTGACCCACCACCAAAGCGATCATGCTGGACAACACAGCAGTCTGCATAGTGCTCTCCTTGGGTTCTCCATACCCTCCTCCTACCGTCATGGAAGTCAACACAAAACCTAGACTCATCTGTGAACATAACATTTCTCCAATGACGTAATTGCCAATTCAAATGATGAGTGGCCCATTGATGTCTGGATTGTCGATGACCTCTGGATAAAATTGGTCGGACTGCTGGTCTTCTAGCTCGTAAATTAGAGGCATGGAGTCTGTTTCTGATTGTCTGGGATGAAATCCTTAGATTTGTAGCACGCTGAAACTGAAGATTCAAGACAGGAGCACTCAAAAACCGCTGACGTCGTGCCGTGATGCAAATGAATCTGTCCTGTCGGGCTGTCGTACAGCGTGGTCGTCCAGATCTGGGGCGTTGACGGACGTTATTTGTCTGTTGATAGCGATTCCATAGCCTACTAATCACGCTCTGAGAAACATGAAGCTGTGCCGCTACATTTCGTTGAGTTTGACCAGCTTGAAGGAGCCCTATAGCTCGCGCGGCTTCCATATCATTTAAATGTCTTCGCATGATTAGTTTTTCAAGTTTTCGTTACAAATTGATTAAATGTTTCCAAATTCAACTTTTTTTAGCTTAGAAGTAACAGAATCAAAACCTGCAAGATTCCTCTGTAGTAATAGACCAGTCAGTTTTTCACACCACCATAGTTAACTAGAGCGGAACGGCAAGACCTTCAGATGCACGTGCTTTCACCTTTGACATGACTTTAGGTACATATGGGAGAAACTACGAGTGCAATTACCGGCAATACATGATTTGAATTTTTGAAGATATTATGGTCACAATTTATGATCCTTAACTTATTTTGTCCAGTATATTAACATTTCCGAGATTAGCTAATAGAAAAACATAATTCAATGATTAGCAATCATGAAACATCTTTATTTCTAATTTTAATATGCTTTATTAGACTGCTTATCCTAATATTTGATGGTAAGTATAATATTTAATTCACTATTTAACAATTTTATATATACATATGATACATTTAGAACAGGAGAGACGGAAGCAGAAACCTGTTGAACTGAGTAAGCAGGGTGCATGTGCCGGATGGAACCTCTCGGAGAGAAAGCTTACATGGT